GTCTACACCTATTGAATAAGAACCCGTGCCTTTGGATATAACTGGCAGGTATGAAAGCCTGAACCTATGGAGAGATATTTTTTTAATAAGGGGGGTCGGTCAGTTCAGTGCGGGATTTTCAGTGCGGGTTATTTTCAGTGTGGGGCATTTTGGGGAGTGACGTTTTGTCCGGGGCGAATTGGGGAGTGACGTTTTGTCCGGGGCGAATTGGGGAGTGACGTTTTGTCCGGGGCGAATTGGGGAGTGACGTTTTGTCCGGGGCGAATTGGGGAGTGACGTTTTGTCCGGGCGAATTGGGGAGTGACATTTTGTCCGGGGACGTATTGGGGAGTGACGTTTTGTCCGGGGCATGTTGGGGAGTGACATTTGGGTCAGACTTGGGATAGGTGGAAGACAGGGGTCTTATAAAATGGGTATAGACAGTAGAGCACCATCTTGGACCCGGGGGTTCATTGGAGTACCGTGTCGGGGCCCAGGGGACACTAGAGTCGGTGCAGGAGAAGTTGTAGACGTCTGGCAGGAGCAGTTGAAGTTGTAGACTACTGGCAGGTGCAGTTGAAGTTGTAGAAGTCCGGCAGGAGCAGTTGAAGTTGTAGACGGCTGACAGGGGCCATTGAAGTTGTAGAAGGACCGTTGAAGTGCGGGAAGTTGGGGGGGGGGGGGGTGTTCTAGGTCTAATCTAAGGTCTAAGTGCCCTACTGTCTACACCTATTGAATAAGAACCCGTGCCTTTGGATATAACTGGCAGGTATGAAAGCCTGAACCTATGGAGAGATATTTTTTTAATAAGGGGGGTCGGTCAGTTCAGTGCGGGATTTTCAGTGCGGGTTATTTTCAGTGTGGGGCATTTTGGGGAGTGACGTTTTGTCCGGGGCGAATTGGGGAGTGACGTTTTGTCCGGGGCGAATTGGGGAGTGACGTTTTGTCCGGGGCGAATTGGGGAGTGACGTTTTGTCCGGGGCGAATTGGGGAGTGACGTTTTGTCCGGGCGAATTGGGGAGTGACATTTTGTCCGGGGACGTATTGGGGAGTGACGTTTTGTCCGGGGCATGTTGGGGAGTGACATTTGGGTCAGACTTGGGATAGGTGGAAGACAGGGGTCTTATAAAATGGGTATAGACAGTAGAGCACCATCTTGGACCCGGGGGTTCATTGGAGTACCGTGTCGGGGCCCAGGGGACACTAGAGTCGGTGCAGGAGAAGTTGTAGACGTCTGGCAGGAGCAGTTGAAGTTGTAGACTACTGGCAGGTGCAGTTGAAGTTGTAGAAGTCCGGCAGGAGCAGTTGAAGTTGTAGACGGCTGACAGGGGCCATTGAAGTTGTAGAAGGACCGTTGAAGTGCGGGAAGTTGGGGGGGGGGGGGTGTTCTAGGTCTAATCTAAGGTCTAAGTGCCCTACTGTCTACACCTATTGAATAAGAACCCGTGCCTTTGGATATAACTGGCAGGTATGAAAGCCTGAACCTATGGAGAGATATTTTTTTAATAAGGGGGGTCGGTCAGTTCAGTGCGGGATTTTCAGTGCGGGTTATTTTCAGTGTGGGGCATTTTGGGGAGTGACGTTTTGTCCGGGGCGAATTGGGGAGTGACGTTTTGTCCGGGGCGAATTGGGGAGTGACGTTTTGTCCGGGGCGAATTGGGGAGTGACGTTTTGTCCGGGGCGAATTGGGGAGTGACGTTTTGTCCGGGCGAATTGGGGAGTGACATTTTGTCCGGGGACGTATTGGGGAGTGACGTTTTGTCCGGGGCATGTTGGGGAGTGACATTTGGGTCAGACTTGGGATAGGTGGAAGACAGGGGTCTTATAAAATGGGTATAGACAGTAGAGCACCATCTTGGACCCGGGGGTTCATTGGAGTACCGTGTCGGGGCCCAGGGGACACTAGAGTCGGTGCAGGAGAAGTTGTAGACGTCTGGCAGGAGCAGTTGAAGTTGTAGACTACTGGCAGGTGCAGTTGAAGTTGTAGAAGTCCGGCAGGAGCAGTTGAAGTTGTAGACGGCTGACAGGGGCCATTGAAGTTGTAGAAGGACCGTTGAAGTGCGGGAAGTTGGGGGGGGGGGGGGTGTTCTAGGTCTAATCTAAGGTCTAAGTGCCCTACTGTCTACACCTATTGAATAAGAACCCGTGCCTTTGGATATAACTGGCAGGTATGAAAGCCTGAACCTATGGAGAGATATTTTTTTAATAAGGGGGGTCGGTCAGTTCAGTGCGGGATTTTCAGTGCGGGTTATTTTCAGTGTGGGGCATTTTGGGGAGTGACGTTTTGTCCGGGGCGAATTGGGGAGTGACGTTTTGTCCGGGGCGAATTGGGGAGTGACGTTTTGTCCGGGGCGAATTGGGGAGTGACGTTTTGTCCGGGGCGAATTGGGGAGTGACGTTTTGTCCGGGCGAATTGGGGAGTGACATTTTGTCCGGGGACGTATTGGGGAGTGACGTTTTGTCCGGGGCATGTTGGGGAGTGACATTTGGGTCAGACTTGGGATAGGTGGAAGACAGGGGTCTTATAAAATGGGTATAGACAGTAGAGCACCATCTTGGACCCGGGGGTTCATTGGAGTACCGTGTCGGGGCCCAGGGGACACTAGAGTCGGTGCAGGAGAAGTTGTAGACGTCTGGCAGGAGCAGTTGAAGTTGTAGACTACTGGCAGGTGCAGTTGAAGTTGTAGAAGTCCGGCAGGAGCAGTTGAAGTTGTAGACGGCTGACAGGGGCCATTGAAGTTGTAGAAGGACCGTTGAAGTGCGGGAAGTTGGGGGGGGGGGGGTGTTCTAGGTCTAATCTAAGGTCTAAGTGCCCTACTGTCTACACCTATTGAATAAGAACCCGTGCCTTTGGATATAACTGGCAGGTATGAAAGCCTGAACCTATGGAGAGATATTTTTTTAATAAGGGGGGTCGGTCAGTTCAGTGCGGGATTTTCAGTGCGGGTTATTTTCAGTGTGGGGCATTTTGGGGAGTGACGTTTTGTCCGGGGCGAATTGGGGAGTGACGTTTTGTCCGGGGCGAATTGGGGAGTGACGTTTTGTCCGGGGCGAATTGGGGAGTGACGTTTTGTCCGGGGCGAATTGGGGAGTGACGTTTTGTCCGGGCGAATTGGGGAGTGACATTTTGTCCGGGGACGTATTGGGGAGTGACGTTTTGTCCGGGGCATGTTGGGGAGTGACATTTGGGTCAGACTTGGGATAGGTGGAAGACAGGGGTCTTATAAAATGGGTATAGACAGTAGAGCACCATCTTGGACCCGGGGGTTCATTGGAGTACCGTGTCGGGGCCCAGGGGACACTAGAGTCGGTGCAGGAGAAGTTGTAGACGTCTGGCAGGAGCAGTTGAAGTTGTAGACTACTGGCAGGTGCAGTTGAAGTTGTAGAAGTCCGGCAGGAGCAGTTGAAGTTGTAGACGGCTGACAGGGGCCATTGAAGTTGTAGAAGGACCGTTGAAGTGCGGGAAGTTGGGGGGGGGGGGGTGTTCTAGGTCTAATCTAAGGTCTAAGTGCCCTACTGTCTACACCTATTGAATAAGAACCCGTGCCTTTGGATATAACTGGCAGGTATGAAAGCCTGAACCTATGGAGAGATATTTTTTTAATAAGGGGGGTCGGTCAGTTCAGTGCGGGATTTTCAGTGCGGGTTATTTTCAGTGTGGGGCATTTTGGGGAGTGACGTTTTGTCCGGGGCGAATTGGGGAGTGACGTTTTGTCCGGGGCGAATTGGGGAGTGACGTTTTGTCCGGGGCGAATTGGGGAGTGACGTTTTGTCCGGGGCGAATTGGGGAGTGACGTTTTGTCCGGGCGAATTGGGGAGTGACATTTTGTCCGGGGACGTATTGGGGAGTGACGTTTTGTCCGGGGCATGTTGGGGAGTGACATTTGGGTCAGACTTGGGATAGGTGGAAGACAGGGGTCTTATAAAATGGGTATAGACAGTAGAGCACCATCTTGGACCCGGGGGTTCATTGGAGTACCGTGTCGGGGCCCAGGGGACACTAGAGTCGGTGCAGGAGAAGTTGTAGACGTCTGGCAGGAGCAGTTGAAGTTGTAGACTACTGGCAGGTGCAGTTGAAGTTGTAGAAGTCCGGCAGGAGCAGTTGAAGTTGTAGACGGCTGACAGGGGCCATTGAAGTTGTAGAAGGACCGTTGAAGTGCGGGAAGTTGGGGGGGGGGGGGGGTGTTCTAGGTCTAATCTAAGGTCTAAGTGCCCTACTGTCTACACCTATTGAATAAGAACCCGTGCCTTTGGATATAACTCGGAGGTATGAAAGCCTGAACCTAGTTGAGTTTTTGCAGTTCGATTGGGCCGGTAATAAATGAACTTTGTGGAATGCATCTGGGTGTTTCATTAAAGAAAAAGTTCGAATTTTTAGAAAAAAGAGGTCGTCAAGTTGGATCGCTTTGAAGTTTAGGAATTTCTGAAGCTCTCGGAGCTTGGAAGAGTTGGGGGTTGGGTAAACCCGAGGTCGGGAAGAGGGAACCCTTACCCCATTTTTAACCAACAAAAAAATTATGTGATAAAAAAAATACCACTTGTAAAGAAAAGGCCTTTTTGCTTTCTTCTAAACGAATCAGCAAAAATCCTTTTTTTACAAGTGGCTTAATTGTGCTTTTCCGTTTTTGCATCTAAGAATTCTGCCGTTTTGATAACATTTTTTGCTGAAAAAATAAAACAAAAAAAATCGACGCAAACGGAAAAGCACTAAAAATAATAAAAACATATTTGATTCAAATATCATTTAGACCTTAAAATGTGGCGGAAGCATCTTTGCCACATTTTTTAGCTTCTCTCGTCCTTGTAATTCATCAACAATTCTCCGTCCAATGCTTATCAAGAACACTTCTTCCAATAAAATTTTTTCTTGTGTAGCTGTTGAAGTTGCAGAGACATAAAATAACATCCACTAGCCCACTCGTTCGACGAACATCGTTGTGATTTAGTTGTCTGAAGGTTTGTTGAAGAAGAACATACTTTTCATGTTGGACTTGCTGAAATTTAGAAATTACCAAAAGCACCTAAAAATTAAAACATACACTGAAGACTAAATCTTTTGTTTGGGTACTTTTGAGTCTATCCATCTGCTTCCGGAATTGAGAATAACCGACATTAAATGAACAAACTTAAATATAAAGGAACTGAATTAGGCATATAAAAACTTAAAAAAACCTCCAGTTTTATCAACAAGGACAGAATGAGAAGAAGCACTACCAAACCATTTTGTGATATCGTCATGGAAATTCTAAAAAAAATTTCTTAAGATTGATACTAGATAAAAAAAACCTTTCCAACAAATGAAATTGTTCGATTCCATTGTCCGATAGATTTTTGAAATGCATTGAAAACCGGAGGGCTCAGTTTTTTTCGGATCATCATCATTTGTAGCAGTTTAAATTTAGAAGACGACCCACTGACGAGTTCTTAAAGCATTTCAGTGGCGTAGCTGCGCTTCAGTTCTTTAAAAAGAGAAATATTCAAAAAAGAAACGAAAACTAACTTGTCCATAATTGAAAAGAACCAATTCCATGTTGGATCTAAACATTCATCAAATGCATCCTACAATTAAAAAAATTGAATATTCAAACAGTAAAAAATAGTCAAACCTTAAAAACGCCAAAAATCTTTGGATCCAAATCAAGTATGTTGGTGATTCCTTTTGACTTGCCTTGTTGTTTCCACTTTTCATAAAAAAATAATTGCAAAAGTAGTTTGTCAATCAATTTGACAATTGTCTAAAAATAGAAAAAAAGGTAAAAAATCAGGAAAAAATTAAAAAGAAAAACAAACCGAAAACAAGCAGATAATTGTGTACTTTATTACTTGTAGAAAAGTCACTATTATCACCCAAATTTGCTACAACAGTGTTATCAGCAGTGACAACTGATTGAGCAGCTAAAGGTAATGACGTAGCACCAGAACCTCCCAAAGTCACAGAATCATTAGCAGAAATTGAAGGTGTTGTTGAATTGGCCGTGGAAGAACGAAGAACAGTTGAACGAGGATCATTGGGCTGTCCTCAACACTATTTGCCGTCATCAATGTCATCGTGATCACTTCCATACGCATCTTCCTAACGTTAAAAGATATTTTTAAAAAATTCCGCACTAAACAAACCCCTTCATGTTCATCCAAACTCTCATCTAAACCAGTAACATTTTCTTGACGACGTCGACTTTGCTCAGAGATTGTTCTTTCACGAACTCTAAATGAACTGTTCTCTCTAGTTTTAGAAATTGTTGCTGGCGCATCCAAATCTTCTTCATCGTCATCATCTTCATCTAATTTAACAAAAAATCAAAATGCTAAACTGATAAAGATATCTAACAATAAAGTAAGGTTGCGGATCCTATCCAAACCCTAAAAAGGCCGGATATCTGAAATGTTCGGTTCTGATACCGAATCCAGATATCCGAAAAATTTTCGGATATCCGAAAACCGGATCCAGATATCCTATGATTTCCAACTACCCGCCAACCTTACATCTATGAGGATTCACATATGTTAGGCAAATTAATATAAAATACCAATTGATGAGCAAAGAATGTTGTTCGCAACATGTGGAGAATTGTCTGGCTTAGAATCAATCTCCCAACTCCAACCATAAATCTTTCCATTATCAGCAAGCGCAATAAGTTCAGATTGCATAGAGACGATTTTTACAAATTTTGTAACGTCATCGGGAAATTGAAATTTTGTTGAACCATCAGCAACATCAGTGCCCGTTAAGCCCCAGTAAGTATAGCGCTCACCGAGAAAGAAATGTTCCTGAATTGTCGAGGAACTATCCGCATTTACCTTGTTTTGGTCTTTTGTTTTGTCTATTGAATTGAAATGTTAAAATAAAAAAAATTTTCAAATTTAAACCTTCACCCTTGCGTCTAGCCAAATCAATCGAAATCAAGTATTTGTAGCCATCTCCAGCAGAATAAATGCTGTCGCTGTCAAGTAAAGCGGCTGCTGCGGCACCATTTCCATCGGAACGAAGCCCAGCATCGAGCAAAGAAAGCAACTCTTCGTGTAGATGTGCCGGCCTCACTTGTGTCATCCAAATCATCCATTTCATCATCATCGCGAGAAAGTAAATTGTTGACTGCCTCGTTGACATTTAAATTAGTGCGTTGTAATCTACGAACAATCACATCACGAGATTTGCCTTGTAAAACAACCTAAAGATATTTTAACTAGGTAGCGAAGAAACGAAACCTGGCATTGCACGATTAAATCTTCTGGAACGGAAGAGGCAGGAATCATTGGTCGAGAACGATTTCTATCAATTACAACTCCAGTGCGGCAAAATCCGCCAGAACGAGTCCCTGGGCGTGTCATCATAATTCGCTACAAATAAATTCAAAATTTGTGAAAAAAGCAAAGAAATAAACCAGAATTTTGGCAGTCCGATTTGCAACGCTGCCGCTGGATCAGAGGAACAACAGGAACCAACCAACAGCTGGAGCTGTTGCCGAACCAGGGCCGGATTCATCTCAAACAAAAAATCTATTTAAAAGGTAAAAGATTAAAAAATACTTTTGTCTGTCGGGGCGGCAGATTCAATAGTGTTGGCAACAATCTCATAACGAAGACGAGCGACTCGACGATCCTAGAAACGTATAAATAGAGGTGGGAGTACTGTCAACTAAGTTGATGGCTCTTGGAAAATCTTAGGAAATTTTTAACCGCACCAAATAACTACCAATTCGAACCGACCTTAAATTTTGGGGCATCCGTGACCGAACCAGAGAAAAAACCCACACCCCTACTTTGAACTAAAACCTTCAGAAGGAAGGCAACATAATTATGCCCAGCAGTAACTTGCAAAACATCTTCAGCTGGAATTTTTCGAAGCACGGTACATCCAGGCGAAGTATAGCAATAGCCTTTATTTCGTTTATCTGCGCATTCTTTAATCCTGAAAATTTCAAAATAACATGAGTAAAAACAAAAATTAGAAACCTTTCAAGCAACAAATTCTCGTTCCCCAGAAGCGTATGTCCGAATAGGAAAAGTTGTTTGTCTTCAGTCATACAATAATCGCTTATTTTTCAATAAATTTAGAATAAATTTTCTAAAACAAAAAACAAGAAATATTAAGGCTTTGGGAGGAAATTTGTGGTTTATGGGCCCATTTTTCCTCCCAGGTTTTTTCCCTAATATGTCCATACTTGTCGGCTTTCTTCCTCAAATTTTTATTGACGACGTTCATGAATATGTCATAGGGAATTAGAGTTGAACTGAAGAAGGGGGTCTGAACTCATTTTAAGGAAAGAAATATGAGGAGGAAATGGATGGCCCGTAAACGACAATGTTACCCTTTACACCCAAACAAAATAATAATAAATCGGTTTAAGAATCAGACCAGTGTCTAATAAATACGATGAAAAGTAAAAGCAAAAATATTAAAATTCGGCGCATAGCTTACGGCGTAAAATTTCATTATATTCGCGAATATTCGACAGAAAATTAAAAAAACTTTAAGCTAATGCCAGAAAAATTGATGACAGTTTATTCGGTCTTTTGAAACGGAAAATTCGTTAACTCAAAGAACGAATTTCGTTCTTAACAAAAACCCTTGAACTCAGAATTCTAGGATCCGTAACAGGATTAAAAAAACAGGACCGAAACAGGATTGCCTTGAAGACTGTTCACGAACCTGCCATAGGGAAGTAAATAGATTGGAAACAATAAGAAAGGAATCAAAAAAATAAAAAATAAGCAAAAGAAATGAAAATATGTATGTAACAAGTAAAAAATCGATACTCTGCGAGAATAAAAAATCAATAAAACTCTAACTGTCTTGAAGTTAACAATATGAAACTAGGTATATTTTCTCACGGAGCAGGACTAATAGGCGCAGCCGAATAGGCGCAGACGAATAGGCGCAGCCGAATAGGCGCGGAGACAAATAGGCGCGAGACGAATAGGCGCGGGACGAATAGGCGCCCGAAGTTATTTTTTCCTAGATATTTTTTTTGATTTTTCTTATCTGATTTTTTCTTCTGATTTTTTGTTCTGATTTTTTCTTCTGATTTTTTTGTTCTGATTTTTCTTTTCTGATTTTTTCTTCTGATTTTTTTGTTCTGATTTTTTCGTTCTGATTTTTTCTTCTGATTTTTTGTTCTGATTTTTTCTTCTGATTTTTTTTGTTCTGATTTTTCTTTTCTGATTTTTTCTTCTGATTTTTTTGTTCTGATTTTTCTGTTCTGATTTTTTTGTTCTGATTTTTTCTTCTGATTTTTTTTTGTTCTGATTTTTTCTTCTGATTTTTTTGTTCTGATTTTTCTGTTCTGATTTTTTCTTTTGATTTTTTTTTGTTCTGATTTTTCTTTTCTGATTTTTTCTTCTGATTTTTTTCTTCTGATTTTGTGATACATGTAAGCCCTCTTAATCCTCTTATATCACTCGATATCCCCCTTTATCTACCCAAATCACCCAATGAAAGATAATTTATTGATTCTCCACCCGGAGCCAACATGGAGCGGCTCCGAAAATCGCCGGCTCCGGAGCCGGAGCCAACAAAGTGCAAATACTCAGCACTGGTAGGTATGAATTGATATTGGGGACTGAGATACTTGCGAGGATTGCGGCTGCGGAAAATATTTTTTCACTTGCCGACAGCCCTGATCTGATACTGAACCGATATTTTTCTGATCCGTTCCATGATGGAAAATTGGTATTTAAATACTCTACTCTTCGCTCCGCTCTACTCTTCGCTCAGAACAAAAAAATCAGAACAAAAAAATCAGAAGAAAAAATCAGAAAAGAAAAATCAGAACAAAAAAAATCAGAAGAAAAAATCAGAACAAAAAAAATCAGAACAAAAAATCAGAAGAAAAAATCAGAACGAAAAAATCAGAACAAAAAAATCAGAAGAAAAAATCAGAAAAGAAAAATCAGAACAAAAAAATCAGAAGAAAAAATCAGAAAAGAAAAATCAGAACAAAAAAAATCAGAAGAAAAAATCAGAACAAAAAAAATCAGAACAAAAAATCAGAAGAAAAAATCAGAACGAAAAAATCAGAACAAAAAAATCAGAAGAAAAAATCAGAAAAGAAAAATCAGAACAAAAAAATCAGAAGAAAAAATCAGAACAAAAAATCAGAAGAAAAAATCAGATAAGAAAAATCAAAAAAAATATCTAGGAAAAAATAACTTCGGGCGCCTATTCGTCCCGCGCCTATTCGTCTCGCGCCTATTTGTCTCCGCGCCTATTCGGCTGCGCCTATTCGTCTGCGCCTATTCGGCTGCGCCTATTAGTCGTGTACCGATTTTCTCATCACACTTTCTTAAGGGGAAAATAAAAAATGTCGTGTCCTCTAAATATTTTGCCAATACCATGTTTTGCCAACAAGGCTAAAAATCCTTGTCTTGTCAAAAACAATTTTGCAAATGTGGATTTCAGCCTTGTTGGCAAAATATGTATTGGCAAATGGGAAAGCCAAGAATACAATAGAAAATATAGAGTAAGAAACTTAGAGTAAGGCTTGAAATGAGAGAAATTGTAGAAAATAACGCCTTAGACCTATGTGTAATGTCATTTTTACAAATTTAAACTCAAAGGAAAAGCTTTATCTATCAAACATAAAAACTAAAAAAATATTTTCTATATATGTACATACATAAATAATAACTAATTAAATCAAGAAATTTAGTGTTATCTTAAATATTTTTGAATGAGTTTTGAGTTGATTAGAAGATTAATGTATTGAATGACTGCTTGAAATTGTGTGTAATTGTTTATAATGCTGTTGAAGAAAACAATAACTTTTAAACTATTGCATTTCCCCTCCTTTCTCCTTTCTACAATAGAGCTCTGAAAATAGAAAATTCTAAATTTTTTTTAATTGGAATTAGCGAGGTGAGCATTTTCGTCATCATGCTCGTCGCAGAAAATTGGAGATATCTGGCTTCATGGCCATCTAACCTTCAAAAAATTTTAAAATGCGGCGCTAATTAGTATAAATAGAATGTTTTTAAGGCCTTCTAAAAATCAAGAATTATCGGATACGGTCCTAAAAATCTTAAAAATCTAAAACTCGATGTTTTGAATTTTTACGCCTGCGGCGAGAAAAAGACTGCGGCGCAAAAGTCGACGGCACAAAAGTGGCAGAACAGCATAAAATATTTGAATACCTTTTAAAGTTTTCAGCTCTTCAATCAATGCCTGAAAAAAGTTTTGCTAATTCTATTTAGATTATCGAAGGGATAATTTAGAAAATCAATTTTAATAGCCATGACAGTTATTTAAGTTCTTTAAAAATATTCTAGTGAAACGTACCTTATTTTGATTTTCGAGTACTGCCACCTTAAAGAAAATTTTATTAGATTGTGAAAACAAAATAAGAAACCCGATTCTCAAGGCATTTCACATATTCCTTTTTCTTTCGACGACATTCTTTTGCAGCTTCTCTAAAACATATATAATTTCGTAACTAGATATATTTTTCTTCAAAAAATTAAAAACACAAACATTTGAATAAAATAAATCTTAGTCATATCTAGTTAGCTATCAACGAGTTAAAAATTTAACCTGTTTTTTAGTAGACGGACCTGCCTTTTTCGGTTCGTTTCCTCATTATCCGACCTGTGCGTGATGCTAATTTGAACGAAAGCGCATCGCATTTAATTTTTATAGTTAATATAACTTACAATGAAGTGAGGGAAGCTGATCCTTGCCTTGTGCCTAAAGAAAAAAATTTTAAAATAAATATAAATGAAAAATCCCTACCTAAACCTCCATGATTTTGAGGCGGCCCAACATGCTGATTGTGAGAGGTCCCTCCACCTGAAGCAGAGGCATTATTATTACTACTATTAATGCCAGTTAAAGTAATAGCTGAAGTAGAAGAATTTGAGGGGGGAGTTTGCTGTTGTTGCAACAAATGATTTGGTGCTACTGATGGATGTTGCTGTCTATTATAGGTTGTTAAAAGGTTGTTCTGCCAATCTATAAAAAAATTATATTTATTATCAGTATTGAGAGTAAATTTTTAACCATTTTGAGAGAATGCCGTCGAAATTGATTCAGGCACGGCACCTGTCTTCAAGCCCAGCATTTCAAGGTTGTTTACTGCATTAAGCTGAAAAATATGAGGAATTAAATAAATTGAATTAAATAAATTGAATTCATTTTAGTTAATAATTTAAAATATTAAATAAGTTTGGGACACAAAAAAGTAAATAAAACAGACATACAGGTGTTAAAATAAAGAGTAAAATTTTTTAATAGTCAAATGATTCAAAATGTATCAATCCGTAACTGCGTTTTCAAAGAAAAAACTTCAGCTTTTAGTATATGATAAATATCCCATAAATTCTAAGACTCTCACGAACTAACTAGGGGTTGTTGTCCAGCTCGAATTTGAGGTTGAGGCTGTGAAGGGATTTCAACAGTTGGCGCCACTGTACTCTGGATTCTCTGGGAAACACTAGAATGTTGTTGTGGAGCAATTAAGTTTAACTGTCCTAATGAGAGATGTGCTTGAGTAGGGGAGGAGAGATGAAGTGCTTGAGCTCCTATAGGGTTTGGAGTTGAACTAATTGAAGCAGCAGAGGATACACCAACGCAAAGAGCTTAAATTTTACAAATACTAATAATTAAAAATCAAGATACACTTTGTTTATTTTCTCCCATTTTTTTCTTATTTCTTTTCTCCAAAAATGTAAACATGATCAAAATAACATAATGTTTAAGGACTATGGCGATATTTACTCATCCCTGCCTTTTAGAACCGATGGTCGGTATTAACATTGTGTACCATAACCCTGTGTAAGTAGCGCCTCTCTAGACGTCTATTTTATAAGTTAACAATATTATATATTTTGATCCCCGCTAAATGTCAATCTAAATTCCAGTCTAAATTGAGCAAATAAGACGATATTTCATAAAATTTCCGTTTACATTCTGTTAGTATTAGAATTTATTACGTGCTGTTGGTGCAAGTGGAGGTGGAGGAGGAGCATTATTAAGTCCCGTGTTATTGGGTGGCGGAAAATTCCTGATTAAATGAGCAACTCCATTATCTGATGAGAGAAAGTTTGAAGTTGTTGAACTCTCGTCCGGTGATTGACTAGCTGAAAAATGAGACGAAATTTCGTTTGAAATGACATAGGTTTTTGAAAATCCCATGTAAAATTTTAGGAGAATGCTTTGGAAGTTAATAGATGGATTCAATAATAACAACTGATAAAAAACAAACAAATTTGTTGTTGAACTTGGCCACCGTCATTATTAAGCATTTCGGCAGATAAAGAGGGTTCGTCCATTTCCTTTTTTAACGGTTTGTCGCCAACAGTTTCCAAGTCTTTGAGAATCATTCTAAAATAAAATATTTAATTCATTCATTTTTCTCATTTAAATTAAACATCGCTTAAAAACTTATTTATTTTAAATTAACAGAATTTTTGGCCTTGAAATATGCATGATACAGACAAAAAACCCGGCCTAGAAACTTAGTAACCCAAATAAAAATATGGAGATAGTATGTAATAAACAACCGACTAAACATACATATTAACCTAAAGGTAGAAAACAATTCGAAACAAATTCTGTTAGGTTCAAGTTATAAAACAAGTGTTTTTAATTATGTATATTTTTGAATAAAAATTTAACCGATAAGAGGGTCTGCGATTCAATTGCTCTCTTCTCCTTCGAGCTTCTTCTTCGTTGACAATCTCCTCAACTCCAAGAGATATTCTCTATAAATTGAAAAAGATACGATAATTTGTTAATATAAAGGAAGGGTGTCTCGAATTGGAACTATAATTGGATTAATAGATAAACCTGATCTCTATGTTGAGAACTATGTTCATTTCCGCGGCAATCTTGACCGGAAAGAACATTTGGATCCATTGGCATTTTAATATTAAAAAATAAAATTTTATGTAGACGTAATAATTTAATCAAACAAATCACAGAATCCGCCCATATAACGCTAAAAATTGATAAAAAACGGAAACATCAAATACATATAAAAAATTTAAAATATGACCATATTATTTAACATAAAATTTATATTTTATCTCATACTATGTACTATACCTATATATAAATGTAAAGAAGCCGTATCAAAAAACCGCGCAATACTCAGTTTGTCATCGCTATGTTGCTGTTTTAATTTTTTCTAGTTTAGCAAATCCGAATGACGTCAGAGTGAAAAGATAAGGAAATTGATGAGACAAAAAATAATAAAAGAGAAGAATGCAATATTAGGACAGCTGAGTATTTATAGAGCAATATAACATAAAAAAATTTAAAAAATACGTAAATTTTTTTGTAAAAACACTTAAACTGTAGCAATTATACCAATTTGAGTTAATTAATTCATTCAAACAATCTAGAAGGATAAATTTTGAATAAAATAGATTTGACAGACTCTCTAAGAAAACTTTTTTAGCTTGAGTATTATTATTCCGCTCTCAGAAAAACTTAAGATTATTTCTTAAAAGGAGCAAGTTTCCTTAGAAAGGCTGTAAATAAAATGAATTATCACTTTAATATTGTTAATCATTTTTCCGTTCCATCTTTTCTTTACTCTTCATTTTTTGACCATTTCATTTGAACTAGTCTTAGGTCCAACTGTTGAGGTTCGTGGCTGTTGTGCACTCCACATTGAGTCAACTCTCCCCTTTAATAGTCCTATTATGTTCATAACAGCACGACGATATGGCTTAACGAGGATCATTGCGGCAATTGGGTTGAGAACCTTATTTATGAATATAAATTCTGATATAATTTATCTTACTGGAATGAAATATAATGGAATAGCTGTATAGATCATATAACGAATAGCATGATTTCTGGGGAAGAAGATTGGCGATAGAGTTTGAAAAGCCAATTCTAAAACATCAATTGTAGGTAAGATTGCCTGTGTATAATTTTGAATTATGAAATTGTTTGATACTGAAATTTTTAAACACCTGTACAAGAAGTGCCGTGGTTACTTGCTGATTATATTCACGCATACGTCCCCTTTTAACGCTATCTAACCCTTCTCCAATATCAGCACATGTTTTTGCTATATAACGTCGTGTACCGATTGTGCAAAACTGTGATTTTAAAATTGAGCATGCATTTTTATAAGAAAATTTAATTACCGCAATGATACCATAACAAGTCAAAAAGATGGAAATCATGATTGCACAGTGGATAAGCCATAATGTCGTACGCTTTAATATATTTTTTTAATTTGTAAAATCGTTGTTAAATTAAATGAAATTAGTTAATTATGCATTTAAGCATGTAAGGGGTATTAAGAATTTATAGTATACTCGGTAGGTATGTAAGACATTACTTTTCTGCCTCTGGATTAACGAACAAAGCTAGCATTGCCATATCTTCATTGCCATACTACACTAGAACAGTTACCAACAGCTGCCGGGTCCATCAAACTTGTGTCTCCCTTTATGCGCATGGAGGTTGTGTTAACCACAACCCATGGCATTTTTATGTTGTATATTTCTATTATACTTACCGCATAAGTAAATGAAGAGAACCGAACACCTGTAATATGTACTTCTTGTTCAACCAAATGTGCAAGCATTGCCATATCTTCAAATTTTTCATCAAAAGGAAAATCAGAAACATAATGAAGAGCAACATGTGCAATAAGAAGAATACAAAGAACAATTCCAGTTATATATTTAAGTTTTGTTGGAATATGGCCATCACTTAAAAATACTTTAATTTGAAGATATATTTTGTTTTAATTTATGTTGGTCTTCATATCTATGTAGCTCATTCCAAAATTTCACACAAACTTAACGAGCAAGTTTATTGTGTACAAATCGAATTTACAGTCAAGGCTTTTATTTAGACCTGCTTATCATGTAGTAGCGAAAAATAAATTGAATAGTTGTACAACAAACAAACAGAAGCAACATTTGTAGCCAAAATACGTTTGCCTTAAATTTCATGTTATTTAAAATGACTGATAAATAACGTGAAATGATTTGATAAATTACCATTAATTTATCAATAGATAATTTATCAATTTTCATGAATTAATATAAAGAATTACCGTATAGTCGTATGGACGTGGAAGAAAACGAAAGAACCCATTTTGCATGATGGCAAAATAACCATGAAATGCAATCTATTATGTAAATTTTTTAATTATGAAAGATTATATATTCACCGTAATTGGCTGAACAAGAAATCCGCATGTTGCAATACAAATATCCTTAGAATTTATCATAGTAATTTTTATTACTTCGAGTTTTTAGAATTTCGAGTCAACTTAATTCCTAGTAGGAAGTAGAGACCGGACTGTGAGGATCGTACGATTCGAAAAAATCTCAATAACCTAGATTTCTGATCAAGATCTCGTCTTGGTTCGGTCTCTAATAATGTATTTAACAGTACATATATTTTCAGCTATATATGTATTGCGTCCAGTTTGAGATTGACGAAATATTATTTGATAAATATAAATATTTTCGAGTAAACTACCATTAAACAAGGGGCCATAAGCAATTTGCTATATACAAGCATAGGAGCTGGTGTTTTCATTATAATTAGCCATATCAAAAACGCATTAAACAACATTGCCAGAATGAAACTGCATATTGCTGTACTTGTATAGACAGAACGGATGAAATCTTAATATAATTAAAGGGATAATAATTATAAAGTTACTGATATGACTATATAAGTACCATTAGTTTGTTCTTCTGTAGATCCTTGTTGTATTGCAGAAAATGTGACTGAAGTGTTTGGAAAACTTGGAAGAAGCATGATTAAATATTTAAATGGTTATTTAGTTTAAAAAATCATTAATCTTCTATAAATTAACAGTAAATTCTGATGAGTAATTAAATTTTCTAAAATATTTAGAATATATCACTTGAATTTTTTATTCACACTTAAAAAATAAAATAAGGTATGCTAATGAGTTGTTCTTGTAATTTATTTTTTATATTTTTTAGGTGTTCCATAACTAATATTTTCTAACTTAATTTTTAAATACAATTGAAGGAAAATGAGCCTAAATAAAACATATTTAAATTTTTTAGATTGTTTACATATATTAAAATTCCTGGTTGATATTTTCATTTAAAATACAAAGGAAAATACATTAATTAGCTTCAATTGCTCTAAAAAATTTACCTAAATTAATTCTATTCTTTTTTAAAACAAAATTAAATAATACTTGGCATAGGTATTCTAATGAGTGATTTCTTTGTAAAGCAGCGAATAACAAGTATTTAAATTAAATATTTTAAGCAACATTTTTATTTAAAAATGTGAAATGTTTTTTTCACAAAGGTGTTCATTATCAATACATATTTGAAAAAATTTATAGAAAAATTATGGTTCATAAATTTTTTCGTGAAATTTAAATAAGATTTCCTTATTTGAAGAAAATTTCCTATCTATATTTATTGTTAGTTATGTTTAGAGAAATTTTTGTGGATTTTTCGATTGATAAATAAAATTACGAGGGTTCACTTATATGTATTTATGCTACACAAAATTTGCGAATTTAATAAAAAATTTAAATTTTGATAGATTTGGTCCTTCTTTTGCATATGTTAAAATTCCGCAAATTCATAACTAAAAACCGAGATGTCCTAAAATATGGGTTCCTTTATAATAATTTTACACACCGTATGTAATCTTTATACCGATGAAATTAGAATGTACATATTTAAATAAATAAAGAAATACTTAAATAATATAAAGAATTGTTGGGAATATTTGATCAGTGCCAAGCCAACAGCAAAAATTTTAAAAATTAATAAAAATAGTTAAATTTAATGTTGAATAAAAAAGGATGATTTTAAATACATCAATAATTGAATGTAATTGAATGTAATTTTATATTAGATGAATGTCATAAATCAAAATCATTAAAGATAAAATAATAAATTAGTCAAATAATAATGGTGAAATGCTTTTTGAACTAGGAGTCTATAAAGTAAAATATCGATACATAGTACATATATTTAATTTTAAAATAATAATCTCAAGATATTCTATGGTAATAAGATTCTGACTCCTAATTCAAAAAACTAAAAATAATGATTCTACACTATTTAGTGAAAATAAAAAATAATGATAGTCCTGTTCATGTTTATGGTTCTGAGATATACTATGTATCAGGGTCTAATATTTAGTTTAAAATATTGATCGGAGTTTCGTATCGGCCTAAAATAAGTCAAATATGAACAGTCTATATTTAAATTGAATTTTAAGAAGAGTAAGCAGTAGATAGCTGTTGATTCGGCTAATTGATCATGAATTGGAAGGGCAACAGTTCTTGTATATACCTATTAGGATTGTCTATTCAGGCCTAAATATATGGTCGGTTATTTGTGGTGTTCCGGTTTTTTATTATTCGATCAAGCCTTTTTCGAGTATCGTATCAGGTATACACATTTGGAATAAATTCTTGTAATAAGATATTAATGTCTCTTAATAAAATAAATAGAGTAGTTAAAATAAAGTTGTATGTATCACATAAATATACTTAGTAGGATAAAATAAACATAGTAGGTTTATACAAATACTTACACTTCATCAATTACACATCTCTTCCCTCGAAAAATTTTCGCAACTTCAAATATTCTAATCCGTTTTGTGTTTTTTATGCTTTTTTGTCTTTTCATCCGAATCTGATGAAGATGAAGCATCATCCTTGCCTTTCTTATGATGTTTGTGTTTTTTCTTGAACATTTTTTCATCCTCATCTTTATCGTCAGCATCTTTATCTCTTCCACGTTTGTTTTTCTTGGCTTTCTTTATCGTTTTTTCATTATCCTCCCCACTGCTGCTTGAACTAGTTGAGGATTTATCTTCTACATTTTTCTCGTTATTTTCCACTTCCTTCGTACTATGTTTTTTCTTTACGTTTTTACGCTTAATTAATAACTTGATATAGTGACGTTTATATATGGAAATAAAGCTATGTTAACAATAGACTCACATTGTCTTTTAGTCTTAAATGAACAATTTATCAAGTTTATACCTTTTTATGCTTTTTTCCTTCAGCCTCTTCAATGTTTTCTGAAGATGATGACGATGAATCTTTAACCTTTCTCTTCTTGGCCTTTTTTGCTTTATCATTACGCTTCCTTTTATCTTCTTCATCTCCTTCACTGCTTGAAGATGATGAGGACTCATCTTCTTTCTTTTCTCCGCCTCCCTTATTTTTACTTTTTTTGTCCATCCTATCTACTTTTCCTTTTTTATCTTTTTCCGGTTCCTCTACACTACTTGCTGAACCAGAAGATGATGCAGAATCGTCTTAATTATAGTATTAACTAGGCATTCATAATTAAAGACTACATATATAAAAATTAATTTAATTATGAAATGATCAAACAAGTAATTTTTCGCTATACTTTCTGTCAACCCTCTAAAATGTAGTATAATTATGAACCTGTGCTTATCATAAAGTTTCATGGCAATAAAATCTGTTACACATTAAAATAATCCATTCAACGAGACATTTTAGTAGTTATAACCAGACTTGCACACGGATACTGATCTTGGTATCCGTATCCGGATATTTACGGCGGATACGGGCGGATACAGACGGATATCCGCAGGCATTTTGATATTATCTGTATCCATATCCGTATCCGTGTGCAAGTCTGGTTATAACTTATACATATCTTACATACCATCATTTAACTTGTTATCTTCAGTTTTTTTCTCATTTTCCTTTTTGATTATCTCCTTTTCTTCCTCATTAATTGCATTGTTCACCTGTTTTTCAACATTTTCACTGCTTGAAGAGGATGAACTACTATCATTTGGTTTTCTAGAACCCGCTTCTTAATTTAAAATTTAGTTAATATTTTTAAAGGTCATATTAGCATTCTATTCACAGACATACTAATAACTAGGATCACGATTTTCCTGACAAAGTGCAAGAATGAGAATCATGAACTTATTACTTGTTAACAACCTAAGAACCAAAAAATTTACTTAGCGGATTGGGCTTCAACTCTTCTTTCTGTTCTTCATTGTCATTTGTTGCATCCTTCATATCCTTATCATTCTTAGAATAAGGCCATACTCCGTCTTTAGTGGTAGACTTCCTAATAGGTTGATCCACATTTTGCTCCTGTTTGACCTCTTCATTTTTATCAGCCCCTTTCATACAAAAATCCACCAACTGCATTGGAACCTTTTCTGTAAAATCCTTGCGTAATTCGTTTTCAATAAGAAGTGAACGTATCTTTTCGCAATCTTGCTTTCGGCTAATACCTTTGTCATCTATTATTTCCTAAAATAATAATGGCATTTTAAATATCGAGAAATTTGGAAATTAAATGACAAATGAATTAAATGCTTTAACAAATGGATTAAATGCTTCTGAACATTTAAATTCTTAATTTAATTACCTCTATTTTTGACAATATATTTTTCATTCCTTCTGTAAACAAATTCAAACGATCTTCTAGTTTCCTCTTCTCTTGTTTTTTGCTTTCTTCAATTTTTGCTTTCCATTCATAGAAAGCATTCTAAAAAATTCTCAATTAAGTGTTTCGCCAAGACGGATAAATTACTAATGTTTACGACCGGCTAATTTTAGCCTATGGCGGCTCAAATGCTCATTATTCTCCATTTGAGCCGCCACAAGGGGAAAGTTAACCAGCCATGAACAACCATATTATTTACCCAAGTTTCAAAAAATCTTTAAATATTTTACCATAACATCAGTATTTTGTTTCTCTGCCCATTGCTGACGTTCTACTTCCAATTGTCCCTTTGTTAAATTTGGATCATTTGAGATTTGTTGAAATTTTTTCACTTCTTCGTAGGGTACATCACGGAGAAAAGGGAAATTGTTTATCAATTCTAAATTAAATTATTTTTGTCATGTTACCCACATGAATATTTTAAAATATGAACAATGTATTTGGGCTTAGAAACTTGCAGTTAGACGGAAATTCAAAAATATTAAAAAGTTACCACCACCTTGTTTTCCTTCATTTCGATTTTTCATTTTTTTAATACTCACTCCTTCCTCATCTTCAAAACCTTTTTTATCAATTAAATTACTTGATTTTACTTTTTCATTAGCTTTTCCACTAACATCATTTTCATTTTTAGCCATTTCATTTTCAATATTTTCACCATTGTCATATTTTTTGCCTAAAGGAATTTCTTCGTGTTTTTTTAAATTCTGTACGTTTTCTCCTACATTCTGATAATCTGACCAATTCCCTTCAACTCGGGACTGCGTTACAGTAACAAATGTAAAAAGTAAAACAATTTTTAATATTTTCTGTGGAAGATGCCTTCCTCGCATTTTAGTCAAATAAAAATGGTGGGAGTGAGGGGTAATGCATGTTAAAGCGCCTCTCAAAGAAGCTATGTACACGTATAAATTAAGTGCAAGCATATGCGCGACTACAACGGCTTTATCTTTTACGAGGAGGGAAGGTGAAAGCCGAGGGATAATGTAGGAGGGATAGTGTGTAGAGAGAATATTCTTATCAAAAATAGTTAAGGGAATGAGTGTTGGAGAGAAGGGAGAGATACGAATGCTTCCACGCAAGCAATATTAAATCGGTTAGCTTAATCAATACCTAAAATTTGAAATACTTTAAAAATAGAACAGAGTTCACGGAATTCTTTTTAATCCGTTCAAATGTCCTTTGACTCTTCTGAGACCCACTGACAATAAATATTAATTTTAAAAATTTATCAAACATTTAATAAATATTTTCGAGAGTATCATCAGAATTATCACCTTCCATTTCATCGTGTTCAGTTAAATTCGATTCATCCTCTGCCTCAATTATCAAATTTTCAGGAATTTTTAAAGAACATCTGTAAGAGGAGCCAGAGTTTTTTGGATAACTTGAATGAACTAGAAAATGAATTTAAAACAAATAAAAATCAAACAATGTTAGTTCTGTCTCCTTCGGTAATTTGTAAGAATGATTGAAATGTATACCAAGAAAAGCTTTAAATGCCTCCCTTAAAATTAAATTGTTTAAAAAGAATTATTTTAAGTAAAGGACCAGAATTACTTTTAAAAATAGGTTTAAAAATCAAAATCAAGACTTTTTAACAACCAAAATAAATTTTTAAATATATCAACATGCTCGGAACTCATCTGGTAATAATATGATTGTTCCTTTTTTTAATTTTCTGATCGTTTTTTTACTTTTTCTGCCCATGCTGACCTTATTTTTACTGAATATACATGAAAATAGTGCAATTAATTTTTTCACAAGGATAAAGAGAACATAAGAAAATTGAAGCATGATACCAAAAGTATATCCTTTTTCTATGTCTCATTAAAAATAAGTTAAGCATGGAAAGAAAAAAGGAAAATGTGGCCAGAAAATTGAAAAAATGGGGGTCAATCAAACTATAATCAGTCAGCTTCCATGAAAACCGATAATTATAAATAACAAAATAAGAACAAACCTCTCTTCAAGAAACACTTTACGAATATTTTCAATTACAAGATGTTCTTTACAATCAAGAAAATGGTCAATAATTAAATAAACAATTGGAATAAAATACATTTTGCGTACACTAAAGCTACAATCAATGCATTTATAAACAAAACGGGATTGAGATATATTCTCCTAAAAATGCTTTGTTTATGTATATAATATATTAAGAATACCTTTGACTGATGAAAACTTAATCTAAAAAGTCTGGTCAAATGAATTTTTGGAGTTATTGGGCCAGCGTAATACCTTTGTACTGCCTGACAATAAAATCGTGATTGTAACGTTCTAAAAATAATATATTAGTTTCTAACCTAAAGAATTTCAAACCACCCCCCCCCCATCTCAGAAGGAAAGTATAACCCCTCCCCACCAATTTTTTTTATTCTAACATGCACAAAATGATAATAAATGCCATAGATCGATAAAGCTCGTCTAGCTAAGTCATTTGACACCAGAATTGGTCCGAACAAATATCCTTTAGCTAGTTACAGGCGTTAAAAAAGTCAAAAAACATAAATTTAAGGGGCTCGAAATGGTCAAACTTTTAAATGGCAAACCTAAATTGGCGGTTCTCTATGTTATTTACTAAACCAACTTCTTTTTGAATTGTATCATCACAATCCATCTCATCTTCAGACGAATCAGATAAAATTGGTAGTTTAGGATATCGAGACTTAAAATTAAATATAATTTCATTAAATGTTTAATAACCTTCAATTTATTTTCTTTTTTGTTGAAAATATGAACAACTATATATTTTTTAACACCAAATATTTGACCAATTTCCTTAAATGTTTTCCCTTGTTCTCGAAGTTCGACAAGTTTGTCATAATTTTTAAGAAGATGTAATGCAGAAGAACTCAATTTTCTTTTAGAAGTTCCTTGATTCTCAAAATTTTGTGAAGCCATTTTCCCTAAAAATCAAGAAATAAAAACTTATGAAAATTTTAAACGTTTCTAAAATAAAAATATTTGGGAAAAGTAAAAACTAAACACCGAGAGGAACTTTGTCAATAACTTCGTCGTCTGTACAAAAGATATTTTCACAAAAGATCGTTGCGAGCAAACTAGTTCAAAACGTCGAAACATCTGGATTGAGTTAGAATGTCTATTTTAAAAAGTCGCAAGGGGCGGTTGACAATGAGTGCCAAAAGCTGAATGTAGGCAGGTGAGGGTTTGTTTTTTACTTTTGTTTCGACTTTTGGTTTATGCTGATTTTTATTCTAGTTATATTTTAGTATATCCACGGAAAAAATTTTGCCTCTGCGGAGGCATCTCGAGCAGAACGACGGCGCCGCGAGCGAAGCGAGCGCAATTCGAAGCGAAAGTCATTTGCATTCATTTTTCTTGCAAAAAATTTTTTTAATATGACCAAAAGTTACTTTTAATTTCCTGTAAAATAATTGCTAGAATTAATTTTTCTTGCCATTTTTAACAAACAATCCACCACTCCCTAGTATTGATGCCATTTTTGGATAATACAAAGGTGAGTGAGAATGAATGAGGCAGCTGCTTAAAATAAGTGTGTGTTAATCACCTGGCCTTTAAAGTAATTCTTGGCTTCTTTAATAAAACAAAATGTTTGCCATATTTATATACATATATCTAATTATTTCTAAATGTTACCTTACGTGTTTGTTAAATGTTACTAAATTTAAATATACTAGAGCAATTTACTCTCAAAAGTCAGGTTTTTCCCGTTAATTATTTTTGTTTAATATTTCATCAAGTACAATGCTTTTACAAGGTCTGCTAGATCTTAACAAATAAACTAAAGATTTACTTAATATTAGCGTAAAGTCAAATAGATTCCATCTAAGATTGGTGTACGTATAAAATCTAGATTCAAATCAAGATTCAGAAATTCACAGTTGCCATATGTAGGAGCTCGAAAGAGACTCGAGTAAAGCATCTGGACTATAGCTATTTCTCTCCTTCAGCTAGTGCGCAAGGTTATTCGGCGCCTGGGAGCGAACCAGCATCTTCAGTAAACTCGTATGGCCCGGTCTGATAATAATAAGCCCGAAAAATGCCTTGATCGTAGTCATGAAGTGTCAGAAACAAATTTATTTGTCAATAAACTAAATTCAATTTTTATTTTTTAAAAATTATTTCGACATTTAATAATTACATTTTAATTAATTACATTTTTATTCTAAGGATTATGTAAGTCGATTAGTATTAAAGGAATAAACGGATAATTTAGATACCAAATATAGAATATCAAAAAAGGATTATTTATATTCCGCGCAGAACACGAGGCTACTTAATTTTTTGCATAGATAGAGTACAAAGGACTTAATTGAATGGCATTTTTCTAATCCCAAATTTTAAAAATTTAGAAATGTTAAGATATAGATAATCTAGCTATACAATTTCTGTTTAAATTTTTTCTAAATTTATCAGTTAAATGTTTAATTTAGATTTGGAGTCATATACTAAAAAAAAATACCCAGTCGATTAGTATTAAAGGATATTCCGCGCAGAACACGAGTAATGTTCGCATTAACATAATACCCAGTCCCGGAAAGTCAATGAATTTGAGACACGTGTCATCATCCTACTTTAAGTATTAAAAGCAACTCTATATAATTTACTTACAATTAGCGTGTAAAAGAATCAAACGTTTAGAGTTTTGACTTACTCAAACTGGGTTGTTGTTTATTTACACAGTATACCTCAATACTAAGGTTGACGGGTTCCGGAACCGAAAACAGACTGGATAGCGGAAAATTTTCGGTTCGATTATCAGTCCGGTTCCTGATATTTTTTTCTGCCCTCTATACCGGCTTTTTTATTTTTTTTATGCCGACTATTTTAATAACTTGTTAAAATGGCGTGACTCTAAATACCATATACATATTCTTTATAAATTAACGGTACACCTCAATTGAGTCCGCACGATTGAGTCCCCACGATTGAGTCCGCACGATTGAGTCCCCACGATTGAGTCCCGGCACGATTGAGTCCCCACGATTGAGTCCGCACGATTGAGTCCCCGTTGTATATACCTCAATTGAGTCCCCGTGGATTTAACCTTAAAATTTCAAAAAAAATTCCAAATCCCGCATGCGTGATTATTTCAAAAATGTTGCGGGATATTTTGTAAAATCCCACAATTAAAAATGTTATCAAGATTATCAAAAATCTTTATTCAATCTAATAAACACTAGTCACTAATTCTAAAACAAAATTTTCAAATAAATAAATATTCATGGATCCATATTATAGTTATGAGAAACACCTCTTAAAAAATCAATAATTGGGTGAATAGGATAAACAACTGGAAATTGATAATTGTGATCAAAATTTGGATTTGCGGCCTGATACGTTTGAACCAACGCATGAATTCTTCTATCGGCATCACGATACTTTCTTCGTTTAGGTGGAGTTTCTTCGTTTAGGTGGAGGCATCAGCGGCAAACAAAGGATCATTTTTATAACGCTGAAAAATAGAAGTACAAATGAAAATGAGAATAAAAAACAACCTGCATTAAATTAGCATCGCAAATTGCTTTTTTAAGATTCCTAACCAGGTGGAACAGACAACCAGCCAGATCTGAACGAGGAAAAACCTCCTGAATAGCTCCAATAATTGCTGCTTCGTAGTCTGTTGAGAAAACACGTGGGTTGAACTGCGGCCAAATTTCTTTGACGAGTCGAAAAAAGCGAGCATATGTCGATTTTGTTTTATTTGTCGGCAACCCATAGAGCACAGGGAACACCCACTTACGTTTTCTAAATTAAAAATAGAAACTTCAACCAACCTAACTTCAACCAACCTTGCAAGCACAAAAAATTTGATAAAATAAAGGAGGAGTAACGCTAAAGCTCCCATCAACAAAAACATGTTCCATTTGTTCTGACCACTCCCCAAATGACATACGACCAAATATGAGGATTCTAAAAAATAATCTATTAAAAAAATAAAAAAGACAATAAACCTCGCTATGTAGGCGAGCCTTACATCTGACATCTTTTTTGTTGAAGGCCTCACATCTCCAAAACTTGATGTCTTCGTCTTTGTTCATTTTATGAAAAACAAATAATTATCCATCATGAACAAGTTTAGGCTTTCTACGTTTAGTTAAAATATCCGCCATCCTGTTTGAAATAATAGATTATTATAATAGTACAATTTTGTTCTTTAATTACTATCTTTTTTCTCAAATCAAATCCACGGGGACTCAATTGAGGTATATACAACGGGGACTCAATCGTGGGGACTCAATCGTGCCGGGACTCAATCGTGGGGACTCAATCGTGGGGACTCAATCGTGCGGACTCAATTGAACTGCTCCGTAAATTAAACGTTTTTTTATTAATTTACCGAAGACTAAATTTGCACTATTTATCATTGTTTATCTGTGTATTTATTAATTTATTTAAGCAGTTTACAACTTCTTTTTATTGATTAAATTTGTTTGCGTCATATTCGAGTTTGCTATTTTTCGTGCATTTGTGAACGTTGTTCTTTCTTTTTAATAATTTTGTTGATTAAAAATTAACGAGTTTATTTCTTTCTTTTTGTAAAATTTTAAATAAAATATTCTAAAATTAAAAAAATAATTTTTCAGGGCATTCATTATTAAATAAATTTTTTTAATATTTTAATGTTGGTAGCAAAGACAGATGACCAAAATAATAATATAAACAATAATATTGATTGTTCCCAATCTGTGATTTCTACTATTGGGGGAATGACGTCTTCTGAAGTTGTAACAAGTTCAACATCTGGCGATCCTTCTACTTTTCAATGTATTTTTTTGAAATTTTGGGTTGGGAGATACGTAAGCAATTCAAGAAAATACTCTATACTTTTTTGGATTATTAATGAATGTGTTTATGCACTTTACAACTCCGGTACTTTTCTCATTTATGTTAAGCCTATTTGAGTATCAAAATTCTTCCGTCAGTCAAAAAGGGAATAATTAGAAAAAAGCATGTAGTCGTCGTTAAACAATACAAAATTATTTATGGGTTTAGTGTTTTCTCCATGCAGAACCTATGGCCAGTTGGCCTTCGACATTAGTTTAGTTTGCATTCTGTCTTCGTTAAAATTTCTATTATTCTAATGGTTAGAAATAAGACAAAGTGTGAACGAATCGGCTGAATTACAGATAAATATGTACAAAACCCAGAAATATTAAAAGTTCAGTTAGTAATTAATGACTTTTTTTCATACTATCTAATTTATAATTCTCAAATTAATTAATTCTAAGCTAAAAATGTCACATGTTCTAACTTCCAAAAATATTTTAAAAATTGCTTGCAAATCTTTCATAGTATATTCTTTAAATATATAAACTTCCCTATGGCAACCAATGAAGCCAATTTTTTTATATTTTAAGTGGGAAGGGGTGTATAGTTTTTCAGTTTTAATGCACATAGGATTAATTAAATGTAAAAATAAGCTCTCCCCCGTACGTCAATAATTTGTGTTGAGATTTTTTGAAGAAAAAGAAATTTCTTTATTCAATTCTAGTTATTTTTTTGGAAATATTTTTATGCAAAAAATAAACAAAATAAATGCATATGCCTATTTAAAAATAAACATTCCTGTTTTGAATTTTTTAATTTACTCGTTTTTAAGCTTATACATAAATATCATAAATTTGAATGTTTTTAGTTGTTTGATTAGAGTCCCTAGGTGCACCTAAGTTCAGTCCCGACACCTATAACTTATGAAGTGATGTATCTTCTTCATGTTCTTAGTACCAGTAGGTAGGGAATTAAATACACTACAAGCTACCAAAAAATCGAAACTCTTAACTGACTGATTACCAAGAACATGAAGAAGTGACCATTCCTGATGAGTTATATGGGCGAATCTGAACTGCTCCGGGATCTCTTGGGGAAAAGATTTTTACACTCTTTTCTGATATAAAATATATTTTTAGCTAATCATCAGCCTCAAATTCAAAATAATAAATCAAGTAGCCCAATGCTCTTCTCCTCGTCAAAATCAGCCTCTTCTTTAACCTCCACATCCTCAGCTTCATTTTCGTCTTCCTCTTCTCATTCTACCTCTACCTCATTAAATGATTTAAATGATAAACAACAAAATGGATCTAATTATAGAGACCGAACACATTTAAAGTTGGAATTGAAAGGTGGAGATTTTTATTAAATAAATTTGTAATTTCAAAATTAATTTTAAAAGATTTAAAACCACGTGAGTTTCTGGGTGGAAACAGCAGCGGCAACAATAACAATGGTATCTCCCCGATGTCTTTACCCCTCTCTTTGTTAGATTCAGCTTCTCTTCTACTTTCTCCTGATAAGATTTTACGTTGGTTTTTTTTATTTTTTTAAAAACTTTTTGATGCTAAACTTGAACGCTTAGGTGCGTGCACTACCTTGGATAAACGTTATTCTGGAGCTCATCGACTTAGGCAAATCTCAGACATCCATAGGACCAAAAACCTTAGTTTTTAGGAAATTAGGATGTGTAAAAAATCCGGTTCTACTTGACTTTATGAGTCCAATCGAACTTTATGAGTCCAATCGAAGTTTATGAGTCCAATCGAACTTTATGAGTCCAAACAAAACTTTATGAGTCCAATCAAGATTTATGAGTCCAAACAAAACTTTATAAGTCCAATCAAAATTTATGAGTCCAAACAAATTTTATAATCCGACATGTCTTTTTATTCTAAGTAAAAATTGTTGTTCTACTACAGTTTACGATTCCATTCACAGTTTATGAGTCCAATCAGATTTTTGTGAGCTACGGGGGTAGGTCGTCAGATCAAAGCTGGTGATGAAAAAAGGGATAGGTTTATGTTGCCGACCCAGAACCCAGCGACCGTTGACTCCCGCGAGGCGCGTGCCGCAAAACCCCGCGCGAAGCGCGGGGTTTTGCACAAGCGTCTCGCCTATACTCCATAGGTCTAACAACATAAGCCTATTCATTTTTATTGTATTATTTAATAAATGTATTATTTAATAAAATCTAATAAAATGTGATTGGACTCATAAAGTTTTGTTTGGACTCATAAACTTTGATTGGACTCATAAAGTTTTATTTGGACTCATAAATTTTGATTGGACTCAGAAAGTTCGATTGGACTCATAAAATTCGATTGGACTCATAAAGTTCGATTGGACTCATAAAGTCAAGTAGAACCAAAAATCCTTATAAAATTAATATTCATACTATTTCTGTACTTTAATTTTTTATACATTTAAAAATATTTTCTCTATTTTAAACAAAAAAATCTAGCATTTTTTAATACCCTCTATTTTTCTTTTCTCTCTTCAAATTGATGATTCATCATCAATTTCTACATATTTTTGAGAATATTTATGTATTCGCAACTATATTTCAAAGAATATATTGAAGGTTAGGGTAACCTTTCCGTTTTTAACGCTTTTCTTAGCTAAAACAAGAAATATTTTTTCACATCTTTTTCATTGTTCATTATAAAAATTAAGTAAAATTTAATATTCATAATTTAGGAAAAGTATATTTTCTAAATTATATTTTACTTTATACACCCTTAAGGGGTTGCACGCAATCAGGGATGTGCCAGTTTCGCCTAGATTAAAATCTTGGCACTCCTCTGACACCAATATACCGCGAAGTCAATCTACCGCCTAACTATAACTTCGTTCCAAATTATTGAATCCATGACACCCTGATTTGTTTCGATTCAGCTCGTCAAGACGCATCAAACCGCAGGGCGTACCGGATGCGATAATTTTTAACGAAGTTTTAGCATTGAGATTGCGGTACTGGCCTGCTCACTCCTAACGTAGTTGGAATTTAATTCTAATAATTTTTTGTTAGTTGCCGCACGACAACAACAACAACAACAACCTCTTCTTGGCAATCGTTCATCTCAAACAGTTCAAAACACACAAAATCTCTTACAACAAAAACTTGAAACCCCTACTCCTTCGACAATTTTATTTCCAAAAAACGTTACTAGTGAACAAGAAAAATTTGCTGAAGGCTGGCAAAGTGAATGAAAATTTTTAATTATTTTTCTTGAATTTAATCATTCTATTTTTTTATTCAGAAGTTCTACAAGAGTTTCAAGGAAGAGATACTACTTCTTTACAGTCATTACAAGCCACCTCACCTTGTTTGTATTTAATTTTATTTAAAAATGAGAACTTTAGGAAATGAATCGTTTTTCTAAAGAAAATTTTGCCGGAAAAATAATTTATCCAGATTTCTATGTCTTCTCTCTATAATGAATAAGGCCCAGATTTTTTCTGAACTCCCTTGGTCTAAAAACGTAATTAAATTCACGTTTATACATATTCTCCTACCTATTTTTGGGAATTAATTTTCTAATGATCCCCCTCCCCTCTTCTTCCATTGTTCACAAATGGGCCGAAGGTAGCAATCTCTGTTGAAGAGGAGTTCATTTGTAGCCTATTTAGAAACCTAACATTAATACAAAAAAAATGCAATTATATTTTTAGCTGCTGTTAAACTTCTTCTATCTCTTGCTCTCACTCCTTCACCTTTTTCAGCTAATAAAGCTAACAATTCATCGCTGCTTCAAGCTGCAGCTTCTACAGTTAACAACGGTGTCGGTGCGACTGCAGTCACAACAGATTTGAATAGTAACACTGTGAACCCTATTTCCTCTACTATAACAACACCCACAAAACAATTTGATTTGCCCAAAATATTACTTAATCAACAACAACAAAACCAAACAGTTGTTTCAGGAACTGTCAATACCTCCCAATCAAATTCTGTAAACAGTATCACAAAGCGGTACGTTATAGAGGAGTCAGAAACAACAAAACCAGACTGTTTTTAGTTTATAATTATGCTTTTTTAGTTATATGGAATACTTTCAACTTGGTCAAGCTGTAGCGGCAGTTTCCGCTACTTCACCGACTTCATCCGTAGAGTTAATTCCTAATTCTTCCTTTTTTCATCAGCATCAACGCCCTTCCTCTGTATCAACCTCATTGCAACCTTTGCTAGCTACTCCAACCACACCAACCTCCAATGGTGTTCAAACATTTGCACATAACACTGCGTTTATAAAACGGGAGCCTAACACGTCTTCTATTTGGTTTTTAATTTTTGTTAAAATTTTTTTCAACTTTTCTATTTTTGCTTATTTTAGTGAAGAACAAATGGACATTCTTGTTGATACACAGACGGCAAGTTTTATACTAAAAAATTTTTATTTTGCTGTAAAATTATGGGCACTTTTGGTTTTTGCCACCCGCCCCTAGATCTCTATATCTTCTATATGGCACTTTTAGCATTAATATAGGGGTGTGTGGCATGATAAAAAAGTCCCAAATAATATTAAAATCTAAATTTAGTCTAATTTGAATGGTAGTGCATCCTCTAACCACGACAGTCATCGCCGTTCTAGTAGTATATCTAGTGCAAGTTCTCCTAGAGTTAATGGAAAAGTTCAGGTCGTCCCTAATGGCAATTCGATGAATGGGTTAGTAAATTACACGAATAAGTTGATACCGTCATAAAATTTATAATTTCAAGAAATATACGTTATTTCTTATTAAATATCTTTCCATCTTTCAAAAAAATCCTTTTTTCTTGGATTTCGAAACGTAAAAATTGAGTGACGTAAGTATATTTTGGGAAAATTGTATATTTAGCCAAATTTCAAATACATTTTATTAATTTAAATTTCACTTTTAAGTTATGATGGAGTAATTAGTGAACACGACATGAAGAAGCTTCTAAGGTTAATCAAGCTTATTTGCTTCTCTTTTACAATTTTCGAGTTTTCAATTTCCATTTTCAGGAAAAGAGAGCGAAATCGTGAGGCTGCCTCAAAATGTCGTCAAAGAAAGCTTCAGAGAATAGCGGTAGTCATTAAATCCTCATAAACTAGGAATTGAATAAATCGTAGTCTTAAATTTTGCATTATTTCTAGGATTTGGAACAGCAAGTAGAGGACGAGCGTAAACGTGAAAGAGAATTAGAAGCAGAAATTGCCCGTTTACAAGGTGTTATAAAAAATTTGCAAGAGAAATTATCCGGTTATCATTAATTTTTAAGTCAAAATATATTATATATTAATTCTATTTTTTCTAGTTTTCCCTTCTACTTATTATAAATTTTAAAAATTACTTTACATATTTATTTTTTAGCTGCTAGTTAAGCTATATAGGCATAAATTAGTGTTGTTCAGGACCGGTTAATTTTTGCTTGTGGGGAACAATGTCGGGAACAACACTAGTATAAATTTATTTGCTGTCAAAATGTCTCCTCAAATTTCTATTGTATTCCAACAGAACCTTTATAAAAATTTTATTTTGTATTTGGATTTTATGTTGAAAAATAAAAAGATTTTCCGCCCATTGATTTAATTTTTATTTATTGAATATTAGCAAATATTGAAAAATTTTCAAATTTCAAATGTTTTTTAAGCAAATACATGGGAAAACTTCCTACTTTTTTTAACCGGTAATTCTTCGCTCTAATAAATCCATCTTGATGGACTGGACTTAAAGCTTCTGGAAATAAAAAAAATATTTTTATCTATTATTAGAAATTTAAAATAAACTAGCTAGAACTTTTAGCATACCAATAACATCTCCCTTCTCTGCCCAAAGCTCCTCTGGCATTATTGGGTGTTCTAAATAGATTAATATATAGGCTAAACTTGCAGATATACATATTAAGATTTCGAAAATGGTTTTAATATTTTAACAAAACATTTACCCTGGGGTGGCTTGTATTCGGTGGTCGCCTCTAATTCTTTATCTAAATTAATGTCTAAATTATTACTTGTATACATAATGTCTTAGCAGGAAATCTGTAGAGGAACTTTTCTTAGCAACTATCCCTTATGCCAATAAACTAGTTTATTGGCTGATAAAGTGTCAAGCCTTGCTTTATAATTTAAAAATTCTCAAGCTTGAGCTTATTTAAATCTAAATTAACTTACTCATTTCATAAATATAATCAAGTGAATGTATATTTTCGACTGCATCACCTTGATATACTTGCATTAGCTCATAAACTAATTGACAAGCCTTTATTTATTCAGTTAAAAAATAAATTTTGACACTTACATTGCTACTGAAAGTGCACACTATGAACTGACACTTGGCAAGAATTCGAAATACAGCTAATATTTCAGTAAAAGCTTCTTTAGAATCGTCTAGAAAAATGCAATTAAAATCAATTATACTTAAAAATTCTGAAAATCCGACCTAAAAACCCCAACAATTTTTATGGCAAAAACCTCGACACAACCGCCAAAGGCGAAACCCCGACAACCCACGATCCCCGACATCGAAGGGCCGAGATGCTACCATAGTTTGGGGTACTTGTTCCGAGTGACCTATTGGTCGTCAATAAAACTAAGAACACTATCCTGTGTGAACCGTTCGCATATTTTTAATAATTCGTACTTTGTGTATTAAATATTCCATGATAAACTTCATATCTATCTCCCCATTTATGTTTAGTTTCTTCCACTATATCTTTAAGTATTGGCAGATCTGCAGCAACAAAAAGCATACGGCGAGTAGTACAATTTGGATGTTCCGATTCGCTATGATTATGTCCCCATACAACATCGAACCAGAAATCAATCCACGTCTAAAATATTATAGTTACCATTTAACGAATTAATCTCATAAGTTCTATTTTTGTTCTAAAATATGTCTAGAGAAGCAATATCTATGGATGTATTTTCAGTTTTTTTCAATATAAAACATGTTCCCCAAGTTTTAGATTAGGTATAAAATTATATATGCTCGAACCATATATTCCTCAAGATTGAAAAATTTTGCTTCAGATATCTTATCTGTTCTCCGAACATGAATGCCAACAACCGGGCCTGTAAGAGTACTGAAAAATTGATTAAAGTTTTAATGATTTAAAACAACCGCATTTTTCACTTAATGAGTTTAACAAAATTTATCTTACCGCATTCAAACGGAATTCTAGAAACACTTTGATTTGTCGCGTTTAATGTTAATTCATTTTCTCTCCAAATATATTTGATTAGCTAAATTTATATTTTTGAGAAATCTAGAATTATTTTAAATTTTACTTGGCCTCGGAACCAAAGCGTGGGATTTGAATGATATTTAAGAAGAAAAGTTTTAAGTTCTGTTGGAGAAACATCAAATCCACGTTTTACCTGGAAAAACCTTCATTTGCAAATTCTTACCATGTACCTAAATACATAAAATTCTAAAAATCTTACCACTTTTTCACGTGGATGAAATACTAATATTCTATCTGTGTTGTTTTTATCTATATATTCTTTTAACGGTTGGAATGGCATAGCCTGAAATAGAAATTATAAGTAGGGAAATCAAAATATGTACATTGCAAGTAAAGGAGAATAAAGGAGAATAAAAAAAGATTTAAAGGAGAATCGTCGTTTTGGGTTATCATTGCCCTGGTATCTCAGCGATAGGCACCTGCATAAGTCAGGTCAAGCGAGCAATGTCAGCGTGTTCGCGTATCCTTGCCCGTGGCTAAACTCCTGCTATTCTCTTCGACTTAGGCAAGTTCTACGCTTTAAAAATTGGTTACATGTTCTGCATAGTTGCAGTTTGTTATTGGCATAAACAACTCATTCCATTTAACATTAAATTTATATAATTTAGCATTTTCATTATTTAATATGAGCGTTCGTCCTGACACAATTGAAAATAAAAAACAATAGCTGTCAATTAATAAAATTAACACAAAATTATTTGCTCAAATTACCAAATCTGATGAATCAAAAAACCAAAACCCCAATCGGGACCATCCATCTATAAATTGTAATTTAGTGAGAGAAAAGGACGGCTGAATAATAAGTTCGATTCTCTAATTCATCGTTCTCAGTTCTATATTAGAAATACTAAACTTTGATACTTACTGGACAAACGAGGATGCTTGCATTAGAACAATTAGTAGGATTTTGAAGTAAATTTATTGCTGATTGAATCTTTTCACTCAAAACTGTCAATTTTTGCTCATTATTCTGTTTGATATATAAGCGATGTTCTGTTGATAAATAGCTAATTATCTAAAAGTGTAACAATAAATTTTTGTGGGAATTTCTTTAAATCATATAAAAAGATTGGGTCAAATTCTTTCATCCTCGTACACTATATCAGGGTACGAGGTCAACTTTTTTACCACTCCGCGTTATTTCTTCCGCTTTTTAAAAAGCGGGAGGGGCCCATCTCTGCCCATATCCCACTACATTTGTTCCAACCTGTCTTTCTATTGATTGTTTCTGTTCAACATTCTTTAATGTATCATATCCAAACAATTTTTTAAGATATATTTGTTTTTGTATAAGAGTCATTTGAGAAAATGCTTCCTTTAATTGAAGAAAACTTTAATTAAAAATCCACAATACCTTGCTGGTTGTAAAATTGTTATTAATTTGTGGCATATTGTAAGGCAAAACCAATTTATAAATTTTTCTGTTAATTCCATTGTAATATTGTTGAGAATAAAAATAGAATAGAATAATAAATAAAAAAATAAAAATAATAATATAAAATAATTTTTTATAAAATAAATTTAGATTTATTTCGTCTTTGTTTTGAAGTAATTTATATTTTACCATTAATAAATTAGCTAATTTTTTATTATTTTGACTTTTATGTATTATTTCGATGGATTTATTTAAGTAATAAATTAAAATATTTGACGATTTTACGTAATATTTTTCTTTTTATCTTGTTGCGAGATAAATCAAGGGAGAATAAAAAATAAAATAGATAATGCAAATTGATACGCAACAATATTTATTTATTCCTGTTTTTTCCGTTCTTTATCCTTCGAGGACTTTGAGTATTCGACACGTGACTATTAAAAATCACGAAATTCCGGGACACAAATATCAGAAAACGGCGTTTAAGAACACGCTCGAGGGTATGGCTTTTGAAACACATTAGAAGACACTTCTCTGAGATCTTCAAAAGGTATTTTTGTAAACCGTTTAAAATAATTCTTTCGGATTATCTTATCACATTGAACCGCTTTAATGAATACGAGGAGACAACAAGTATTTGCAAACAAACGTACAAAATGATGTATGTATTATTTTGTACCTAACTAAAATATACTAGTTTTTTTTTCTTTAACTTTAAGCTTAAATCATATACATACATAGGTTTTGTATACTTTACAAAACTAGAAATTTTTAATTTTTATTTCTTAAAAACGATTTCCGAAATAGTCTGATTAATTTTGTTGACTGTACAAACTCAAATATAGTTACGAAATCAAATAAATGGCTTGGTATTCAGAAACCCAATATTATTCTACTTCTAATGGTATTTCAATTGTTGGAATTATTATAGTCTTGGTACTTTTATTAATTTTAATATTTATTTGTATTGGAATTGGTGTCAGTATTTGGTGGTTAACTAAAAAACAACCATCAACAAATGGAGCTGAAGAACCAAAAAGAAATGATGCGAGAATATCTAATGATTTATCCTAATTTAGATATTAGATGTAGAGCTCAATCAGAGCCATGCTTTAAAATAATCCGTCACGGCAATCTATCCAAGCAAAATTTTTTCTCTTCGAGGGAAAACTAGGTGTAAACACTGCACATGTTTTTGTTCAGCGATTAGTCATACTATTCTCTGATCGATTATTTTTAAATTCTCTCTACATATAAAGTTATAAACACATGCATCATTCGGTGAATTCATTCATTTCTTTTACAAGTTTTACGCCTTTGTACATATATATTTTTATTCCTCAAATAAATGTGTTTTATTTAGATCAATTTGATAAATTATTATAAAAATTGTATAATAAATTAACCAAAAAATTGAATCTTACATAGTTATGATCAGATTATTTTTGTTTGAAAACTAAATGTGTTTTATTAGAATAAATTTAAGAAATAATTACATACATACTACATATAAATAGATTATAGAATAAATTTACCCGTTTTCAAAATTTAGAATAATTCTATGCCAAATCCGATCAAATCGGCTGTGCAAGACTACGTGGTAAGTATTAAAGTTTTTATCTTAAACTCCCTTCCCCTTATCTGGCCGTTTCCATAGCATTTCCGTTTAAAAATGTCATTAATGCTTAATAAAAAAGTGCTATAAAATTCAAATAGGGTCACCGATATTTTTAAAGATCGAAATTCGTTTTTATTATAGACTTCAACTATTACACACAAATTTCTTGGTTCAAACTCGTCAAATCGTTCAGGACAACAACAACAACCTTCAAATAATCAACATAACTTTCCCGGTCCTGTTGGAGATATTTTTGGGAAAATAACTACAACAATTGGTAACAAGTTAAACTCTGCTAGTGGTAACACTCATCAACAGGTAAATATATGTATAATACATTCGAGCGCCTCCTCAGACAGCATTTCCTTTCATATACCAGCTCAATTCATTCCAAAGGGGTGTTTTAGTTTGAGTTACCTCACTCCACTCCCATATACTTCATATGTCAGATAATTTCGATCCTGAGAGGTTAGATTCTGCAGTTTTGTTTAAATACATTTGGTTGGGGGGATATTTGGTAAAATAGGAGTCAGTTCTGTTTAAAAAATTCACAATCATAATATTCACAATCACAAATCATTTGTTCTTAATTTCTCTATCCTTTACAATAAATTTTAGCAGCAGCAAATGTACGGAAACAATAGCGGTTATCCTCCTCAGCAACCTACTAATCCCGGCGGTTATTATCAGCCATATGACAAAGGAGGACCGCAACAACCTCAATATCCATCTCAATATCCATCGCAACCTCCAGTTGGAGGCGGAAATGCCAGTGGTTATGGTTATGAACAACAGTCTTGTTATCCTCCATCATCAACGCATCAATCGCCTTATTCATCAGGCAATTTTTGTTTATATGGACCTTTATTTACGATATCCATTTAATAATCATCGTAATACTTTAACGATTTTAGCATATCCTCCACCAAGCAATATGTATAATGCTAATTCTGCTCCTCCTCCACCTATTGGTTTCAACCTCGGTGGGTCAAGTGCTGCTCCACCTTATCCACAACAGTCTGCTTACAACCAACCAGCTGGGCAGTATGCTCCTTATCCACCAGCTTCTGGACAATATGGGGGTAAATCTTAAATCTTATTCATAAATTTACTGAGTTCGTTAAATCTATCAGATTCGGCACCATATCCTGGTGGTGGCGGATTTGGGGCACAACAACCACAGCAACAATATTTTGGAAGCGGCTATCCCAACCAGCCATCAAAAATGTCTGGACCAGCTCCTTATGGTAGTGATCCTTTTGGTAGGTTCTAAAGACGTGATGTTTAAATGGATATATTATGTTTTACCAAAATTCTAACCCTAATACAACATAATTACTAAATTTTGAATTTTAAATCTATATTTATCTAAATAAACTGAAGAAAAAAAATTATTTTGTTTAAGCGCTTGATTTACACTAATAAATGTAGTATACCTTAATTTTTACAATGTTAAAATATGGTGGAATTTGTTAAAAATAGTTCCGATATTCCACATTGTCATTAAATTATATGACTCATCATTTCACTTAAATTTCCTTTTCACATTTTAATGATGCACATCTGCTATAAGTATGTGTTTTTTGTTTGCCTACCCGACCGGAAGAATATTTGTTTTTTTTGTTTACATCGATTTTGGTGTGAAAACTCTAATCTTTCTTACGTCTTATTGTTAGATAAAACATTTTTGTACATATTACCTGTCTTTGTTTTTAATTTTTAACAGTTTATTTAAAATTTTTAATACATTGTTTTCAGCAATGGCTACACCAAGTATTCGACCAAATCCAAACTTCAACTCGCAACAGACGGCAGAGTTACTACGCAAAGCTATGAAGGGTTTTGGATGTGATAAGGGCAAAATTATTCAAGCAATTGTTAATTGTAGTAATGTACAAAGACAGGAGGTGGGTTGATTTTTTAGATTATCTCTGAATTAATGAGAGTACTGTACTCATTTTTAACAATATGTTAAATTTTAATAAGTTAAATTTTGATAAGACATTTTAATAATCCTGTATCCTTTTAGTTTTCTCTTTCCTTTAAACAAATGTACGGAAAGGATTTGATAAAAGAATTGAAAAGTGAACTTTCTGGCGATTTTGAAGACCTCATAATGGCGTTAATGAGTCATCCAGCTTATTATGATGCCGCTCAGTTAAGGAGGGCTATGGAGGGCTTTGGCACAAAAGAGCATATCCTGATTGAGTTAGTTGCTTTTTACTAGGGCAAAATTTAAAAATACTTAAGGATAATGACTACACGTACTAACGCACAAATTATACAACTTCGCTCTGCCTATGCGCAACTTTATTGTAGTGATTTAGAACGTGATATGATTGGAGAAACTTCTGGTTACTTTAAGCGTATGCTTGTTGCTTTGTGTACTGGTGCTCGTGATGAATCCATGATTACTGATCCTTTAAGGGCAAATCAGGTATCGCAAGTTGTATTTTTGCCATTCTTCTAACATGATTTAGGATGCCAATAAACTTTATCGTGCTGGTGAAGCTCGCCTTGGAACGGACGAGTCTGCATTTATTGCCATTCTTTCCGCACAGAATTACAATCAATTACGTCTGGTAATTAAATAAATTTGTTTAATTGTAGTTAAAGTAATTTATAGATATTTAATGAATATCAAAAAGTAAGCGGTCATCCGATTGAACAAGCCATTACCGCTGAATTTAGGTAATTCTGTATTTTAAATCTGGTTTGAAATTTCAATTTTTAGTGGTGATATACGCGATGGACTGTTAGCAATTATTAAAAGTATTAAAAACCGTCCTGCCTATTTTGCTGAGTTGCTCTATAATTCAATGAAAGGATTTGGAACTAGAGATACTGATTTGGTAGGTGAAAACTCGTGGTTCGAGTATTTTACGCTTGACAGTTTTGCTCTCATGTAGCGCGGGTTATCTCGTTCCATACCCCAAACTTGATCTTTTTGATCTACTTATCATAATTTATAGATTCGTCTAGTTGTTACTCGCTCTGAGATAGACATGGCTGATATTCGTTCAGCATATCAACAACTTTATAGTACATCATTGGAACAAGCTATTGCATCTGACTGTTCGGGGGCTTACAAAGTGAGAATAATTCGTTAAAATTAATTTTTAAATATTTTTTATTTAAAGGATGGACTTATTGCTATTGTTAAAGGCTTCTACCACTGAATGGAATATTACTTAAATTGATTTTTAATTAATCATTATAATCCATTAATTTGATAAACTGGAGAGTTTTTGATTTTATCTTTGGATTAGTAGGACTCTAGAAAATTGTACGCAAATTCGGGACACGCCCACATTGTCGCGCGGCTACATTGTCGCCGAGCCATAACTTGCTAAAAAAAATTTGATACCAAACTCTTTAGCTAGATGAGAGGAATCGTTTAATACTAAATTTGGAAAGATTAGGAAATCTTGAAGCAAGTTATGGCTCGGCGACAATGTGGCCGCGCGACAAAGTGGGCCGTACCCACGCAAATTCTTTCGGAGCAGTTCAACTGAGTCCGCACGATTGAGTCCCGGCACAACTGAGTCCCCAAGATTGAGTCCGCACGATTGAGTCCCCCTTGTATATACCTCAACTGAGTCCCCGTGGATTTAACCTTAAAATTTCAAAAAAAATTCCAAATCCCGCATCTGAGAAAGTGTTCACTGTCCGGATGTATAAATATATTTATTTATTCTTGTATTAGACAGAAGGATTAGAGGTTAACACTGGGTAAATATGTATTTTTTAATGTTTAAAAGCCCCCTCCGAAGCAGGGGACAGGTCCCATGTACAAATCGGCACATGGACACTCCAAAATTTGGCCCCCTGCACGAAGGCAGGGGGACTTGAGTTGCCCCCTGCACGAAGGCAGGGGGACTTGAGTTGCCCCCTGCACGAAGGCAGGGGGACTTGAGTTGCCCCCTGCACGAAGGCAGGGGGACTTGAGTTGCCCCCTGCACGAAGGCAGGGGGACTTGAGTTGCCCCCTGCACGAAGGCAGGGGGACTTGAGTTGCCCCCTGCACGAAGGCAGGGGGACTTGAGTTGCCCCCTGCACGAAGGCAGGGGGACTTGAGTTGCCCCCTGCACGAAGGCAGGGGGACTTGAGTTGCCCCCTGCACGAAGGCAGGGGGACTTGAGTTGCCCCCTGCACGAAGGCAGGGGGACTTGAGTTGCCCCCTGCACGAAGGCAGGGGGACTTGAGTTGCCCCCTGCACGAAGGCAGGGGGACTTGAGTTGCCCCCTGCACGAAGGCAGGGGGACTTGAGTTGCCCCCTGCACGAAGGCAGGGGGACTTGAGTTGCCCCCTGCACGAAGGCAGGGGGACTTGAGTTGCCCCCTGCACGAAGGCAGGGGGACTTGAGTTGCCCCCTGCACGAAGGCAGGGGGACTTGAGTTGCCCCCTGCACGAAGGCAGGGGGACTTGAGTTGCCCCCTGCACGAAGGCAGGGGGACTTGAGTTGCCCCCTGCACGAAGGCAGGGGGACTTGAGTTGCCCCCTGCACGAAGGCAGGGGGACTTGAGTTGCCCCCTGCACGAAGGCAGGGGGACTTGAGTTGCCCCCTGCACGAAGGCAGGGGGACTTGAGTTGCCCCCTGCACGAAGGCAGGGGGACTTGAGTTGCCCCCTGCACGAAGGCAGGGGGACTTGAGTTGCCCCCTGCACGAAGGCAGGGGGACTTGAGTTGCCCCCTGCACGAAGGCAGGGGGACTTGAGTTGCCCCCTGCACGAAGGCAGGGGGACTTGAGTTGCCCCCTGCACGAAGGCAGGGGGACTTGAGTTGCCCCCTGCACGAAGGCAGGGGGACTTGAGTTGCCCCCTGCACGAAGGCAGGGGGACTTGAGTTGCCCCCTGCACGAAGGCAGGGGGACTTGAGTTGCCCCCTGCACGAAGGCAGGGGGACTTGAGTTGCCCCCTGCACGAAGGCAGGGGGACTTGAGTTGATGTTGAAGATGTCGAAGTTGTTGAATTTGGAAGAATCTGTGAAGGCGTTCTGAAAAATAAAGACAATAGATAACAGAAAAAACATTCAAAAAACCTGACAAATCTGAATCAGATGAAGAAGAATCGTCGCTTTCATCTTTTTCCTTTTTAAGCATTGCTCGCTTCATCTTTTTAATTTCCTTCTTCTTTTCACGCTTTTTCTTGATTTTTTCCAAGAGTTTTTCCATCATAGATTATTCCATTTCTTTTTCAAGTGCAGCTTTATCTTGAGTAGTATTTGCTTCTTTGAGTATTGTTGTACTTGCTTTTTTAAGTCTAAAAAGTTTTTTATAAATTTTTATTCGACAAAAAATTTTGAAAAACTAGCAATCTAGACCAAACGGTAAGGAAATATCGAGACGGACATGTAGAAATTGCTGTGACAAAAATAACTTTGTCGTGTTTACATTGGGTCTAAAACAAAGAAACTTTTTCCCACAACAATATGACAACGTCTATCCAATACCTAGTGGCTGTAGGCCCCAAAACATTAGAATTAGGGTTGGGGGCCCGATCCGAAAGATCTAGTCGGGCCTCGAATTTTGGTCCAAAGAAACTCGGTCAAGCAAAGAAACTAAGAAACCAAAGAAACTCGGTCAACAAAAAATGCCATTAAAAATGAGGCCCGAAAAAAATGACTCGAACGTCAGCTCGACTCGAAAAGAATTGCCTGTTTCTATTCTATTAAAAACTTCAAACCTTTCCTTCCATCAAGTCTCAAATTCCACACATTTAATTTCAATTAACCGTTTATATTCATGATCCAACAACTCCAAATTAAGTGCTTTGTTTACTTCTGCTTCGGCACGAGCAATATCCTCTTCAGCATTGTAAACGATTTTATTCTAAAAATAAAGAGAATTTTGAAGAAGCTACATAACTAAAAAATACCCGTGAAAAGCTAAGATTAGCAACATTTGATTGAACATAATCCTGAACCACGAGCTGTTGACAAACCAACGTTGTTGTACATTTTTAAATTTCAAAGAATACTAAAATAGACAAATGAAAAAAAAAATTAAGAAAATCGAAAGTTCAACAAAAGGTGGCACGAATTTTCGTCAACGGACTTTCCGTCAATGGACTTTCCGTCAACGACTTTTCGTCAATGAGTGGATGTTTTTTTAATTTTGAGAGAAATAGAAGATGATACATGTATGTAAAAGTGTTGTCAGATTGAAAATTAGACTTATTTGATAATTCTGAACAAAGTTATAAGCAAATGTGTCACTACGAAGGATAGGTAGTCTTTTCAAGGTTGAAAATCGGTAAAAATGAATAGGTTTATGTTACTGGTGTAGAACCCAGCGACCTTTGACTCCCCGCGAGGCGCGTGCCGCAAAACCCCGCGCGAAGCGCGGGGTTTTGCACAAGCGCCTCGCCGACGCCCCATAGGTTATTCAAGAGTATTTGAAGAAATAAGGAATCTTATACGAAATTGGGCACATAATTTAGTTATTTGTGGCTTTGAACAGGCCGATTAATTTCCTAAATTTTTTAAAAGCGATCATTTATTGATGAAAAGTCCGTCCATTGACGAAAAGTATTGACGGAAAGTCCATTGACGGAAAGTCCGTTGACGAAAAGTCGGGGAGCCCAACAAAATGTGCCCTGACAAAAATGACACGAAGGCAAAAAACGAAAAAATGGTTTGCGACAAAATGTTAAACAAAATATTCGGGGTAGGGGACCTTTTAGTGTAGCCGTTTCAGAGTAGTATTCGTTGAAGTTGTGTTATTTATTGTGGTTTTAGTCCAGAGAACAACATAAAAGAAATAGAAAGCAATCCTTACATCAAGAACTTTTGAATGATATATTAGTTATCAAAATCGATTTGAATTGAAAAAGTTATGACCCAAAATACATATGTCCACGGCGGAGCAGGACGAATGGGCGCGGCCGAATGGGCGCGGACGAATGGGCGCGGCCGAATGGGCGCCGAGACGAATGGGCGCGAGACGAATGGGCGCGGGACGTTTGGGCGCCCGAAATCATTTTTTCCTAGAAATTTTTTTCTGATTTTTCTGTTCTGATTTTTTCTTCTGATTTTTTGTTCTGATTTTTTCTTCTGATTTTTTTGTTCTGATTTTTTTGTTCTGATTCTTTCTTCTGATTTTTTTGTTCTGATTTTTTTGTTCTGATTCTTTCTTCTGATTTTTTTGTTCTGATTTTTCTGTTTTGATTTTTTGTTCTGATTTTTTTGTTCTGATTTTCTGTTCTGATTTTTTCTTCTGATTTTTTTGTTCTGATTCTTTCTTCTGATTTTTTTCTTCTGATTTTTCTGTTCTGATTTTTTCTTCTGATTTTTCTGTTCTGATTTTTTGTTCTGATTTTTTTGTTCTGATTTTCAGTTCTGATTTTTTGTTCTGATTTTTTTGTTCTGATTTTCTGTTCTGATTTTGGATGTTGTGACTTATAGCGGGTTTTTTGTTTCTGAACCGATTTGGACAAATGAGGTGTCATTCGAAAGAGCTTCAAAAACTGAGTCGAACTAGATACGGGGGAAGTCGATCCGACAATCAGGGACCGAGTTACAGACCCCTGAAGTTTGAAAAAGAGTAGGGGGGAGTAAGCTCATTTTGGGATGAAAAATTCGAAAATGAAAATAATAGCTCATTCGACTCAGCTCGACGAGCTAAGTCGAATGACATCAAGATCAGCTCGATATCTTGATTCTGAGCCAAGATAAACAGGTTCAAAACGGTCAAGGTAAACTAGTGTTCGGCACGGTTCGGTACTCCCGCGGTACTCCCGAAAGTACCGAATCGGGATTTTTCGGTACTCCCGGAACCGGAACCGTCCCGATGAGATTTTGGAAAATTTCGGTACCACTCGGTACCGGTACTTTTCGGTACTCCCGGAACCGGAACCGTCCCGATGAGATTTTGGAAAATTTCGGTACCACTCGGTACCGGTACTTTTCGGTACTCCCGGTACCGGAACCGTCCCGAACAAGGTTCCAGTACCGCGGTACTCCCGAATTTTCGGTACCGGAGAAACTACCTACTCCCCCATATGGTTTTTCGATTTTCGGGGACCTATATCTCGGTCCACAGGCATCTCCGGAAAAAAAGAGTGGTACGGTTCGACTCAACTCGCCAAGACGAATCGAATGGTATTGGTTTTGTGTCGAAACCTTTCCATTGGTATACTATACTATATCCAAAAATCAGAAGAAAAAATCAGAACAAAAAATCAGAAGAAAAAAATCCTAACAAAAAATCAGAAGAAAAAATCAGAACAAAAAATCAGAAGAAAAAAATCAGAACAAAAAATCAGAAGAAAAAAATCAGAACAAAAAATCAGAAGAAAAAAATCAGAACAAAAAATCAGAAGAAAAAAATCAGAACAAAAAATCAGAAGAAAAAAATCAGAACAAAAAATCAGAAGAAAAAAATCAGAACAAAAAATCAGAAGAAAAAATCAGAACAGAAAAATCAGAACAAAAAATCAGAAGAAAAAATCAGAACAGAAAAATCAGAAGAAAAAATCAGAACAGAAAAATCAGAACAAAAAATCAGAAGAAAAAATCAGAACAGAAAAATCAGAAAAAAATTTCTAGGAAAAAATAATTTCGGGCGCCCAAACGTCCCGCGCCCATTCGTCTCGCGCCCATTCGTCTCGGCGCCCATTCGGCCGCGCCCATTCGTCCGCGCCCATTCGGCCGCGCCCATTCGTCGTGTACCGGTCCACGGGACCAGACCGGCGGGACTCAATGATCCTGTTGCGGGAAAAGGACGTTTCAGTGTAAAGAAAGCTGGCCATTAGAGACTTCATTTATACCTTGTTTTTAATAAATACTTGTAAAATTATTTCATTTTTTTCATGCATTTTAGAATTTTACTAAATATGGCTATAGTATTAATCTGTTAATTATTTATTATCTCAGTATGAGCATTTTTATTAAACCTGAAGCTAAAAAAGTATCACCATCTGTTATTAGGCGATTTGGAACGTCTTTTGGATCACATCAAAAGCTTTGGTCAAGGTTGTTTATTTATTACCTTTTTTAGTTAGAAGCCTCATTTAGGTCAGAAACGAAGCTTTGGACAATCAATTTCTTTTTTGGAACTTGTGTACTTTATGCGTCCAGAGTATCTCTACCTATTTGTGCTGTTGCTATGGCTAAAGAATATGGCTGGACTATTACTGATTCTGTAAGCAAAAATTGTTTCTTTTGGGGTTTAGCATTTTTTGACTGAATACTTTTGTTTTTTGCAGGGCACTATTCTCTCCTGCTTCTTTTGGGGTTATGCAGCGACACAGGTTGTTGCCGGAAACATTGCAGGTTAAATTTTAGAAAAATATTTTGATCTAATTAAGTGATTTTTTGGGATACATATTATAATATTTTTAAAATCATTTTCGGCAAAAGTCGTGATTTTTGACTTTTTTTCGAATTTTTCATCTCCCCTAGAAAAAAGGTGATATGCTTTTTTCGATGTTTTAGAGATTTTTAGATGTATGTTATTTGAAATAAATAAAATTGCGACTTAAATTCGGACTCAGTACCTAAAATATCAAAAAAGCACTTCTTCATCTCTTTTTCGGAGATGTAAAAAATGAGAAAAAGGGGCACTATTACCTTATTTTCTCTTAAGATCACTACTCTGGTGAGCGTGTTCTACCTTTTACCACACTTGTTTGGTCTGCTCTAACTTTATTTACACCTCAACTTTTTGATTTTGCATACTGGACTAGATCTCCTCTTTTTATTCTGATTACAATACGTGTATTGACAGGCATTGGACAAGGTTTAGACTTGGGATTTCTTTACAATCTTGTGCATTTCTCGTTTCGTTAAATTTCTTTTTCTTCCTCAAGTTATTAAGAATAGGTGATTGTATGCCATAGAATGAACGTCACGGATTACAAAAAAAAGTCGTGTCATGTTTAGGGCAGAGGGAAGTCAGTTTACGGGTAACCCGCGACATCACCGTGCCATAGGGAAATAGACAAATTGCAGAAGCAAGCAAAATCTGGCCCTTTGAGCAGGGAGTAAGAGGGAAGGAAATTTAATTTTACCTCCTCGGTTCTTGTACTATATTTTTAATTTTTTCTCAATAGGTTTTCATCTTCCTTCAATGGCTAGCATCGTTTCTAGGCATTTAACTGCTTCTGATAAAGGGCGCGTTTTTGGTATTTGTTTGGCAGGTTCTCATTTTGGTTCAATAGTTGCTGGAGGAATTGGTTCTTTGTTAATCGATCTTTTTGGTTGGAGAAGTCTTTTCCATTTTGTTGGTTTGTTTTTTGTCAATTTAATGGGGGGTTATTAAAATTTATTTACAGGTATGATCAGTTTTATTTGGTATTTATTCTTTGAAAGATTGACTGATAGTGTTTTGTCTGGACGGAGAGCGCGCGTTGTTTTTGATTCTGGGGGAAACGCTATGCAGGTTATTCTAATTTTTTGTTCTTTTTTTCAAATTTGTTTTTAAATTTATTTTTTTAGGACGAATCTCTAATTGAAAGTGACCATTTTATAAAGAAAAAACCTAGTAAAGGAGTGATTGTTGCTACAGCGGTTCCATGGTCTAAATTATTTAGACATCCCTCATTTTGGTAATTTATCAAAGAATTTTTACTAACATAAGCACAATTTAAGGGCCGCTTCCTTAGCACAATATTGTGGAGCAAATGCTTATTTTACAATGTTTAGGTTTTTATAAATTTTTAAAAACATTAATTTTTTAATAATTCCAGTTGGTTGCCTTATTATTTCTCGGATAATTTTCCTCAATCGACGGTTTGTTTTCTTTTTGGGTTTTTTTAATTTTGGTGTTTTTTTGGGTTTGACTTGATTATTATTTTATACAGCCCACTATTGATTAATTACCAGTGCCACGGATGGGCCCCACCCTCAAAATATCTCCGTCCCATGAATAAACTGAAATATTAATTCCCCAGGGGAAGTAATCTAGCAAATGTGGTTTCTTAAAAATTAGTTTAAAAATTTGGAACTTAAAAAGAAACCTTTCAATATAATTTTTTAATTCAGGCGTTTGTATATAATGTTGTTCCTTCATTAGCCATTGTTTTTACTTCACTTTTTGCCCCTTATTTTGCCTCAAAGTTGTTAACACATGGCTGTTCTATTACCTTTACACGAAGATTTATGGAGGTTTTTTCATTTAATTTTTTATTGCCTCATTTTTATTTTTAAAAATTTTCAGAGTGTTTCTCTTATTGGAATGGGAACTTGTCTTTTTCTCGTCTCCCTTTCTTCACGATTTACAATTTCTTTGGCACTTTTCACTTTAGCAATGGCTCTTAGAGGTTTGCACCATGCTGGTGTTTCTGTAAATCCACATGACTTTGCTCCTGATCATACTGGCTCTGTTTTTGGTATTTTTATACGGTGTTGCGACAATTGAGGATACGCACTTGAAGATATGACAAATGAGGACGACAATTGAGGATCTGACATATGAGGACGACAAATGAGGACGACATATGAGGATATGCCAAATGAGGACGACAATTGAGGATTAAAATAATAATAAAAAACGGTGATCCTTGACCTTTTGAAATTCAAAAATGTTCGCCTGCGGCGCTGGAAAGAGAAGAATTCTTCATTATTGGTCTTCCTAGTGGTGGGTCTTCCGAGTTTTATGGATCTTTCAAGTCTTTTTTATTTTTCATTTTTATCCTCATTTGTCAAATCCTCATATGTCGTCCTCATTTGTCGTCCTCATATGTCAGATCCTCAATTGTCGTCCTCAAATGTCGTCCTCATTTGTCATATCCTCAAGTGCGTATCCTCAATTGTCGTACCGCCTTTTATACTTCGGTTTTATATTTTGCTTTCTGTCTTTTTGAGGTGGGGGCGATTCAATATGGCCGATTCAGTTTCGGAGGTATTTTTCGGGTTATAACTTGGATTCTTAACATACTTAAATATTATTTAAATCGGTTATTAATCAAGTTTACTGTCCGAACTACGGCCACACGGCTGAATTAAGTATACTGAATTGGGCTTTATCGGGTGTTTTGTGAGAATTTGATTAATTTCTCTATTTTAATATTATTTACAGGGATTTTCAATGCTTTCTCGGCAATAACCGGATTTATTGGTGTATACATGGCCGGTTGGATTTTACACTCATCGGACAATCAGTGGGCGTATGTTTTTATTTTTACTGCATTGCAGTGCATAATTGGGGCCTTTGTTTATGGCCTAAAAGGAACAGGAAGCAGAATAATTTGACTTTTAATCAGAGCATATTAGAAAATTTGCGGGTTTGTTTTGTTTTTTACCTATTAGGATTGCTCTTCCAATTTGGAATTTTCTTAGAGACCAATCCTAATTGAAATATTTCGCTTCGTTGATTTTGTCAAATATCATTTATATGCCTTACAGACACTCGTTTTCTTGTTTTTTTTATCATTCTGTGATTTTTATAAACTGAATCTAGTTTTTTAATTTATGCAATTTTTGATACAATGCGGAATGATGTATTAATTGAAAGTTGTAAATTAAACTTTACTAACATTCCAAACTTTGAAAATTATTATAGAAACATGCAAATAATTTAATTGAAGTCAAAATCATAAATTACTAAAAGCTTGAACAACATAATGAACAAAATTATGCAATAATTTATTTTCAATTATTTAAAGCGCTTTCTCGTTGATATTAATCAAATCGTCTAAAGAACGCAAAATCACTTCGATATCCTAAAATGAATGTTGTTTGATTGATAAAGGGTCTTCTAGGCACCCAATAAAATTAAAATAAGGAATATTAAAATCACCTCTGGACGAGATAACTGATGATCCCCGTCATTAATAATTGTTTTAACAACACGTTCCTTCGGCAATACACTAACCAATTTATCAATTAATTTCATTGGAACGGCGTCATCTTTCAAGCCATAAATTATGTGAACAGGACAATTTGGATCGAAATCAGGTGTTAAAACCAAATTATTTTTCTCTCCATCCTATAATTCTTTAAAATTTAAATTATTCCTTAAAAACTCACTTCAAGCGTCTCTCGTTGCCAAATATTTGTTTCAAAATAGGGAGACTTCTCTTCAAAATAACCTTTAGTCTTCAGCTGTTCTTTATCTGCTTCAGTAAGTCTAGGCTCAATTAATTCTTTAGTGAAATCTGGAGCTGGAGCGATTAACAATAAACCAGCAATTGGAAAAGGAGGCTGAAAAAATGTTGGGAAGTCTTATAAAATTTTCTTTAAAATTCTCCAAAAACCTGCTTATTTAATTCTTTAACCATTCTAAGAGCAATCCATCCACCTAAGGAAGAACCAATTAATATTTGACGATTATTTTTAGCATAACGTCGAAAAACTGTTAAACTTTGTGCCAGCCATTTGGAGATGGTTCCTTCGAAATATTTTCCTGTAGACTCGCCGTGACCTTTAACGATAAATAATTAGTTTGGTAAAACTCTACAATACAGACCACCCATGAAAATTGACAAAATATGTCATTCGAGAGAGCTCTTCGAGCTGAGTCGAATGGCACCAAAAGAGGGGCTCGGAACTTTGGACTGAGTATTTTGTCTATATTCATGCGTGGTCCGTATTGTAAAATTTTTTCACAATTTTTAAAAAATTCTCCCAATAATATACCCGAATAATCATGTCGAGTATAAGAAATATTCTTTTTCTCAGTCCATCCATCTACAGCCTGTGCTTTTGTGCCTAACATATTAGAACGATAACCACCTAACCAAAATACATCTGGATTATTCCCATCCCGATGTCGAGTAGCTATTTTTTCGTTATCAATTTCAATAAATTCTGGAGGCTCAGTAATGGTGTTGGTGTCCATTATATATTTTTATGTACCTTAAAATTAAATAAAAACTTAAATCCAGAATTATAAATTCATTATTGAAAAATTCTCCAATTTTTTGTTATCTGAGTCAATGCCGTTTGAGTCTAAACCAGTAATGACCGAAAACTACCCCATTCCATAAATTATACCCATTTCATCAACTTATTTGGGGAAACTCTGTGGTAAGATGAATGATAAATTTTTAAGAGAGAAGCTATAGAAATTGAAAATATTATATACTATTAGAAATTAATAGAATGGCGTCTTTTTATAAAAAGAACTTTGCCTTTTCAAGACTCTAAAGCGGCGCATAGTATGGCCGACGTCTAAGTGGGTCCTGTCCTTGGCGCCGTCCCATTTGCACACTATTTTTCTTCTCAACGGCCTCCTCATCCCCCACAACGACCAAATCTCCATTACTTTCACCACGGAGAGCATATGTATGTTTTTGAGCGGTTGTTGTTAGTGCTATTTGTGTGTCACATTCACCCTACACTTTCATATTATTTTCAATACGTTCACAAGCCATCCATCGTCAATATAACCGCTGACATATTTGCGGATTAAATTTGCGGATATACATATATTTATTTTCGAATTTTTCCCGCTAAAAACCGTTTTAATTATTATGGCGGATTCTACACCACATCTCATTTCAATGCCTATTACATTTGCGGACTCCCTTCTACTTGTTTTGAAACAAAATTTCATGTGCACTTTATGAGAGAATACAAAACAAACTGCTAATTCTATTTTTAAAAAGCAATTTACATATAATATTTTATATTAAGCAAAACTATTTAAAATTACTAGTTTTTTTCGTCCCCGAAAGTCGTCGGGAACTTTCAAGATCGTCAGGGGCTACACATTTAAATCACAAAAACCCACCTAAACTAAATTGCACAATCTTTTCTTTTTGAATTTCTCCGTAAAAAATGTCCGCAAATTTCTTCTTCTTACACATATTTTCGAATTTTTTGTCCGCAATTTAAGTATCGAGGGCAAAAGAACGTTGGGTTATAGAGGAATTTAACGACGCGAGTTCTCTTACTCTACATTTACCGTATTTCCTAAAATAGTACTCCCGGGAGTACTATTTTTCAACCCTCCTCCAAAGGGGAGTACTATTTAAGGGGGGAGTGCTAATTCAGGGGGGAGTATTATTTTTCAACCATCCTCCATGATTTTTCATAGGAAAATTTATTTCAAAATTAAAAAAAATATTTTAATTTATTTCAATTTATCTCAAAATAAATTCGATTAGAGTTCGCTATTTGAAAAATGCCGGATCCGGACCCTGATTTTCAAAAAATTTCTTTAATAAAAGTTGTAGAAAATATCCGAATTAGTATAAAATTGAGCAAATTGCGAGACAATTAAACACAAGTGACTTAAAATACGGGTTATTGAGGGAAATCAAAAAGGATATAAGTGAATTTGGAGTGATATCGAGGGATATAAGGGGATTTTCGGGTCTAAGATTTATCAGGGTCAACTAAACCCATGTGTCTAGGGATTACCTAATCTCTGTCTAGTTATTTATCATATTAAACACCGATATCCTCCACATCCCTTTTGTACTTCCGATATTAGTTGATTAAGAAGGATTTATGATTCAACTTATCGCTTAATCGCTCTTAATCAACCAAAATCGCCTAATATTACTCCCCCTTCATTATTCCCTCAAATTCCTATATCAAACCTTAATCCAATGATGTCTTTTAAATGCCACTTGATTAATACAGAACCCATTTTACACCCGATATCAATCCCTTTATATACCCAAAATCCACTTTTACTCCACCAATTAATCGGATTATATCTCTTTAATCCTCGAAAAATTTTAGTTTAAAATTTCGATTCGTTTTCGGTTAACCGAAAGCTCTCAGGTTTTGTTTATCAAAGAATCAAGTGAAACCGACAACGATACTTAGAATAAATAAAATAATTCAATGTCTCGTATTATTTTTTTAAATATGTATAGAGGAAAAATATTTTTGGGGGGAGTACTATTTTAGGGGGAGTACTAATTCAGGGGGGAGTACTATTTTTCAACCCTCCTCCAAAGGGGAGTACTATTTAAGGGGGGAGTGCTAATTTAGGGGGGAGTACTATTTCAGGAAATACGGTATGTCCATAGCAGTAGAGTCTTTCCATTTTCTCCCCCAAAGCATTCCCACAGCATTGAGCTTTCTTTTTACCCCCGATAGCTTTTTCGCCCACAAAGCGCTTTACTCCAAGACTCACCAATATAGAAAATTTTATTTCTACTATGAAATAAAAGAAGCCTTTTGGTTGTAGGGAGAGGAGGTCCCCTCTCTCTTTATGTGAGAGAAAAGTCTCTCATTTTCAATGAAATTTACTTTTTTCTCTCATCAAAACGAAGCTTTTCGTCGACAAGACAACGTCTATTTCACGAAATTGGCAGTGCTATTCATTTTAGACCCAACTCTTTAAAATACATACAAGTTTTTACGGGAATCTGACTAGAATGTTCGTTTAATTAGAATTTCTGCAGGCCACCTCTTGTTAATTTCTACTTCCGCTTTTACTAAAGAAATATGTAATTCATACTGTATTAAAATAAACCTTTTGTCTCTTTTTAACCTCTTGGTTCTAATTTTCAGGATTCCTTTAATGATTTAGATTTTCAGAATATTTAGAAAATCCTTATTGCTTGTTGTCCTTTATAAGGTGATCTTTTGGACTAACTCTTTTAAATTCTACTGCCCTTTCAAACATTCCCTACTTTCAGTCCTCACTGCCCATAGCATAGAAAAAGGAATGTCATATAGTGTGAAGAAATATAGGGAAAATATTATTGAGGCAAACACTTGCTATAGGGGATTTTCGTCTTGGCATAGACTGACTAATGCTTGTGGCATTGGCGAGAAAGATAGTTAATTTTTTATTTTTAAGACAAGCTTGCGGTAAAATTCAAGGCTTAGGATCAAAAGTCTCGCACATTTCTCTATTTTCATTTTACTCTAATATACTTCAATGTTTTCATTTTCTGCTAGTTTTCCGATTTTTATTCTCTTAAAGTCGCAAAGCAAAGCGCCAACTTGGAATTTTTAATAGCGATACAAACACATTCTTCATTTTTTCGCATTGGCCAACTGCCAATATTAACCAATTCACCCGTCTTTCATTCCCTCTCCATCAATTTCAAACAAAAATTAAAACGTTAAGGGAAAAATGCTTATTTTCTTCTTTACATAGTCCATATAATCGCGAGTAAAAAGTCGTGCATACTTTTATTCGTTCCGTAAATACTCTAATAAGAAGCCTTTAATAAAAGCCCATCTCTATTAGAAGCCCATCTCCAATAGAAGACCATGACTTATATTGGAGTATTTACGGTATTTTTGTTATTAAATTTCAGTTATTTTATTGTTCAGTTTCTTCAGTATTTTTTTCAATTGAATTTCTTGTTGGATTTCTTAACTCCGATTAAAATTCTAAATTAACCTAAATATTTCAAGTTTATTTTCTTTATTCCATTAATAAAATAAAAATGAGCGCAACAAATGCAGAACAGAAACCAGCACAGCCACAAAAGCGGGCTCATGCTGGAGAGGAAAATGGTGCAGATGATGGAATCGCAAATAAAACGAAAAAAGTTGATAATGGAGAGGTTTATAATTTAAAAGGGAAATAAAAAAATATTTTTAAATATCAATAGATAAACAAAAATGATTTGGCAAATACTGAAAATAATTTAAAAGGTATTTCCTTGAGGATATTTTTCTAAAATAAAAATTTTTTAGCGTCAGAAGCTGCTGACAACGAAGCAATCTCCGCAGAGCCAAAATTAACGAAAAAAACATTGGAGGAAAATAAATTGGCAGATCGTGAAGATGGTGGGGAAGAGAGCGACGCTGAAAGTGGGGCTGTTGACGAGGAGGAAGAAGATGATGAAGTATTGGATGATGATGAGGAAGATGATGATGATGCTGGTAAGGGATATTTGTGTAAATATTTACATGAAATAGGTAAATTGAAAAAAATTTGGAGGGGTTAGCTGGGTTGATTAGAATGGTAAAAGTCAAGTTTGCCCTCCTTTTTTCCTTCCGGAAAGGTTAAAAACTCCATTTTTAACCTTCCTGGGAGGAAACGGAGGGAGGACAAAATTTAATTTTAACATCAGTTTTGTTTTTAATAGTCAAATACGTTTAAGCTCTAAGAATTCGTTTGAATTTGTCTAAAAATTGTTAAAAATATTTAAGAGCATAATTATTTTTAGTTGGCGCTGAAGGAGATGATCAAGACGATGATGAGGATGGAGGAGAAGATGATGAAGGTGAAGAAGAAGAGGAGGAAGAGTGAATATTTAATTTAACATGTTTTTTTACCTCTTCCATAACACTCCTGTGTATTTGAAAAATGAATGACTAAAATTCTTTTTTGTTGGAAATTCTTTTAAAATAATTTTTTTGCTTGAAAATCTTAAATTCAAATTGAAAAAATTGTGAAACAAGGATATTTTTTTGAGATTAGATGGGGTTTTTTGTGAGGTGGAGTTATGGGGAAATTAATTTTCATTTTGACTCTTGAATTCATTCTTAAAATTAAAAATTTGTAGAAGGCACATACGAGCTTTTTAGATAAATATTTTGTGTTAAACAAGTATTGTAGAAAGGCTATCATTTCAATGTTTGATGCACCTAACATTGTTTTAAGTTTGTTCTTAAATTTATTTTGAAAAAATGATAGCCTTCCTAAATTTTGCCACATTTTGGTCATTTACCCACATTTTCGTTTTACATTGTTCTTCCCTTAATATTTTTATAATGCTAATATTTTTTGGTTTATAGTTGAAATTAGTTGAAATTTGTGTTTATTATTTTTTGTCTTAAATAAAAAACCTCACTACTCTAAATTTATTAAAACTGTTATTGTTTGGCTTAAATAACCTTTAAGTTGTTCATCGTTATTCGTTCATCTATACAATGAGAATAAAAATAAGTAGTTATTGTTTTTAGTGTTTATTGTAACAAAAATAATTATGGAATTAAATTTAAATTATGTATTTCTTATTTTCTCGTAATTAAATTCATTTTCACCAATTATCAAAAGCTTCCAGAGTTGCATCATCATTCTCTGTTGACTGATTTTCCTGGAATATAAGGTATTTAGTATGTACTGATTAATATTTTTCTTTAATTTCAGGAAGAAACGGGTTCAGGAAAGGCAGTTGCGTAAATTGTTATCGACTGGTTAACCTCGAACAACCCTCGGGCATAACGGAATCCCTTTTGATTCGGAATTTGTTTGAAACAAAATCTAGGGTATATTACTATTTTGTATCATCTCTTCATTTTTAAATAATTTACCTGATTTGCTTGTCTTCTAATTATTAACGTTTGAGCAGTTAGAAATTGAAAAATAATTATTAATAAAATAAAGGCTAGTTTGAATTGCATTTTACTTGATTTGGGTTAAAATTAATTATTTGAGGAGTTTTCTGCGCTTTTTATTTAAACCGTTTTACCCTCTAATAAAATTTTTTTTTAAATTTAGTCTGCATATAATAAAGGAAGTAAATTTTTCTATGAGAGAAATTTTACTTAAAAATTCATTTTTAATCATTGAATTTTGATTTTTTGTAAAAGGAACTAGTATATATGCTATAAAATTTTTAAATATTTGGGCAGCTGCTTAAGATCCTTTTAAGTTTAATAAAACTTAAATTTCAGACGAGGAAGTTGAAAATAAGAAAAGTCAAAGGAAGTTTAATTTCAAATGGTAGCGGAACAAGAATCTGCACAAAATACAACTTGTTCATCTCCAATTCCCAGCTTAAAATATTCAATTAATGATTTATTGTTCAATCTTTCCGACTGCTCTGAAGAACGAAAATTGAATGGAGTATGTAAAAAAATTATAAAAATATTTTTTAAATTGTAGTTCAAATCAAAATTATTAAAACAATGGGAATTGTCTGCGAATAAAGGAACTCTTAATTATCATGTTGGAAATTGTAAATTTCGAAAGTTGGGTGGCCAATATAAAATATGTTTACAGGTTTCTTTATTTTAATATTTCTGGGGAAGATCATCATCGGAAAATTTTAATCCTTTTCATTTTATAAACTTAAGCTAAACGAAGATCGTTGCAGAAAGCGTAGGAAACCAATGGAATTCAATAGTGTTTGTCAACCTTTTGATGAAAACCTTTGGAATTTTACAAAACTAAAACAAGAAGAGGTTAATTGTCGCGTAACTTTTATATCAAAAATTTTTTAGTGTTTGTTCTATATGGATAAAATTAAAGAAAATCCATCTCAACATTCCCCTGAAGGATTACTTTCTATTAATGCCAGCCCACTCTATGTTGGACATTCACTGTTAATTCCTTCTCCACAAAAGTTTTTGCCTCAAATACTTTGTTTTGAGGCAATCAAAATGTCTATAGAATTGTTACTTCTGATAGAAGATGATAATTTTTTAATTATTTATAATGGATTAATGGCACATGCGAGCGTAAATCATTTACATATGCAAACATTGTTTTGGCCGTGTAAAAGTGGAATTTTGGAAAAATCAGTAAAGGTTGGAAGATATTAACTACTGCCCTTAGGCTGAACTGATTTAATTTTAGCCAAAATCAACTAGATGGAATTGGTTATTTCTTCTGCAAAGGCCTGATTGGTATTTACCAGCATTTGTCTTTCAACTTGACAATCATAATGATATCGAAAAAATAACAAAGTATGGTTTTCATATCTTAACAAAATATATCTTTTAAAGGACATTAGATATCTGTGTAAAATTACTTATTGAAAATGGCGTTGCTCATAATTTGTTTATGTGTAGATCAAAACAGTTTAAGAATCGGGTAAATAAGGCGGAAAATATATCAAACAATGAGATTCCAAAAGAATTGGTTACCATCTATTTGTTCCCAAGAAAAGCTTCAAAAGGTTATTTTTGAATAAAAAATTCATTAAAATTTATATTTAGAAGGTTTGTTTGTGGGTGGTTCATTAACTTCAACATTTGTACCAGCTGCTTTGGAAGTAGCAGGGCTTTTGCCTGTATACGGTTTGTGGGAGAGATTGAAAATTAATATTAAAAATATTTAGATTCTGATTTCTTTAACTCTACAAATGAATCAGAAATTCTTAAAATTTTTAATGAACGTGAGTTAATGTCTGATGAATATTTTGAACAATTGGCCAACAAATTAGTAAATTATTTAATGGAAAAAGTTGATGAATTTTAATAGAACTTCTTTGGAATTGTAAAATTTTTATTTATTTATGGAAAACATAGAGTCAGCATAAGGGTTAGTGCCAGGGATGGGCTGTCTTCCGCTTCCGTCTTCCTCAAAATTTCGCTTTTTTCGACCCCCCAGCATTCTGCCTTCCGCTTTATAAATCCCATCTTTCGTGGTTGGGGCTAAGGGTTTTTAGATTTTACAAAGTTTTATCAGATATTTTCTATTGTTTTCTATCTTTGCTATCATTATTATTGTATAAACGCGACGTATAAATTTAGATAAAATCAAATTTAAAAATTTATTTCATCAAGATCAACATCGTCTGTCTGATTCGGCAATGTAACCTTCAATCGACTATCCATTTCCATAGCTTTTTTGATAGTCTCATTAGCATTTAAATTTCCTGACCAACAACGTCTAGATATTCCATTAGTTACATCCCAATGAAGCATTTGATTTAAACGTCTTTCTACTTCAGTACTTCCATCAATTAACATCCCAAACCCTCCGTTTATCTGACAGAACATATTTTTTAACTCTTTTTAAAGAATATTACTTACAACATCCCCCCAACCAACACCACCACCATTATGAATAGCCAGCCATGTAGCTCCTCGAAAGGAAATGCCTATTGCATTTTGTATTGCCATATCTGCGGTATAGGCTGATCCATCTTCGATATTGCTCGTTTCACGAAAAGGGCTATCTACACTTCCAACATCATGATGATCTCGACTGATAATTATTGCGCCCTAAAGAGGCTTTAAAATTATTGACCTATCCATATAAAAAAGGATCATCCCGAAGAGTCAAATTACACATTGGATGTTAACCTTCTTGGGTGGACCCATATAAAACAAACTTATTTACCTTTAACCTGCCTTGACTAACTGCAGTATTAAAAGCACTAGCTAATCCAATTCGACCACGTAAATCGGAATATAAAATCCTTGCTTGACTTCCAACTACTAAATTATGTCCATCTGCATTCTGCACCCATTCCAAATTATTTCTATATTGTTCTCGAACTAATTCACTTTCCGTTGAATTTATAAGTTTTTCAAGTAATTCAATAGCTATCTGATCAGTAATTTTCAAGTCTCCATAATCACCAGAGGAACAAACCCAACGGAATGGTCCAAATCCAAGCGAAAAAATATCTCTAAAACAATTGGAGTTAAGCTTCTAACTATGACCAAATATTTGAAGATTCACCCCATAATGTCTTGCATATAACTAGGGAATATAAACGATTTGTCATCCTTTGCATTGTCTCTTAATATATTGGCACCTGCCCTATGACATTCGACAAGAAAGGCATTTCCATAATCCCAAAAGTGCATTCCACGTTTACATAGATTATTTATTGCATTAATCTGCCGAAGAAGGCTAAAAAATGAATGATTTTTTGCATTAAAACAATTAATTTCAACCTTTTTTGAACAAGTTCAATAAATTTAGGTTTGTTTTCAGCTAAAAGTTTATTAGATTCTTCGTATGTTAAACCAGTTGGATAATATCCTCCACCAAAGGGATTGTGGCATGAAGTCTGATCAGAACCTAATTCTACAAGAATTGTTCCTTCTGGTTCTTCAACTAAGCGTTCCCTACAACATAATATTAGTTGAATAATACATATAAAGCCCGGACGGCTCTGAGTTATTATATCTTAACATACCAAAGGTCTACTACATTGCCTAGATAACCAATACTTAAAGACTTCTTTTCTGCTTTATTTTGCTTAATCCAACAAATAATCTCTTCCAAATCCGAACTGTAAATATCAAGCCATCCTTGTGAATGCCTCTTTTTAATTGCCTTTTCATTTATTTCAGCAATTACTCCAATACATCCAGCAATTACTGCAGCCTTTGCTTGAGCACCACTCATCCCTCCTAGGCCAGAAGTAACAAATACTTTCCCAGAAGGACTTGTTCCTCTACCCAAATATTTTTGAATAGCATTCATTAGTGTAATCTTCATTATTGAGAGATTATGGATTTAAATATGGCTACTATATGCTTACAGTAGTTCCATGAACAATACCCTGAGGGCCTATATAGCAAAAACTTCCAGCTGTCATTTGTCCATACATTGTAACACCTAAGGCAAAGTATTTATCATAAAGCTCTTTAGTCGAGTAATTTGGGATCATCTGAAGGAAATTTTAATGTCATTTTAATTAATAATAAGTGATTTCAAACCATTCCATTACTGATCACCATTCTTGGAGCATCTGCGTGTGAGGGAAAAAGTCCTTAACAAAATATAAATTTATTTTCATTATTAAAAATTAATTATTAAAGTATTATTCGTTGATTTTTCATCCGGAGCCCAGAGACAACATTGAGCCGTCCGTAAAACACCGCCTAAGCTGGACCCAGGAGCCACGATTTTAAGTCCTCGGAGAGGAGCCAAGGGTTGAAAGGGTAGGAGCCAACAAATACCCAATAACTAGCACCATTTAACACCTTGTGGATGCCCAGAATTCATAATTAATGTTTGATTTTCATTCATTTCACCCAAATATCTCAAAGTTAAACGAAATTGAATCCAATTTGAAAATACTTGTCCATTACCTCCATAAGTAACCTTAATTTCTTTTAATTTAGAAATTAAAGATTAACTTAAAAATCACCAATTCTTGTGGAAATTGTGCTATATCTGGATCTAAATTATTTAAAATCATCAAAACAATTGCTGCAGCTTGTCGATTACTGCATTTAATTTGATCGATTGGAGGAGCCTTTTGAGATATTTTTATTTTATAATTTAAGAATAATCTAAGTACTTTAATATCAAAATTAGGCATAAACCTATAAGCATAAATATGCCCATAAGTTTTAAGCTCTTCCAAAAATTCACCGGCTAATTCTTTATGAAAACGACTTGGCACATAACGAAGAATATTTTTAACAGCTAACTAAAAATGTCTTGAATTTAGGATTTAGAATAAAATTTTAAAAACTTTAATTTCTTCTTTATTTAAAGGAACAGAACGGATAGGAGCATGTTGAATATTAGGCTTATTTCTTTGTTCGTGTGGATAACATGGAAGTTTTGCCAAAAAATTTCCTTGCAATAGACAACCAATTTTTAGAGTATCCATAGGTAAATTTAATTTATGATGAATTTGATTGAATTAAATTCTAGAAAAAAATTTTTCGAGACAAATGGTCTAGTATGTTTGTAATAATAATTAGTTAATTAAAAATATTCTCACGAGTAAAAAATTATTTTATATAATGATTAATGTTATTAAAATAATATTTATTTACAAATAGAAAGTGAATAGAGAGATAAGGACAGTCCAAAATTATTAAATCTAATTGATTAACAGTCATACCATAATTAACTAATAAAGAATCACGTGTAATTAAATTAATATTTTAAGAGAATATTAAATTAACAGTTCACTAAATTTGTTAAAAACAAGCAAGCAATTGGGTATCCCAATACTCCGCGAGGGCAGTGTACCGCCGAGGTATAACCTCGTTCTGGTTGGTAAGAGAGATTAGAGAGAGAGGGTAAGAGAGACTGGTTGTAAGAGAGATTCAAAATCTGAATTTTAAAAGATTATCGTTTAACTAAGATAGCTTGGAGACAAAATTACAGAATATGCAATAAGAGGACTTTGAATAAGGGGTGATAAAGCATAAGGGCTCAAAATTAAAGCTGAAAGAAATGCAGGCGATAAAATAATAGGTGATAATACAAAAGGAGATAGAATTACAGGACTTAGAGCTGATGGATTTAGAATAAATGGATTTAATGCTAAAGGGGAAAGAATTAAAGGAGTAAATACTTGAGGTGATAAGATAAAGGGAGAAAGCAATACTGGAGAAAGTATTAAAGGGGCAAAAGCTCCAGGAGAAAGAATGACTGGTTGAAGTGCCAAAGGAGACTGAAAATTGAAGAAAAATTTTGAAACTTAAACTTTAATTTACCAAAATTAAGGGGGAAAATAATGGAGGTGAAAGAATTAAGGGTGTGAGAAGACGCGGTGATAGAACCAACGGCACAAAAACCCAAGGTGAAAGGATTACCTTAAATGAAATATAAAACTATGAGAATATTTCCTCTTACCGGTCCAAGAATTGCTGGGGCAAGAATTAATGGAGAAAATATTATAGGGGATAAAATCACAGGATTTAAGTTGATTAATGTCTTGAATATTAAAAAATATACATAGGAATTTATAAAAAATATTACCAAAACAAAAGGGCTAAAACTGATAGGTGATAGAATTATTGCTCGTTTTCTTCTAGTTTGTTGTGTTTTTTTGGGTTGAATTTTAAATGAGTCAATTGTTGCCAGTTTGTGAATGTCGTTTTCAATGTGTGATGTCAATGCCGAGTTATTTAAAAGTAGGAAGCGTTGAAGAAGCTATAAATGTTGAAAGGATATCAAGAAACATTCTAACTAAAATCGAAGCCGATCCAGATTAAGATCAACGGTCATTATGTTATTAGACACCGTAGAGAGATTAGCCCACCGGTTTTAGATAAAGTATTTCATGCTCTTTCGAATGGGCTATAGAATAATGGAAAGGCATCTTTTTTCATCGAGATATGGCACTTTGAAATTTCACATATTGAAAAAAGTCTCAATAAGGTGCCTTTATTTAAGTGTCACTCTTTTTATTTTTGTCTATTCCGATACCTTCGGGTCATGATATGGAGAGTCTGGTCCATAAATCATTTTTAATTGTTCTTTTGTAAGAAGAGAATAACCGGTTTGATTCATTTCTCGTATCTGATTAATATTTGTCTTTCGCTGCAACTCTTCGAACAAGTCAACCTTCTTGACTTCAGATTCGGCAAACACATCACTGAAAAATTATAAAATAGCAAAATATTTTAATCATTTATTTTACTACAATTTTGATTTACAAACCGTGCCTGATATTTTGTTTGGTAAAGTAGAGTGGAGTGCCATCATTAGTGCGGACCTCCCTTTCATATCTTTCCTTATCAAAATGCTTATTCCAAATTGAGTCTACTCCGTCATTTAAATTTTTATTGTTTAGTTCCTTGAAGTTTTTAAATAAATTAAAAAAATTTTTGTGAAGGAAAAGGACCTTTTCAATTTTCTCGGCATCCTCAATTACCCCTGCCGCTTCCATTATCTTAATTTTTAAATATAAAATTTAAGTGATTTCTCATACAAAATCAAGCCACATTTGCTGGTCTTGAGAACTAAATCCAACTGGACCTCCAATTTTCTTTATCAAAGATGGAATACTGGTTAAATTCTAAACATATTTAACATTCCTTTTCTGGCAAAAATAAGAATTTTACTTACTTCAATTCCCTTCCCATTTCCGTGTAAAGAGAACAACGAGGGAGAAAGAAAATTCAACTTTATAAATTTTTTAGAAAAGTTTGTCAAATTTACCGTATCGTTATGCCCCTCTTCCGGTGTGACACTCAAGAAACGGGGCGAAACGAGCTTTAAGGTTTTATTATCGAGCTCTGTAGAGTTTTGACCAGTAAATGCATATCCAAGTTTAATTCCATCTCTTAACAAATTTACTAGACGTTGAAGAGGTGCTTTTTCCTTATCTAAACGTTTCTTCTTCAAGAAATGTTGTAACTTTTCTGGGTTTCCAATTACATCGTTTAACTTAAAAACAAAGATTATCTTTCATATTTCTAACTTTAAAATCTCACATCTTCTTGAACGATTCCTTGTCGTTTTAAGCCATTATAAACAAGCTGATCCATATTTTTAATTTCAGAACCTTCAAGCATCTTTTTAATATTATTCTGTTTTTGAGTGCTTGATTTAATTCGTTCTACAGTATGTTGCCAACTTAAAATATTCTTTAGAATTTTTAAAAATCATTTTAATGCTTTTAAAAAACAAACGGAATAACATCCTTCTCTTTTTTGCCTTTTGCTTTAAGAACAACGTCCATCATCTTTTTAGCTAATTTGCCAATCGGACTAAGACGACTTTTAGAAGGCTTATAAAGTTGATAATAATTTTTCTTGATAATTCCGGTTTGACGTCGTTCACGTCTGTGCTCTTTATAAATTTTATTTAGAATATGAAGACGTTTGAGAGGCTTTCTTGTAAAAATTCTAAGTTCAGAATTCTTAATATCGTTGCTATTTATTACTGGTTCATCCAAAAGACGTAAACCACCAACCTAAAAATCAAATAATATTTTTTAAAAATTTACAGACTAACCCAACGCTTTCGGTTAGACGCTCTCTGATGGCGCTTTGACGTCTCTTTTAGTGCCATTAATTTTTTACGATGATCCGCTCGTTTTTTGATACGGTATATGTTGAAATTTGTAGTTTTTCGTTTATTCTGAATTTAATTAAACAAGTTTATTAGTGATGTTTACCGTTTCAATGAAAGTTTTGCCATCGAACTTGCCAAGAATTAGAGTCGATATGCATTTTGCATGCAGTGGAACAGAAGAAGCGCGTTTTGAACACTCCCCAAATTCATAATTGACAGATTTAGAAAAATGTTTTAGTCTAAATAAAATTTAAGATTATTAGTTCTACAATTGCAAAATTTTTTTTCTAATTTACTTTTGATTGGCGATAACAGCAAAAAGATTAGAAAATGCTTGTTCAGCCCCTAAAAATTTCAAAAATCATTTAAAGTTAAAACATTTTAAGTACAATGCTGATAGAGATGTAAGGCGTGGTCATCCTGAATGGGAATATTTTGGACTTTCCTATAGAATTCAGCTTTTCTATCCTCTTTTTGAATGGTTGGATGATCATTTGATTTCTTTAAACTGGGAGGTTCGCTTTCTGCATAATTTTTTTGGCCGATTCTCATTGATTGATCTCTCCCAATACTTCTTTCCATTTTCAATGTCGTCTCTAAATCTTTTTGATTTGTAATTTGTTTCGTTGTTACTTGTGAACAATGAATTTTATTAATAATTAAACTTTGTTTGATGATCAAAAATATTTCAAAATAAAACAAAAATGTATTTAAAATAAGCATTTATGCAGAACTTAAATTTTAAAATTTAATCCGTTTGGCACAAATTTTTATTTAATACATAGATCTTCAAGCCAAAAATAAGCTCTAAAAATACTGCACTAATGAATAATAATTAACAAAGCTCTAATAATACATAAATTCCTCTAATATTAAAACACGTTAATCGTGAGAAAATCACATAAAGCAGCATGTTCTATGAATAAAAGATATGATAACAAGCCATAAATATTAATAAATTTAAAGTTATTTAATTTTTTGCACCGGTTTATGCTTTAATGTTAAATGTTATAATAAATATTAAAGCTATTAAATTTTCAATTCTTAGACCACCCATATTCCGAAAATTTTATGTTCTAGTTAATCTGAAAGGTTTATTTAATTAACTATATTTTTAAGTATTTTTCATTAACGAATTTCATCAAATATTAAAAGGTGTTAAAGAATAGATAAGATTTCTTATTAAAAACCTGTGAGAAAATTTTTGTTTTTATTCTAAAATTTCAATCTAACAACTCTAAACTTTCAATTCGGTAATTTAGAATGAATGATTAAAATTTACGAAAAATTAAACTGTTTTATTTAGCAAAAATATTAATTTATGAAAAAACATGTAGACAAACTCTTCAAAGAGAAAAACCGCTGTTTAATTATAAAAAGACTTGGAAGGAAAAGTACAAAATTAACAAAAATGAAATTTTAATTTATCTTTTAAAATGCCGTCTACAAATAATTTAAAGGAAGAAAGAATTAAAGTTTAAGGATGAAGTCTTTCTTATAATTATGTCGCAATAATTCACGCGTTCTTTTACTAATAATTCCAATAAAAGATAATTAAACAAAAGTGTAGAACTAATGATCAAATAAGTTTATTATATGTAATAAAAATTTTATATAGTTATTGTTTTTGGTGACCTTGAATATAAAAAGTAGTACAAAATAATTTAAAAAATGCTTTGCTTCATAATTATAGTTTCAACAAATCTTTCTTGATATTATCAGTTTTTTTGAGATTCGATTGAATAGAAATCCTTATTAAAGTCATTTTAACTTTAAAAACATTATCACTTAAAGAAATTGAATTGTTAAATAAAAATGAAATTTAGAAACGAAAAGTCCTAGAGCATTTGACATATAGAAATTTCAATTTTACCCGTAATCATTAAATGTTTTTTAAAGTTTATCATAATGGAAAATTTACGATAATTTAAATCATTCAAATTAACTGGAAAATTATAAGAAAAATGAAAGATTAACAGAAGCATGCCCGAACCATAAATAAAGACATTTAGTGTTTCCCGTTTTTAAATAAAAATAAACTTTGTTCCTCAAAATCAGTTTGTTTTCTCATATTTCCTCTGAAATCCCATAACCTCAATTCTTAATAACTTTGTCACCAGTATTCTTCACTTTGTTAATGACTTTATCGTAAAGATTTTCAATGAGCTCGCGCTTAAAAATAAAAGATAAAATTGATTTAAAAATATTTGTTTTTCCGAAATCGTTTATGTTTCTATTTAATTTTATGGCAAATTAAAACTTACAAGGCCCTGCGATTTTGGTTTCCCACTAGGAACGGGGCCTTGCGTTGAAACAGGATCATCTTCATATTCGCACTCACATTCTTCAGTTGTAGTAGGTAATGACGTAGTAGTTGGTGTTGTTCGTTTATGTTTATGAACGCATGGTTTTTTGGTTTTAGTCCTAATCGTAGAAGCAACAGTCGAGTTTACACTTCGGGAAGGAGGGGGTTTTGGGTACTCTTTTGAGGAAGGTGCTGCAGATGACAAACGAGGAACAGTTGAAGAAGATTCTGGTTGTGGAGGCTTCTTTGGAGAAACAACAGATACAGGAGTAGATTGAGCTGGTGGACTACTGCTGCTTGTCAGTTCTTCCACACAAGGAGTTTCACCTGATGGAGGAGAAGAAAGTGGAGCTGGTGAAGAAGATTCTGGTTGTGGAGGCTTCTTTGGAGAAACAACTGATACAGGAGTAGATTGAGCAGTTGCAGATTGACCACTGGTTGATCCTTGTCCGCGTGGCGATGGAGGTGATGGACGAGGTGCAGGTGAGGAAGATTCTGGTTGAGAAGGCTTCTTTGGAGAAACAACAGATACAGGAGTAGATTGAGCTGGTGAACCAGTTGTTGATTCTTGTCTGCGTGGCGATGGAGGAGATGGACGAGGTGCAGATGAAGAAGATTCTGGTTGAGGGGGCTTCTTTGGAGAAACAACTGATACAGGAGTAGATTGAGCTGGTGGGCTACTTCTGCTTGTCAGTTCTTCCACACAAGGAGTTTCACCTGATGGAGGAGATGGACGTGGAGCTGGTGAAGAAGATTGTGGTTGTGGAGGCTTCTTTGGAGAAACAACTGATACAGGAGTAGATTGAGCAGTTGCAGATTGACCACTGGTTGATCCTTGTCCGCGTGGCGATGGAGGTGATGGACGAGGTGCAGGTGAGGAAGATTCTGGTTGAGGAGGCTTCTTTGGAGAAACAACAGATATAGAAGTAGATTGAGCTGGTGAACCAGTTGTTGATTCTTGTCCGCGTGGCGATGGAGGAGATGGACGAGGTGCAGATGAAGAAGATTCTGGTTGAGGGGGCTTCTTTGGAGAAACAACAGATAAAGGAGTAGATTGAGCTGGTGGGCTACTGCTGCTTGTCAGTTCTTCCACACAAGGAGTTTCACCTGATGGAGGAGAAGAAAGTGGAGCTGGTGAAGAAGATTCTGGTTGTGGAGGCTTCTTTGGAGAAACAACTGATACAGGAGTAGATTGAGCAGTTGCAGATTGACCACTGGTTGATCCTTGTCCGCGTGGCGATGGAGGTGATGGACGAGGTGCAGTTGAGGAGGATTCTGGTTGTGGAGGCTTCTTTGGAGAAACAACTGATACAGGAGTAGATTGAGCAGTTGCAGATTGACCACTGGTTGATCCTTGTCCGCGTGGCGATGGAGGTGATGGACGAGGTGCAGTTGAGGAGGATTCTGGATGAGGAGGCTTCTTTGGAGAAACAACAGATACAGGAGTAGATTGAGCTGGTGAACCTGTTGTTGATTCTTGTCCGCGTGGCGATGGAGGAGATGGACGAGGTGCAGGTGAAGAAGATTCTGGTTGAGGGGGCTTCTTTGGAGAAACAACAGATACAGGAGTAGATTGAGCTGGTGGGCTACTGCTGCTTGTCAGTTCTTCCACACATGGAGTTTCACCTGATGGAGGAGATGAACGTGGAGCAGATGAAGAAGATTCTGGTTGTGGAGGCTTCTTTGGCGATACGACTGCTACAGGAGTAGATTCGGCAAGTGAACCAGTGGTTGATCCTTGTCCGCGTGGCGATGGAGGTGATGGACGAGGTTCAGGTGAAGAAGATTCTGGTTGAGGGGGGTTCTTTGGAGAAACAACAGATACAGGAGTAGATTGAGCAGGTGAGCTACTGCTAGTCACTTCTTCCACACATGGAGTTTCACCTGATGGAGGAGATGGTCCTGGAGCAGATGAAGAAGATTCTGGTTGTGGAGGCTTCTTTGGCGATACGACTGCTACAGGAGTAGATTCGGCAGGTGAACCAGTGGTTGATCCTTGTCCGCGTGGCGATGGAGGTGATGGGCGCGGTGCAGGTGAGGAAGATTCTGGTTGTGGAGGCTTCTTTGGAGAAACAACAGATACAGGAGTAGATTGAGCAGGTGAGCTACTGCTAGTCACTTCTTCCACACATGGAGTTTCACCTGATGGAGGAGATGGTCCTGGAGCAGATGAAGAAGATTCTGGTTGTGGAGGCTTCTTTGGCGATACGACTGCTACAGGAGTAGATTCGGCAGGTGAACCAGTGTTTGATCCTTGTCCGCGTGGCGATGGAGGTGATAGACGAGGTGCAGGTGAAGAAGATTCTGGTTGAGGAGGCTTCTTTGGAGAAACAACAGATACAGGAGTAGATTGAGCAGGTGAGCTACTGCTAGTCACTTCTTCCTCACATGGAGTTTCACCGGATGGAGGAGATGGACGTGGAGCAGATGAAGAAGATTCTGGTTGTGGGGGTTTCTTTGGCGATACAACGGCTACGGGAGTCGATTGTACAGCAATAGTTGTCGAACTTTGCTGACTTACTGTGCTCGCTTCTTCTTTATCATGCTTATGATGATGGTGGCGGTGATGATGCTTATGGCGATGATGTTCGTGTGATTCGCTTTTAGAATGGCTTTTGCTTTTCTTATGCTCACTGGAATGACTATGTGAAGCTGATTTACTTTTTGAATGATGTGAGCTACTCTTACTACTAGATTTACTGCCGTGATGTTTTTTATGATGTTTAACTTTTTGCGGTTTAATAGTAGTTGAATTACCATCTTCACATGGAGGCTCTTCTCCTCCGTTTCCACGAATATGTTTGTGATGCCTCTTATGATGTTCATGTGAACCTGATTTGCTTTCCGATCGTGATTTGCTAGCACTATGATGTTCATTACTATTTGAATTACTTGATGATTCACTTTTGCTTTCAGAGTATCTAGAACGTGAATCCTCCTCAACAGTTTCACTCTCTGAATAGCTTCCTCCTTTGGATTTGTTATTTTTTGCTTCGTTCCAATTCTGTAAATTAATTTTAATTGTAAATTGAAAATTATTTTGTTTTAATTTACAAAAAACAATTTTAATATAAGACATTGACTCTGAATGCCTATAATTTGTATAATTTTTTGAACTCAAGAAACGAGCTTGGCCCTCTTATTGTTTTTTAATTTTCTCATCCGCATATAGTGGTACTATTCGACTTAGACCGAGGAGTCAAATCGAAAGATATATGAATCAAAATACTTTGGAACCGGCCACTGGATAAAGTAAGGTCAACGAAGGTGCGGGCTTATAACGGAAAAGTACCAAGACATTTAATAATACTTTTCCGTAACAATTTATAAACTCACAAATAGATTGAATCCCTCAGCTTCTAACAAACAAATAGCCAACAAGACGCAAGAAATTGCCGATAAATATGAAAGATGCATAATTTTCGTGATTTAGGCAGTTTATTTTTATTTTTAGATTATTTTTTAATTTAATATTTTAGAGGTATTAATATTCTTTTTATTTATGGTTAGGGCTTTCCAGTAAATAGAAGAAGGGTAATAAAGAGGGGAGAATAAATTATTAGTTAATGAATGAATTCCAATGTTGGATTGAAAACTCCTTATTGCCCATCGGCTTAAGTATTAAGGCTTCAAAGAGAGGGAATTTATTTAAAATCAGTTGAATCAACAAAAAATAAATTTATAAATTGGCAGAAGATTAAAGAGCGGCAAAAAAGTATATTCTTGCAGAGAGATAACTTATTACCACGTATAATAAATTAAGGGAAGTTTTTCTCTATCCATTTTTTCTAGTATGAAGCGTTACTTCAGAATCAAACAACTCAATTTATTATGAATATTTGCCAAAAAATTCTATTTTAGAATTTGTTGAGAGAGATGTATAGAGGAGAGAATTAAAGGCTTTACCCACATGAAAAGCATATTTTGAAAATTATATTGAAGAGGGGAAAAAAGGAATAAATTAATTAAATTTTATAAATTAATTAACAAAAGCATTAGAGGTGCTGGAGGCGCTTAAAGAAATAATTTTTATAGCTCATATTAAAAAATAAATATTTTTTTCAGAAATATACACGTGAAAATACCATGAATTTCCATTCTAAACCATTAAAGCTTCATCGATAAATTACGCAAATACATGTTTGCTAAAGTTTTTTAAAATTTTATTTCATATCTCAAACAACATTTTCAAATAATTATTAAATGTTTTTGCAGTAATTTATATTTATTTTATTAAATTTTTGGCAAAATTATTTGCTTAATTTTATCAAGATATCCTAGTGATTTATTTCTATAAAAATTATTTGAGAGAATATCTCCAAGATATGATCGGATATATTTAGTTAATTAAGAAATGATTTAAATGCAGGGTGGGATAAAAATATTAGGACGCCTTTATTGCTTGACTTTATTTAATCTCAAGATAATGATATCAAATAAAGCCTAAATGAAGATAATAAAAATAATAATCATTTTATTCTAATCTAAATAATGTTTACATAATTGATAAATAAATTAAATTATCATTAAATTTAATACATATTTTAATAAAACCAATAATATCAAAATTTTCCCAAAATTAGTAATTAATTTCTTAAAAATTTCTTCATACTTTAATTCTCTCAGTTTTAGCTTTTTTCTAATTTATCCAGCTTTCAACTACTTTCTCAAGTAAATTCAGTTTGAAATTTTTATAAATCTTTAAAATCGAATCTTAGTAAATTTTATTTTTTAAGGTTGTTATTATTGGGGAGCAGGCCAGTGTACCGCGAGCCCAATGTACCGCCGAGCTATAACTTTGTTCAAAATTGTCGAATCCTTGGCGCCATGGTATGGTTCGATTCAGCTGGTCGAGACGCATCGAACCATAACAGGGCGCCACGGATTCGACAATTTTGAATAAAGTTATAGCTCGGCGGTACATTGGGCTCGCGGTACATCGGGGTGTACCCTTATTATTGTGGTGCTAAATTTGAGGATTTTTAGCATAAAGTTAATAAAGTCATTTTTTTATCATGAGTTAATGATAAAAATTAATGAATTAACAACAACCCAAGTGTAATAAATGCCGCCAGAAAAATCTCCCTTACAACAGGCTAAAGTGTAAGAACTTTTTCGATTCTTTAGAAAACTTTAAAAAACCGTTTTAATATACAGAACAAGATAACAGATTAGCTTACATTTGCAGTTGATGTATTCTTGATTTTGTTTTTTATATATGCGTTCCATATATTACAATAGCGTTTTTCGTATTTATCTTTTAAATCTTCAAGCTTAAAATTAATAATATTTACCAATAATAAAAATTGGTAAATAATTTAGAGAATATTTGTAATTTAATAATAAAATACCCGAGTAATTTGTGCTTTCTCATCTTCACTTTCCTCATCATCATGAACTGTTGATGTACTGCACTCACTAGATTTCATCAACTCCCAAGCTTTATTTATTAAAAACAAATTTGCGGCAAGAAACATTCCAAATCGACAGGTTTTGAGAATATTTTTATCGTGACTATGTATTTCTTTACACATTGTTTCAATATAACCATTCAATGTATTCCAAAATTTATCAGATTCCATAAATTTTTTGGAAACAAATAAACTGGTTATGTTTTCCATTTCTTCATTTAAATCCACACCATACTGGAAAATATTTAATATATGAGATAAATTCGCAATTAAAATTTACAAAAAATATGTATTTATTTTTTAGTCACTAAGAAGACTGTATTAAACAAGAAGCCATTGTATTCGAGCGTGTCATTTTACAAGTTTTACGGTATGTAAATGAGCTTACTTCAGATAAAATAATCCGCATCACGTCTTCAGCAATTTCTTCATTAAACTCTTTAAACTTGTCAGTAGAAATAAATCTCTCAAAATAATCAGACATTTGATTTGCTGAAGCAATTATTATTTGAATTGATGGAAGTTCTACTAAAGATTTAAATATTTATTAAGGGGATATTATTCTTTGTAACGTGCCTTTTGGATATTTATTAGGATCAATATTCACAGAACTTTGCCCAGCTATGTCGGAAGAAGTCGACTCGCCTCCTCCAAGAGGTTGGCTCACTCCTTCATGCCTCACTCCATGTTCTCTTACTTCAACTACTTCATGACCGCTTCCTCTTCCGTGGCGACTTCCACCAATATTTGAATCAGAGTCATTGTGATTGTTGCTTGCTGAACAACATTTGCAAAGAATGACTAAGGAAAAAATATTTTAATAATATTCAATTATGAAATTTTATTTTTTAATTGAATAAGAATTTATTTAAATATAACCTCCAGAGTTTACTTTATTAAATAGCGCAAAAATAATTAAGAAAAAAATGCTAAATGGAACATCGTTACTCATTCAGATTTTTAATAGTATTTTTAATAAACTATTTTTGATTTCCCCCTTCTAATCAAGAAAGTATTGTCTAAAATTGAAATTTTTTCTAAATAAAAACTTAATAAAATGAAGTAACATGAAAGCCTGATAGCAATTAAATATACCTTATAACCTATAGTGCCATTATTCTATCGAGTATAAAGTGCATTTTTGGTATTTGCACTCTAAAAATATAAAAAGATTAAAGCGATGTTTGCCGCCAAAATATGTGCTTTGCTTTAAATTCCACATCATTTATTGACAGTCGGTAAAATAAAAGCAATAGTAAGAATGATAGAGTGCAACTATAGTAATTTGGTAAAATTCCGTCATATCACCTATGTACAGATTCGAACGGACAATATGCCATTTGAAAGGGGCTAAAATTAAGTTCGGGACTGAATTATAGGCGAAATGTACCCACTGAAGATCGGAAAACGATAAGAAACCATGACATATTGTTTGTTCGAATCGAAGTATTAGTGATATGTATGATGGTTTTTTTCAGTAATTTTTTCAGTGATAAACCTTTGTCTGCAAGCTATTGACAGACCCAGTACAAAACAGAGCTGGAGTCTACTAAACAAGCTGTCGGAAACAGTCGGCTTGTAAACAGTTATGTTTGTTTTCAGGAAATTTTAATTTCAATTTTAATTCATTTTTAATTTTAGATAGACACTTGATCATTTTTCCTTCCAATTTGGCGAATTTATAAAATATTTAATTTTAAAATATAAAAATAAGTATCTGGAATGAGGAAGGAAAGAAAAACTAGAACCTGAATTTAAAGTTTAATATTAAATTATTTATCAAAGTAAGTGAATGATATTGATAAAGGAAAACAAAAGAAGAAAAATATTTTGTAAACAATTAAATCAGTTAAAAAATTAAACTAAATTTGTGTCTAGTATTTAAATAATAGTTTTTAAAATATAAATTTATTTGTCCTTTTCGTTAAACTTTTATCGATAAAAGATAAATTTTAATTAAGTCTTTTTTGTTAATTTTTTTGATTAAGAAATTAAAATTTATTTTATTTCCTTTTGAAAGATTTAAATAAAATTCAGTGACTAATTTAATAAGAATTAGCATGAAGCTCTTAACTATTCTTACCCTTACATTCACGATTGTTTTTGTTTTATTTCAAATTTCCAATGCTTACAATCCTTATAAATATGGACAAATTGGCTGGATGGTAATCTTTTGAAATAATTTTTAGTTCAGATTCAGGCTAGAGATCGGACTTGAGAGTGTCGATATCTCGAAAAATCAGATATCGATATCTAACCGTGTCTTTTCATTGAGATCTCGTCTCGGTCCGATCTCTAGTTTAATCTTTTTAATAAAAACCTTTAAAATTAGATGATGCATGGCGGAGGAAATTACGGATATGGAGGTTATGGAGGATGGGGTGGCGGTTGTTGTGGTGGATATGGGTACGGATATGGATATGGTGGATATGGATGGGGAAAACGTTAAAATAGATATTTTCACAGAAACAGATTAATAATTGATAAAATTTTATTATAGTAGAAATAAATTTGTAGCATAAAAGTGAATCTATAAATATGAAGCACCCGCATTTTTCAGAAAATTTTTAATATTTTTCGAATTTTTCCTTAAATTTGGAATTCCTTTTTGTAATGTTTTTAAAGCTAAAAGGAGTTTCTGATAAAAAATTTCAATTCAATCGGACCTCAATAACATAGATAAGATTAAAAAATTTGGAAGAAACTATGTTATGCATGAAACTATAAAATTTGTGTGAAACTATACATATTATGTCCAAACTTGTAGCATAAAAAATAGTAAAAAAATAAAAGAAAAATTTAGTAAATAAAAACGATTATTGTGAAATTTCTTTCAGCTTGAGAAAAATTAAGAAATATATTTAAATTGTGCCTAAATAATCCTCTTAAAAATTAGTCATTATGTATTTCTTAATAAAAAAATTTTCTTTGAAATATTAAAAGTGTTCTGTGAGTTTTCTTTAAAGATGCTCTATAAAATAAAGGAAAAAAAAACAAAAAAATATTATTTTTTATTTACCCAGCTTCTTTCTCAATAAATATTCTTTTACTTTTTAGCTTTTTATTTTGCTTATTAAATGTCCACAATTTATTTTTTATTTTTATATTGATTTCTGCAAGTAATTTTATATTTGTTTTTTATTAGTTTGGAAGGGGATTTTTATTTTAAAATAATTTTAAAAATTTTTTTTATAACAATTAGGTACTTTTCCGTTATATGCCCACAAATTCTTTGGCTGTACTTTAGCCAGTGACCATTTTCCAAAGTCCTCGATTTATTTATCTTTCGATTCGCTGGGTTGGTCTAAGTCGAACGGTACTACTCTATATGTTCGGAGAAAGGGCTGCCTTGAATAAGGCTAAAATCAGCTTGATTTGATGTTTCATAAAATTACGACTACCTGAATGTTGCTAGAAAATCTTCGCGGGCATATAACGGAAAAACACTAAAAATTACATAGGTAATTTTAATTAAATGAATTGGAAATTGACAGTTGGACTTGTTTGTATATTCGGAGTTCTTAAAAAATTTCGTCCAGGAACGCCTTTTCTTACTCCTTATCTTAAATCACCTCAATTTAAAAATTTTACAAATGAACAAATTTATGGGCAAATTTATACTCATTGGGCTTATTCTAATTTAATTTCTATGGTTAGTTTAAATAATTTTTTTCTCAAAAAATATTTAAGATTCCAATCTCCTTGTGCATTGACTGGCTTAGATTTACTCCAATTATAATACTTGAAGCGCTTTTATTATCTGTTACGTGGGCTTTACTAATTTTTGGGCATTCAATTTTTCATATGCAATTAATGCAAATATCTTTTGGTAAATTAAATTTTTCTAAAAATTAGCTTAATAGATGCTCAGGGGATGCCCAGAAGGTCCTCCTAGGAGATCAACACCATTGAATACAAATATTATGGGGTTAAGGAAGGATATTTGGGATTAAGATGAATTTGTGGGAATTAAGGTGGTTTGACCTCTAGGGTATAGACCTGCTGGGAGTTGACCTTCTAGAGTGGTACTTCATGGAGTCCCGTCTCTAAGCTAAAAATATTTTTTAATCTAAAAGGTATTGCTACCTCTGCAGATGTTGCTTATAGCTCTTACTTATATTCTGTTGTTAGTAAAAGTAAATATAAACGGGTAACTTCTTTAATTCGAATGGCTACAATGACAGGAAAATTTGCGGCATATTCTTTTGGGCAATTTTTAGTATCTACTGAAATTGGGGATTATCTGTTACTTAATCAGGCAGGCTTCTATTGTTTACAAAATTCCTGAATTTCGGACAACCAAAATAACCATTAAAAATATATTTTTATTTTTTAGATAACATTGGGTGTTCTTATTGTTGCTGTACTTATTTCCTTATTTTTGCCGATGACGACACCTAAAAGGAATAAAAAAACAAATAAGGAAAGTAAACAGATGGAAGTAATGTCTTTTGAAATTTTTGATAAGCAAAATTTTTAAAAATTAGATACTTGCGTCCTCAACAGATGAAAAACATAATAATTTATTAAATAAGGCAGATCAACAAGAAAATAAAAAAATAATTGAAAGCTTTGAATTATTAGAAGGAACTAGGAAAGATTCCACTAGAAGGACAAATAATCAAGAAATATTTTTTAATAAATTTATCAGGCATTACCGTAATGTTAATGTCTTGTGCTGGTCTATTTTTGCAATTCTTACTACCTGTGGGATTTATCTGGTGAGGGTTTTTTGGGATTATTTGTCGTAAATACAAAGAGAAAAAGGGAAAAATGTCTAGCCACCGGGCAGGATTCAAACATGTGACACGCTGATACGCTTAAACCTTCGCAGGTTCCCTATAACTGAGCTACCGCCGCGACGAAGCGTTTTAAATGCTGCTAGGTGAATCATCCTTGCAAAATCAACCAGGAATTTAGGTTATGAATTATGAACAATCATTATGGGCTCATCGTAAAGTGGATAAATCCTTGGTCTGGAATGGATTTGTTGAAAGCCTAAACACAATTTTATGTAAATATTTTTCGATAAGAATAAAATAAAAAATTTTCTTCAATGCCAGCCGCCATTTGTTTAACATTTCTTCAATTTGTTCAAATAAAATGGGAGGATTATCGGCCGTTTGTGTTTATAGGTTCATCATTTGGATTTTCTTTACTTCTCTTTGGAATGATTTATTTTGCAAATATTTTTGCTGATTATGTGCTTTATATGATTTTATATATTTTATTCAGTGTTTTGGAGGCTGTAGCCAGGTAAATAATTTTTAGGCCTGGAGAAGGTTTGGGGAAGGCCCAAATCTCTTTAAGGCTTTCTAAGGTTCGATAAACCCTACGTTTATTTGATAAAGTGAGATTTTTGAGAACTTCCTAAATCCATCTAGCCATCTACAGGCCAAATAGTACATTTTTAATTAAAAATTTTCAAGTAATCAAATAGCAACAAATATGCATTCTGATGCCTATGGCCTTGTTTTTGGCATTAACAACTTTGTTACTATCCTTTCCATAACTTTCTTTACCTTCTTTTTTGTTGATAAGAATGGGCCTTTAAATCTTGGAATTGAACAAATGGTTGGATATTTTTTTAGATTTTATAAAAAAAAATTTTTATTTCAGTTCATCTCCTTCAGCATTTTTTTCCTTTCTATATCTGTTATTTTTGCCTTAATAGAACTTGCAGTACGGTACTTTCAAAGGAAATAATCTTGTTTAAATTTATTAATTTTGTTAAAATTTATTTAAATTAACGGGTTAATGGCGTGTTAAAATTTTACGGTCAAAACATTTCTCAAAGCCTTATAATAAATTTTTGTTTTTAAATAGTCTTTTGATAAGTCTTATTTCTATTTCCGTTATCATAATAAATTATTAATCATCTAATTTCCTCTTTATGTGTCAGTCATCTATGTTCTCCAAAACCTTCAGAATTTCTAACCTATTACAGAAATTATGGAAACGTTGTTGCTTCAGAGAATGTCTCTAATCTTCCTTTCTCAAAGCCTTGGACTTATAATATTATAATTATCTGTAAGATTTTTTGAATTTCTTAATATTCATTGTAATATATTCCTCCAGGCCAGCGTGCGTGATTTCCGCAATAAGTAATCCTCATTAAGGCATAATAAAGGAAAAATTTTTCCCTCCTCCACATTGGGCACTTTCTGAAAATTAAAAATAAGTCTTCCCTTGATAAATTTGAAAATCTTTTTCAACTACCTGTATAGAACTTTCTCTTGATCCCTTCTTCTATCCATTCGACACAATTGGCTTTGATTCCGATTAATCTTTTTTATTGTTCTAACAATTCTTCTTCTTTCATTTACGAGTCTTTGTATTATCTGATAATTTTGAAGGTTATTTATTGAGATCACGACTTGGCAAACTTTAATTTTTTTACCTTTTTCTCCAAATTAGCTTTATTTAATAAACATTCTTCTCTATCATCAAAAACCATTGTTCTGTTTCTTTCATCCTCTAAATAATCTATATCCTCTTCTCTACTATCATTTTTTAATAAATTATCATTTAACATTTCATCCTCAATTTCAACTGTTTCATTGTTTTCCTCAACATTATTAATCAAATTATTATTTATCTCATTTTCGCTTGTTTCATTTTTCTGATTCGGCTCAGAAATTTTTGAGTGATAATAAGGCTGTCTGATTCGAACAAGAAACCTTTAAATTAAATTTTTAAAAATTTATTCTTAAATAATTTTTGGAATGATAACCAAGGTTTAGTGTTTTGTTTGTCCATAAGTTCATTCTGTTGCTGAATAGTTGCGGCAACTTAAATTAAATTTAAAATTTTTTTCAGTAAAAATATTGAGAATAAACCTAATCCTTGTTTCTTTACTACATCAACCTGTATAGGATTTTTAAAATTATTTAAAAAATTTTTGTTAGACATACAATCATTAATTGTTTTTCATTTGATCCATTTTCTTTATTATCAATTAATCTAATTTCTATTCTTTCAACAATTGGAGTAGGTTGATTTTCTTGTTTATCATTTTCTCTCAAATCGAGTTGGGGCAATTTTGTAGTTTGAATATTGTTTGAAGGAATAATTGCTTAATTAAATTTAAAATTAATTTTTTTAAATTTAAAAATTATGAGGAGGAAATGGATCCAAGGAATATACGAAGGAAAGGGATCAGGCAGTTCTTAAACTTTATTGCCCGATCGGAGGAAATAGCCTTCGCCCGTTTAATGCCTTTCCTATTAGTATTCCCTCATATTCTGTTTTTTCTTGGCTCTGAAATTGGTATGGACTCAGTCGGCTTCTTCTAAATAATAAATATTTCAATTACCTGCTTCAATAGATAAATATTGAAAATCCAAAATAATTAAATCACAAAATTTGGATAATAAAAAAGTAAAAACTATATGGAGAATTAATGATTTGGTTAAATTTTTTCTTTTAATCTTCATCTAAAAATATTTTTAAATTTTGTACAATTTTGAATTACTGAGCGTAAAAAGGTTTTAACGTCAATTTTAGACAAAAAAAATAAATTAAAAGAAAAGTTCAGAAAAAATAAGCATTCCTAAAAATTTGTTAGGTCATTATATTCCTTCTGACGACATTTGCCCTTAAATATTTTTTATGTTAGCTATAAGGTCATAAAACAAAAGTCAGCTGTTTTAAATGTTAAACGTTCAAAATAAAAATGGATAATTTTAAAAATTAATTTTTACCCAAATAAATTTATAGAAAAAAAACAACTAGATGAATGGTATTAACAGTTCATTTAGTTAATCGAATAATTTATTTAAAAATAATTTTATATCAGTAATCTTCATCAAACTAATTCTTTAACTTTTAAATTATCTTCTGATGGTTTAAAATTGTATCCAAATTGATTCATAAAAGCGTTGAATATTACGTCAAAGAATTGAGTAAGAATCTCTTTAGAATCCTGAATTAATTTTTATTATTGTTGATTAAGCAAAAGAGAGCTAACAGTTAAGCCCCGAGCAGACATTGATCCCGCGACCTCCTTGCAGTTATTGCCCGGCAATTTCGCTCATCCGTAGAAGAGCTACCGGAGTGCTGCTTTGCCCTTCTATTTTAATAGGTCTAAAACCCAAGCCTAGTGAGCTTTTTAAGTAAATGCTAGCTGAATCCTCTTCCTTGCAATTATAAATTTAAATGATTACCTTATCAGCCATTTTATTTTTCCTTCTCTGAATGATAACATTCAAATCCAGGTCAATATCTCCAGTTAATGAAGGTTCTGTGCTGCTCATATAATTATTTTTATCCTCTTCGTTGTTCTCATTCTCTTCACTTTTTGGCTGATTATTTGAATTTTGATTGTCTTTGCCTAGTTTATTTTCTCCTCTTGGTTCTTCTACTTTATTAATAATATTATTATTTGAATTAATAATATAGCTGGGAGGGGTTGTTCGTACATTTGGAATAGTTGGTATTGTTGGTGAAGTACTGGTTGTTGGCGATGGTGTAGATGTACTAGCTTGATTAGTAGATGTAGAAGGTAGAATTGTTGTTGTTTTCATTGATGTTTTCTTTGGTTCTTTATGGCATGGTGTTGAATTGCTTACTTTATCTATTTAATTATAATGAATTTATTTTAAAAATAAATTTAAATACCGGTTGCTGTTTCCGTTACAATTGTGGGCATAAGAGTTGTTGAAGCTTTAGCAATTGTTGGTAATGAACATCGCGTTGTTGGCAATAGAGTTGTAGTTGATAATGGAGTGCTAGATGATGGGGAAGGAGTACTAGTTGTTGGGCAAGGAGTGCTGTTTGTTGGCGATGGAGTACTCGTACCAGCTTGAATTGTAGATAGTATTGTCGTTGTTTTTATTGATGTTTTCTTTGGTTTCTTCTCCTCACTAGATTTAGAATTATGCTCAGAGGATGAAGAAGAGGATGATGAATCAGAAGAAGACTCAGAAGATGATGAACTTGAAGATGAGGATGAAGAACCATCGGAATGATGATGATATTTGCGATGATGATAACGTTTTTCTTCGCTGTGATGATGCTTTTTCTCAGCGCTATGCTTATTAAACTTAAAATTATAGGAATTATTTTTAGGATATACCGTATTTCCTGAAATAGTACTCCCCCCTGAATTAGCACTCCCCCCTTAAATAGTACTCCCCTTTAGAGGAGGGTTGAAAAATAGTACTCCCCCCTGAATTAGTACTCCCCCTAAAATAGCACTCCCCCCTAAAAATTTTTCTCCTATATTTGAAAAAATAAAAAGAGACTCATTGAATTATTTTATTTATTCTAAGTAGCGTTGTCGGTTTCACTTGATTCTCCTATAAACAAAACCGGAAAGCCTTCGGTTAACCGAAAACGAACTGAAATTTTAACCTAAAATTTTTCGGAGATTAAAGAAATACAATCCGGTTAATTGGTGGGGTAAAAGTGGATTTTGGGGGATATAAAGGGATTGATATCTGATGATAAAATGGGTTCTGGATTGATCAAGTAGGATTTAAAAGATATCATTGGATTAAGGTTTGATGAAGGGATTTGAGGGGAATACACACAAGATTAGTTAACCCTATGAGATTAGTTAATAGAGGGATACACACGAGACTAGTTAACCCCCTGATAAATTCCTAGACAGAGATATTTCCACTATATCCCAAAAAATTAATTGATAATCATTTTATTAATATCATTTTATTATTATTGATAATCATTTTATTATCATTTTAATATCAACTTTATCCCCTCAAATCTCACGATATCGCTTTTAATCAAAAATTACCTGGCATCCCTACTAATCCGCTAAAACGTCAATATCCTTCTCAATCCTGATAATTTTTTCGACATCCAACTTAATCTATCGATATCTCTTAATCGCTTAAAATCCCATTATACCCCTGGATATCACTCCAAATCCACTAATATCCTTTTTGCTTTCCCTCAATAACCCTATTTTAAGTCACTTGTGTTTAAAAGTCTCGCAAGTTGCTCAATTTTATACTAATTTGGAATCCACATTTCTTGAAAATCCAAATTTGGATCCGGCATTTTTCAAATTACGAACTCTAATTGATTTAAACATTTAAAATTTTGAGACAAATTTTCCTAAGATAAATCATGGAGGTAGGTTGAAAAATAATACTCCCCCCTGAATTAGTACTCCCCCCTTAAATAGTACTCCCCTTTGGAGGAGGGTTGAAAAATAGTACTCCCGGGAGTACTATTTTAGGAAATACGGTAATTCAATACAAACCCATAAGAATCCATCTACTTGAAAAACATTAACAAAAACAATGGAAGCTATAACAATCAAAATTGAAGCTTTTAAGGAATACATAATTAATTTTAAATTGTTTTTACTAAATAATAATTATTTTTAAATAAACTAGAAGTGATATGAAACTTGGATTTTAGTTGCGATTTTATATGACCTATGAAGCTCTATGCAGCATTAATTCACGTGGATATTTAATGAGTTAAGCGGTAAACGGTTAAATAGAAATTTAAAAATCAGAAAGAAAAAATATTATAATTTTTTATTACGTAAATTAAAAAATTATTGAGAGATGCGGTGAGAAAAAAGTAACTCCAAAGCTTTGGAAAATAAATTTTTAAAATCAGTTGTGACAACAAAAAATAAATTAAAAATATTTTTTAATAAGTGTCCAGAGATTATTTTCAATTTTTAATATGCAAAATAAACACGTGAATATCAAAATTTAAATTAATATTTTAAAAATTTTATTTGAATTAACACTAAGGTTTATAATCTCTTAATTACACCTTCACCGAGAGATTGAGAAAAATAATTACACAGGGTAATAGTTTGTAAGGATACATACATTATTTAAACTAAGAATGGCATGGCCATGGACTCGGATTTTGGTGTCCGTATCCGGATATACCCGCGGATATCCGGATATTATCCGTATTCATGGCCAAGCCTGAACTAAGTTACTTTTTGGATATGCCGCCATCTAATTTGTGCGACTGCACTTTATAACGTAAATCACTTAAAACAGTTTTATCTCCCTATTCAGCTTATTTCTGTTTTAAAAGATAAATCGACATCCGACACACACTATAATTTCGGCTTTAAAAATATTCACATGATTGTATTTATTGGCAAATAAAATCTAAAGTTTGCCCAATTTCCTGCTCGGAAGTTGACAATAATAATAAAGTTTTGCCACGTTTACCTTTTAATAATAAAAATATTTTTTTAATTTTGGAATTTTAATTGGTAATCTTTGATAAGATTTATTAAGATTATTTCCTTAATTATTGGTTTAATATAAATACCTATTTATATTTAATCCAATAATTTTTATAAAATTTACACAAATATTTTTGCATTTATTTTTTTGGAAAAATTAATATTTTTTGGAAAAATTAATATTTCCAAAAAATTTAATTTTTTAATCAATTAGAAATAAATTCTTCCATTAAATAAATAAAAATAATTTTTTAATAAATGATTTTTAATTCTTTATTTTAATTAAATTAAATGACGCAATTTAAAAATTTTTTCTATATTTTTTTTAGAAATTTTTACCAAGATTTTTAAAGTTTTGATTTTTTAAGCCAGACTATTTAGGCCCAGGTCCAAGATCTTTCAATCCAACTTTTCAATTTTTCAATCAATCTTGATTTTTGATATCACCCTCTAAAAAGATGATGCAAAAAGGTTATATGCCAAAAATAATTTATGTATTAACCAAATGTAGTTTAATACTTTAAGAGAAAATTTTTCAAATTAAGCACAATACAGAAATTTACAGGAAAACCAAAAATAACTCAAATAATGTTTATTATTGTATACTCAAGTTTAAAGGAAGTTGGCAAACTTCAATCTTTTATTAAACTTGTATTAATACACAAAATATAAAATTCAAGGCATGTGAAATATTTGTGAAGTTTGAAATCAAACATGGGTTTAATTATATCGACTAATTTGAATAATAATAAATAAAATTAAAAAATATATATTAATAATTTAGATCATCAGTACCTTCAAGTTGGATTTAAAATATCATTCATTAAAATCAAAGATTTAATCAGCTATTAAATATCATCGATCTATTAATCTGATTTCGAATTTAATCTGATTAATCTGATTTTAATCTGATTTCGAATAAATTGAACTGAATTTTGATAGAAATATTTGCCGTCAAATAATAAGTATCAAGATTTTTTTCAAATGAGTCTCAACTTGAAAATATTGTAGACTTTTGAATCAACAATTATCCTCTCGACGGTATCAATAAAAATACAATTTTTCATAAATTTAAAATAACTTTTATAATAATTATTAAATCAAAATTACTATTTAAAATAAATATTTTTTACATATTTTAATAAAACAAAAGTTTATTGTCATTAATTATTAATTTAATTCCCCTATGAGATTATTAAATAAAAATTGCTAGTTGAAACTTTGTTTACATTAATTTTAATAAAATTTTAACGTAAAAAATATTTACATCTGTCAGAAAATTTATTTAAATTAAAAAAAAAGAAAAAGTACAAATTCGAAATGGAGCTTTTTCTCTTTGAACCCAACGAATATCAACGTCTCTACAACTGTAGTAGTATAACAATTGAGACAATACCTTTAGAACAACGTCGTTCAACACCCTTAGCTCTAATTAATTTAACATTGGCAACGATATATTTTTTACTTTATTTGCCATGTTTGTACTCAATTTGGAACCATCACTGGAAAAATGATTGTTATTCAATACTTTTCTATATTGGGATAATTGATGTTAATGCATTAGTAATTATTGGATTTATCCAAACTTGGCTATCCTTACAAGGGGCTGTCTTTTGCTCGTACCCTACTCTGATTTATATTGTTGGATCTATATCGCTATGTTTAGAAATTTGTAGTATTAAAATTATAAATTTATTTAAGCTTTATGGATTGCAGAGAGCACTGCGGATATTGTATATTTATGAATTTAAGAGATCGAGATTTTTAGTAAAACTTGATTTAAAGTGAGTACCTTGACCAGATTCTTGACCATAAGTCAAGGAAAATTCAGGTCAAGGAAAAATCAAGTAACTCTGAAAAGTACCTTGAAGGTCCGGATCACTCTTATTTAAGATTTATAGTCTCGATCTAATAGATATTATATTGAATTTATCCGAGAGTAACTTTATCCAGTAGAATTTATTTTGATTAATTTAAGATTCTGGCTATTAATCGCTGTCTTGAAGTGTTGGCACCTAAGATAGCTGAGATCCTTTTTAAAGGAATTCGCACTTATTTGTGGCTAGCAATTTGTTCCCTATATGCTCTATATTGGCTATTTTTTGCTAAAGCAATTGTTTTTTCTGGAATTTATTTCGCATGGTTCTTCAATCCATTTATTGGATATAAGGAGGATAGTAAAGGGGAGGTTGTAACATATTACCTTAATATTATTGAAAATACATTCCAAGTTTAACTATGACTTTCACATTATTCACGATCTCTCCGTTGCCATTCTTTCACCCGGAATTTATCTTTTGTTTGCTTTATCGCTTCTAATAAAGAATCAAGCCTTGCGGCATTCTAATACAAATAATAACGGATCTGTGACAATCAGTCGCGCTGAGAAATTGGTAATTTTACTATGCGTTAAGGATTTTTAATAATTTTTATTAGACATTCCTTCAAGTTTCTGTCATTTCCTTAATTAACACTATTTGTGGCTCTATATATTCTGTAATGCAACATATAACACCTGAACGATGGATGATTATTTTGGCACAATTTTCTTGGTAACTTAATTAAAATTTTTTAAAAATATTTATTTTCAGGCTTCACATTCACGGCTAGTTTAAAATTTTTGTTTCTAAAATTTAAATAATTTTCAGGCTTTCCTCCAATCATTTACTTGGCATTGAACAAAACGATAAGGAATGATTGTCTGAAACTTATTAAAAAAGTTTTGAGAAATAATCGTGTATCAACTATAAACGCTGTTGGAGTTAATATCCAACAAGGGAACAAAAACCCTGTACCTAGTCCGGTCATAAATTGAAGAAAAGCAGTATTGACAAATTTATTTGATTTTAAATCAAGATAAATCTTTTATTTCCCAATAACATTTTTTGATAATCAGAACATTTTTTATTTATCAATTATATCAAGATATCGTTTCTTTATTATATAGTTCTAGACAGTTTATTTATTAGATAGTTGCCCAAGACAATTGCCATATATTCAGCGCCCTGAACCACTTCCACTTCCTGCTACTTTAGCAGCTTTCTAAAAATTTTTTATGAAAATTTAAATTGTAAGTATTCTTCAAACCGCATCGTAGATGAGCCCTTGAGCAACCAAAAATTGTAAAGCAATTATTAAAAGAACAAATAATTGGCTGAATTTCATTTTAGATTATAGAATTTTTTATTTAATTACGTATTTTGATGAATAAAGTAAAATTTTGCCGCTTTTTATTCATCCAAAATTTATCTGCCAACATGACAAGCTTTCAATGTTAAGACTTTTTGAGACAGGAAGTATAGAGAAACTTTTTTATTAAGCCTAATAATTTTAAAATTGTCAATAAAAGGGAGAAATAAAATTTTTTAATATTTATTTAACTGGTAATTTTAACAAAATTTAAAGGAAATTGAGGAAGTTAATTTAAAATTTTAAATGCCAACTAGGCATAATTTAAATAGAAAAAAATGTTTAAATTTTAAAATTAAAAAAATGCAATTGAAAAGCTTTAAAAATTTTAAGTTAAGCAATTTAACAAAGGAAATTTTTTCGAAAAAGAATTAAATAATTTATTCTTAATATTTTTAGATTAGATAAGTACGTATATGAAAAAAGAAATCTTAGAAAATTAACCTTCCTAGAAAATTAATTGACTCTTGTTTAAAGATTTTGTTTTTATTTCTTCAAAAAATAAAGTTTTTCAACAAAATGAATTTCTTAATTTAAAGTGAGGCGAAATGAAAATTTTTACTCAATTGGACATTTTAATGTGGAACGAACTATGACATGTTGAATTAATCATTTTTGTCTATTGTGACGTATTGGGCGTTTTTACAATTGACGAATTGAGATGATACGAATTGTGCGTTTTGTCCACACGGACGAATTGAGACTTTTGTTCAATGTGACCAATCGTGTCTAGGACAAATTAAAAATTGACAATGGATGTGAGACTCAAATGTCTCGCTTCGCTTGCTATTTATTGATTTTTAAATTGCTCTATGCACACTTCTTCAATTTATAGTGTCTAACATTGTTTTGACAATAATAAACATTCTCTAACCACAATATAAAAATGCTGCAAAAGCTGGAAACAATTGGATGCGTGCGTCCACGCGTGCGTTTGGCCCCCTATTTAAGCGCGAGTTGAGGATTATTTTGCTCATTCTTGGCTTTATTTTTCTTTTATTGTTTCCTGTGTTTCTTTGTTCTTTTGTCAGTTTATGATTCTTTGAAGGTTCTAGTTTCTTGATGTTAGGGTGTGGATGATAGCCCGGTCTTTGCATTCAGATCATACAGGTTTTTAATAATTGATGGGATCAATGATTAGTTTACCGGAAAATTTTCTGTATTTCTTCTAAATTTACAACTGTAATTGGTCTTATCAAATTTTGTTCTCGATTACTATTTTATTTTCAGATTTGAATTATGGATTCTTGCGAAATGCATGCAATGAATAGATGCAAACATATCTGCTTTGTTCTGTCCTGCCGTTGTGTTTAAAGGTTTTGAATATAAATATAATCCCGGGCAATTTTAGTATACCTTTGGATTGGTGAGTGGAGAAAAACCCCTGTTCGATATTTGTCTCTCGTGCTTATATGTTAAGCTACACATTCTAGTTTTGCGTCTATTCAATATCGAAAAGAATGCACAGTGTTATAGAGATAAGAAAACAGCTTAACATTTAAGCATAATGGAAACAAATATCGAACAGGTGTTTTTTGTCCGTTCACTACTTTGGATGGCATCCCTCTTTCCTGATATTTTTCTCGAGTCAAATATCAAATCTCTATCCCTTAATCCTCCTTAGGCTTATCAAAAAGATTAATTAGTATATATGAATGGGAAAAGTTTGACTAGGGGTTATTTTCATCATTTCTGTTGGATCTACCTTCATTCTACCGACAAAATCGATTCCCGGGCGTTGCTCTATTATTGCTATTGTTTTAGATTCATTATAAATCCAAATTAAAAAAATTAACTACTCGGCTCTGGGAATCAGACCAATGGTTCACAGCGGTGTCATGAGTCATCAGCTATGTGTATATTACTGAGATACAAATCAATTATTTATATTAGGTGTAACCAATGCTTTTTGTTGGCATAGTTCAGGATTACAAGAGCAAACCAGCTGTACTAACTAACATTTTTTCTCCAGCCATTTTTTAAATTTATTTTACGTTTTTTGTTTCTTTACTATGCATTTTCTAAAATTCCATTACGATCGAATCTCGATGGCATGTCCATGCCTCACAAATTAACGACACTTGATACGTGAGAAAAGTCGACGTAATAAAGAAGTATAAAAATACTTATACATAAAAAATATAAAAGAAAGTCCCAAGTCGAAATTTTTTTATATTTCATAAAATTGGTAATTTCCCTATATATTTCTCTCTATTTTTTGTACTGTAAGGCAAATTTTTTGGGCTCTATTACACAATATACGTCCAATCAACTATTATGCGTCCAATCAACTTTTATACGTCCAATCAAAGTTCGTACGTCCAATGAAAAGTTTATACGTCCAATGAAAATTTATGCGTCCAATAAAAAGTTTATGCGTCCAATCAAATTTTATACGTCCGAACATATTTTTAGCACTTATAATTTAAAATAAATATAATTTAAGAAATACTTTTTAATAAAAAAAATCCTCATTTCATCAATTAATTTCGAATGCTTTAGCAAAAATTAAACCGGGAATTGTATTCCAATTAGGGTTGCCGGCCCGGTTCGGTTCGATAGGTCGAACCGGGCATCGAATTTTGGCTCGAAAAAGACTTGGTGCCTGGTTCGATAAATTGAAGCCCGAAAAAATGACTCGAACGTCGGCCTTTTTCGAAAACGGCAACTCAAATATATGTTGAAAAATTTTGTTCACTTGTAGATATGGATCTCATAACGCGAATGCTTCTTAGAATAGTGATATGAAACTGGTACGTGATGGTACTGCAACTATATATGGGGAATCATTTTTTAATTTTAATGTTTAATGTAACAGACATTAAATCGTTTCTTAAATTTGTTTTAAATGTTAGCCCTTGAGCAAGGCATTATAATGAATAAAAATTATTTTGATTTTGTCTGAATTTATTTTACTGGGCGTTTAAAAATCTATTTGGACGCATAAACTTTGATTGGACGTATAAAAATTTGATTGGACGCATAAATTTTTATTGGACGTATAAACTTTGATTGGACGTATAAAAGTTGATTGGACGCATAATAGTTGATTGGACGTATATTGTGTAATAGAGCCATTTTTTGTACTGTAAACGCAAAAGGATTGACAGACTGTGTCTGTCCGTTGTGTCTGTGTTTGTTTGACCGTGTCACTTTGACTGATTCATACATGCATGAATCACTTTTTCGCCAAAATACGAGGACACAGGGTGAATCAATTTCAACAGTGCTTTTACAAAAATTAAATGAAAAATGTTGACGCTAAACAAGTGTGTGGGCGAAATTTGCGTTTTATCGTGATTCGATATATTTGAATTATTATAATTTTTCATTAATGTTTTATAATGGGATTTGTAAATTAATAACTAATTACTTTAATTTTAGATTTTGATATATTTTATTCTTAATAATTGACCTATCTTAAAATCTTCAAGCAAATTATTCCGTCGCTATTTAACGCCTGAACAACGGAATTTTCTATTATCACCTATTTTATTCTTCATCACTGTTCTCAAAAAATTTTTAACTGAAGCAATATTGGTGCATATTTAGGTTGGTAATATTTTTCTTTATAATTTAAATTTAATTAAAAACAAAAGAAAATTTCGAACTGTATTTATTTTACTTTTTGGATATTTTTCGGTCTGAAATTTAAATTTAATATAAGCCGACTTATTCCTCACGAACTATATTAATAACTATAATAATTGGACGCTGATGAAACAGGTAGGTTTGAATTAGTCATTTTTGTAAATGCTGTTATGATAAATATCTATTGGATAGTGAAATGAGCAAACCGAGAAACATTCCAACAATGAAGTATGGGACAAAGTCGAACTTCAAGAAGATGACAAGCGTAAACCAAACAAATTTGGCCAAATTCTCTTCAAAGGTTAAATTGCACACTTATAATTCTAATTCCAATGTTCAGAAAAAATCAAAAGCAAAATTGGAGCTGAGTTGTGTCAATAAACCATGCATTATCACCCATATCAATGCCGATAGACTTAATAAGAAATGCAACAAATTAACGAAGGAAAAGAAGACTGATGCTGTTAAGTTGACTGAAGCAAACTTAGAAGTTGAAAAATTGACTCGCGAAAATAAACGTCTTAGAAAAACAAAGAAAGCCCTGTTCAAAGACAAAACCAATCTAACTGAGGAATTGGCTCGAGAAAAGGTCAGTTTATTTTATTGATAGTGGTGTTGTTCAGCTAAAAGAATGCTTTTTCTGTAATATAGTTTTGTTTTTAACAGGTCAAATACGAACGTCTACAGCAGCGCACTACAAATAATATCGTTAACTGTATCGTTATTGAAGAATTAACACAAGATGGACAAAAAACAAAATTTGTTGTTGATGCAGACATTTACCGAAACGTGAAGAATAAAGCTGATAGACGAAAGAGAAAAGTGGAGAAGTGCAAGGATAAAATCAGATCACTCAAAGGAAGATTAGCGCGACCTTCGGTGATTTTGAGATTACTGTGAATGATCCAATATGAGCCCTGCTCTATTAGAAGCCCATCTCTAATATAAGCCTACCTGAGGGGACCCATTTAAATCCCACTCTCGGTAATAGTGTCGTTTCCAGCCCCACCTAGGTGGACTTAAAACGACACTATTACCACCACTAATAGAAACCCGTCTAAAATTTTTACGCGAAATTTTAATAAAACTCCGAATTATCGTACTAACATCAATTATTGTTGTAGGGTTGAGACGTTATACTTAATGTATGTTCTTAAAATGTCCATCCCTCTCTTCGAAGTATATCTAGCTATGCTATATCTAACAGTATTTAATCCAATATTTTTAGGTGAATGCAGTTCGTGAGTTTGAAGCAAAAATTGAATTTGATAAATCAACACAAACAGACAAAATCATTGGGGAACAGAGTTCTACGGAGTCCAAATTAAAGTACTTTATTTTTCTTATTCATATATTTCCCTTTATTTTTTAAGGTGTTCTAACAGAAATTTGGTACAAGTTAAGATCGACTCAAAAAACTTAGGCCTTGATGCGAAAGACTTGATAAGAGAAAAGTAAACATTTTAATAATAATGAATTATTAGTACAGTCGGATTTTGTTTTTCTAACTTTTAAATACATAAACATACAGAAATTTTATATTATTTTTCGAATGCTGTAATTTTCTCTACTGTTCTGATTCGTGTCCGGGGTAAAATTTTGAAAAACCACTTCCTCATTTTTTCTAAAAGATGGAAAAATGAGAAAACAGGTCACATAATTTTTTAAATTTAAGTTGTGTATCTCGTCCAATTAAATTACAAAATGATCAATCTAGTGATGTCGAGTGAGTTCTTAATTTTTGTTATACATAATTAGGGAACTTTTTTATTAATCCCTTTGATAAGTTTTGCCTTACGCTAAAAACTTGGTTTTCCTGAGAGTTAACAATAAAACTTTTTGCCGTCTTATTTTCTCAAGTTCCTATTTTTCATCTTATTTTCCTTGCAGACGTTCAAACCCAGGATTATCAGAAAGTTTCAAATCATTTATTACTATGGACAAAAATGCTTTGATGGATGGATTATTAAGCCCAGACTATGCCGTAGAGCTATATTTACAGTACGCACCTTTTAATTTATGTGGAAAGACTAGTGAAGAAATGGATGAAATTAAATTGCATTTATTAAGTATTGTAAAGAAGTTTATGGAAACTTTGGGTTGATGTGTGTGTTTTTTTGCTTTTTAGAAAATTTAAATTATAATAAATAGTATCTTTTCAAACAAAATACCCTATAAAAATATTTCTTTGTTCCCATCTCAATATTCACATGAGCAAGGGAATTTGCTGGACTAATAATTCATCTATCTTATATTTTATGGAATTTTTTGGCTTTTCCATCCTTAGTTTAAACTTTAAAGATTTAATTTTTAAACCTACTTAAAGGTTAAACAACTACTTAACATTCTCTTGCTGTTGTGAATTATTTTTCATCCCAATTTTTGACCTCAATAGGCACCGTTTTATAAATTATTTCAAATTTTTCATCTCAAAATACAAAAAAAAATCAAAAATAATAGAATATAAAAAACAAAAAAAATATTAAAATTAAAAAAAAAACAAAAAATAAATAAAAAACATAAATTATCTCAAAAATACATTCTATATTTTTTGATTTTTTTCGTTAAAGTTTTTCTCTTCGAATTTTTCTCTTAAATTAAAAATGAATTAAGTTATAATTTCTCGATTTTATACTTATTTTTTTGCAACACGCTTTTTTCATTAAACATTGTTTACCATTTAAACTTTAGATATTTTTGATTTCATGCAATTGTTGTTTTGAGAAGGATAAAGCTTTTTTTTTAAATTTTAGAGTTTTCTTAAACATTTTAAATTATTTAGGGGGGGGGGGGTTGTTGCCGTTTCCAAAAAGACTCTCGGATAACCCTCAACTGACAAGAACTAGCTTAAAAATTCCTTTAAACCTTTCCGGTTTTGATTTTTAATTTTATCTAAATATTAATCTAAAATTCGCACCTTTCTTTAATGTCAGAAAAGTTCACAATTTATTTTTCTTTTTTTCTAATATCCACTTTCACTTGCATAATCGCAAACCATCGGAAAATAAACTACCGGAACCTGTCCTTTCAGTGCAATTACCCTTTATTATAATCTAGAATAGACAAATCCTTGCCGCTTTTTTTAATTCTTCACCTACATTTATTTTTGTTTCTTTTAGATTAAAAATAGAGGGGAAATGATCTCTTTTTTTGAAGAAACTACTAACCTTCTAAAGGATAAATCTCCGCATTCTTTTTAATTTTTAATCATTAAAACACTTGTTTTTCTTTTAAATATTTAATCCTAAAATTGTTGATGAACGTGAAAGTTGTTATATTTTTATTTTTTAATTTGTGAATTAACAACATAAAAGTATTTAAATTTATGATTGTGTAGAATGCGAATAATTGATGGAGATAATTTGATTATTTTTTGCGTTAACTATTTTATTCTATTAAATTACTTTTTATCAAATTATTTTTCGGAAGCAAGTACACTGTTTGTTTTTTATTTAAAAATTTCATTCAAGAAACGTGTACATCCCTCGAAAACCTACACCCCGAAGATCCATACCCTCAATGTATATTGATCATGAAGTCATACAACTTTTGAAGGGGAATATCAAGGTATTAGGAGGATAAATACCCAGATTTATGGAGATTATTATGTTTAGATTTGTGTTTTTTGTGTTTTAGAACCAATGGTGTGGTATGTAACCATAACTCTGGATATTCCCTTCAATCAAGCCAAATCCATCGATATCCCCTTAATACATCTAAATCCCTCGCTATTCCCTTTTGATATTCCTTTCAAAAGTTGTAAGCTTTCAGGGATTGACTCCAAAAATACATATTAATTGGTCTCGAACTAAAGTGGAGAGAGATCCGAGAAAGGATATGTAGGTGACACGATAACCTTTTAAATGTTAGAAATTTTATTCATGATACTTTGCTTAGAGGAACAATAAACATCAAAAGTCCAACAAACATCAATCATCAAATGAACACAATTAACTCCAAAAAGCCTAATAATATTTTAAAAATACCCAAATTATCCAAACAATCACAACGTTTAATAAGGCAGACTGAAACCGAAGAAAATGGAGGGATTAAAAAGGAGAAACCGAAAAGATACAAATGTTTTTTGATTGAAGATGAGGAGGAGGAACAAATTGTGGAAGGTCACCAACAACAAAATAAAAAACAATATTTATCAGATTCAGCAAAGGCAGCCCTTGAACAGCGAAGTTATTTTGCTGGATTTTTAAAAGATGGGAATGAAAATAATATAATGGGTAATTTAAATTATTTTCTAAAATTTTGGAAGATTTGCAGGTTGGGAAGATGTTGGAAAGAGCGAAAATCCGAGGAGGTCCGAAGGGACTAATTTTCAATATTTATTAGAAAAAGAACAACAAGATCAGCAAGAGACTACCAAAACACCTATTATTGAGGTAATTTTGATGCCAAACTGAATCTTGAACGTTTATTTAATAGTATATTGATGATTATGAAACTTCTCCAAAAGAACATCATGAAGATGTATATATACCCGATTCAAAACGCGTTTCTTCTGGATCTTCGTATAATAAAGAAACAGAATGGGAGACAATACCTGCAGTAAATTTAATCAAAAATTCTAATTTGATAGTTAAAATTGCGTTTGGCGTTTATTTTTTAAATAATACTTTAGTTTGGAAATTAAAAATACCGTATTGCCTCTGATAAATGCCAGGGCATTTCATTTTTCACTCACATTCCAAGGGAGCATTCTATTAGAGGGTAACATTCAAATGAAGCGGGGCATTCTATTTTTCAATCATCCTATAGAGGGGCATTCAATAGATGCAATACGATAACTTCTCTGTTTTATGCCAAACATACCCATTAAATTATTTTTGACATTTTATAATTTTAAAAATCAAGGTTCAAGCTAAGTTTTCAACAAAAGATTCTAATCGAATGAATGAAGCGGAATCTGTAAATAATCAAAATTCTGTAGACTACTCTGCTTCTGTTGAAGCAAAACAAAGAAAACAACATATCGATGAAAATATAAGCGATAATGAAAAATTTGAGGAAGAAGAGGGAGAAGAATCTGAAGAAGATTTGTATAGTGATGAAGATATTAATTCAATAACTACTACAAAATCACCACAAATCCCTAAGATGCAGGTTTTTTAGGAGATTTTCAAGGCTAAATTAATTATCTTTCAAAGAGAATTCCTCAAAGAAATGTGAGTTATGGAGGTTCTCCTCGAGCAAGAGTATTTCCAGGATTAACAAAATTAATCACTCAAACAAATAGTCTAGTAACAACAAATAAACCGGTAATTCAACAATCTAAGAAACAGATAGTTAACACAAAAGAACAAAATATTGTTAAAGAATATGCTAGTAAGGAGAACAATATGGCGTCGAATCGCAATAATGTTGATGAAAGTAAGTAGAGTTTTTCTTGTTTTATTCAAGAATCCAAAAATTTATTTAAGATGTTAATACATTAAACAAGGCAAAACAAAATGAAAAGAATGAATTATTAAATCAAAACTTCGTTACATATCCACCACAGCAACAAAAACTTAGGGAAGTAAAAATGCCACCGCGTGATTCTCAAGGGCGCCCATTACTATTATCACCTGAACACTGCAGAATGGTACTCTAAATTATTGTTATCGTAATTTAAAATCACAATTTAAAGATTTCAAGTTATGCTCAATTATATGGTGCATCTCCAAGTTCTGTACTCTCATTTGTTCGAAATAATTGTGCCTTTGTTAAAATGTATTTACCCACAGCAAGCTGTTCTGAAATTGAAACACTCGTCAAGTCTTGTTATGAACGTAAAGTGTTTATGAGAAAACAACTAATAAAAAAGAGATTTTTATAAAATGTGTATATGTAGATAAAATTATATTTATTTTTGTTAGGTTTCGAATTTTGTCTTAAATATTTGTCTTAAGAATATAGGCATAATTCACCTATATACTGTAGGTCAAATCCTTAGACTTCTTCCATGGCACCTTGCCTTTGGACAAAGTGACCTTGAACGATTTCCTCTATGGCATTATGTCCTTTGACATTTTTATCTCTGGCGTTATGTTCTTACAGTAATTTTATACAGTATCCATTTTTCTCTTACTCTCTCATCCGCTCTATTTCGTCCACATTCTCTCTCCCCCGGCATTCCACGTTTATATTACCCAGTTTTATATAGACATCCCCTAGTCGCCATTCTTTTTACATTCATTTTATTTGTGCTGACGTGTCATTTGAGTTGGCTGCAACTGCGGTTGAGGCCGCGGAACAGGGTTTAGTAAATGTTTAATTGTTGAGATAGCAGCAATTTTGAGAGAGCAGCAGAACATTTTGTTTTTTAAAAATATTTTTATGTTTGGAAACTGACAACAGCAGGCAGCAAAAATAGAAAAAAAATATACGTATATTATTGGAGTAATAAAGTTTTAAAAAATTATGAGCAACGTGTACATTCTTCCGCGCAATTTTGCAGCGACTACTGAAATTCCAGTAACATTACAAGGACAAAGGCCAATAAGAATGATTAGAACAGGAGCAGTTGGTGGGAGGATTTTGAATGACCGACGTTCTGTCCGACTTCATGGAATGGTTTAAAATGTTATTTTAGCTTTCGTATATTAATATTTAGGTCCCTAAGAATACAGATACTTCACGACGTGTTTATTTGGCACCAGTGATTGCAGCACCCGGGCAGAGTCCGTTGACTCATTATCAGGTATTTGAAGATTGAAATTTTAAACTTGCATCCCTTTGGAATTAATCTTAAAGTATAGCAATAGTTGGATTGGTAAGATCGAGTTTCCGGTGATTCCGTAATGGATTGAACCTCAACAGATCGAGCTGGACAGGATTTTAATCCCTTTAAATCTAGGGATCCCTGTAATCCTTTTATGCTCTCAACTCTGATTCCAGGAAGGGATCAGAGGTAAAATCCTGTACGGGATCCCGTCCCGTGCTGATCTTTAGCAATAAACTTATAATTCATTTAAGATTCAACCGATAGCTCCAGCGCCCACAAATGCTGATTTTATTTCGCTCCAACCTATGCGGACAAATCTTAATAGTAACAATAGTCATTCATCATTTACTTCACAACAACCTCAAGTGTTTATTCCTGATAATATTTCCCAAAATCAGCAACAACTTTCTGAGGAAGACAATGAATTAGATATTGGAGAAGTTTGTAGATTGCTAGATGAAAGTGCCGGACAGCGTATTAGCGATTTGGAACAGCCTAGGCGAAGGGAACGCCTTAGCAATTTGACTATGGAACAAAAATTACTTAGGCGAAAACAGAAAAATAGGTAGATTCTCCCATCAAGTTAGATAACATTACAAATTTTTAATTATAGAATTGCTGCACAAGCAGCACGTGATCGTAAAAAAGAAACAAATAAACGCTTGGAGGAATCGTTGAAACGTGCCATTCAAGAGATTAGCCGTTTACGCGGAGAATTAAGATTTCTTCAGGCACAGAACGCACAGCTTTTGGCCTCTCAAAATGGTCAGAATGATGGAAAAATTATTCAAAATATTCCTCAAGAAAATATTATTCAGCACAAACCCCTTATTTTTCCAAAGCAAGAAATTTTAATGGCGTCAGTTGAAGATAAACAACAACAATACCAATATAGTAGTCATACAAATGTAAAGAATTTTGTTCAAGAACAGCCACAAATAATGGTACCAGTTACTATTTTTAAATTGGCATCCTACTCAACCGGAAAATACGAAGGGGAACAAAGGGGGACATAAACCAAAGTATTCCTGAGCAGTCTAACTAAACAAGAGAGATAATACAGTAGTTTCTTCAAATTCTAAGACTAACCTTCAAATTCTAGAATCAACCTATACCTAACTCTGTTGATGTGAAATCATCTATTGCCTCTCATCAATCAACTACCAACACCTCATTGCATCAGTCTTCACCTTCCCTCAAACTCAACAATTTCTCACCTCTTAATCGTGATTCTCTAGGGTCTGCAGCATCCTTTAACGCTCTCCTGCCGTGGGAACGGGAATCTGTGCCAGAGGAGGGAATGAAGAAAACGAGGGTAGTTATGGACAAAATGCAATCCAAGTTGATGAAGAACAACAGAGGCAAAATGCCACTAATTGCCAATGGTCGTCAACAGCAGAATGCAGTCAGGATAGCTTGCTTGATCAAGGTGTTTACGGCACTCTGGTCGATTGTATGCGAGAAGAGGGAGACGGCGAAGACGTCCAAGGATTGCAAAATATCTTCGACGAGCTTTTCGAAGGCATCTTGACTTGATTGTTCTATATTTAAATTTTATTTTCAGAAATGGACGTTCCAGTCGATGTGGACCGCTTCTGCAACGAAGTCATTGAAGAAGGCATTGCTGCGCAGGATGGTGTTGATGGACAACGCCAAGCTTCTTCGTCTGTGCAACAGCCCCCAACGGCAGTTAGTGGCACATTTGTTAATGCGCACGCGAGAGACGTGCAATGTAAAGTCGAAGAGTCGTCTGAAGCAAGAACGGTGACTAGAATTTTAAATTTTTGAAAAAACTTTCTTTTAAGTATTCGGAGGAATTCGACTTTGGCACAGATGAACAGCAATGTATATATGAACAGCAGCGTTTCTCTAGCGAGCGAGGAGGAGTTGAGCAGCACAGAGTCAGCGGACGAGGAAGATTGTCACATAGTTCCTCAGCAGCATTAGCTGCATTAAGTCCACACAATTATTGCAGTCAACCAACGATTGTTCAGACACCAACATTTAACCAACAAACCCATAAAAACTACCAAAAACACCACAAAAATACCAACAAACAAAGCACAGGCACACAAAGTCAATCACTATACCAACAGCATCAGTCAATCTCAAGCAGCGATTACATTTCGGATAACGGTTTACTCGGCGCCTTACATGAGGTATTATAAGGCTTGATGATCCATTCAGTTGAAAAAATTTTCAAAATTTTTCTAGGTGCCAAGCCCCTTCAAAGAAGAACAGTACCGTCAGCCGCATTCTATTGCTTCCTCATCCTCTACTTTTTATAACTGCTCTTCCAACATTTTAGCTAACAATTCATACTCCAATTATGAGAAATATCAAGACATTAATGAGGAGTGTTATGAAGAAAATGTTGAGTCTCCAATGTTGCCATTGTGTCAGAAGAATGATTTAGGCAATGGTGAGGAAATAAAATAATTGTGGATGGATTACATTCATTTCATTTTAAAGGTGATTTTGAAGATTATCAACAGGATCCTCACTCTTCATTTGATTATGGTCTAGAACACCAACAACAATGGATGATGGATACAGTAGATGATGAGCAAGTTCTGATAAATGATGGAGATGAAATGTTTTACCAGAATCACCCAGATAGTTCCTTTTCTTCCACTAATTTCCCCTTTTTAGTTGATGGATTAGAAGATGATTCATCCTCTTTACAATTATAAAAAAATTTTTTTAAATTTGTTCTTGGATACCATTAAAAATTTTTCATAGGAGTTTATTTATCCGTTGATATTAAATAACCTTGGAAATTTAAGATGTAAATTAAAGATGATATCCCTGAACTGATTTTGCATTTTATGTATATGTTTAGTTCCTCTAAATACACCGTAAAGCCTGTATTATTATGACATCCTTTATTTAAATTTCGGAAGAATATCGTGAAAACTAGTGACTATAAACAGGTCTTACGGTATTTATCATGTATTTAGGTATTTTTTGGTATTTCGACACCTCTAAAAATGTAACAATTTTCATTTTGAATTTGCTTTTACAGTTAAATTACTCCCCTAAGTTTGAATATCCAAGGAAAACACAATTTAACATAACGCCAAGCTTTTATCAGATACCAAAAAATATTTTATTTGAATCCACAGTATTTTATTGTCGTCTTTTTTATAATTTTTGTAGTAATTTATATATGACATCCTGATATTTTGGCACAATTATTAGTGCCTCCCCTCATCCATTTATTTTATTTTTTACTTTCTTATATATTTTTAGTTATTAATTTTTCAAATCGCTGCTTGACATTGACTCTGTGCTTCATTTATATTTTTTATTTGCTTTGTGTCAAGTATAAAAGTTTCTGTGCTATTAATTTTTTTACATGTTAAAACAATGGAGAAGTAGACTTCGGTTAGGGGTCTTAAAATTAGTTGGGAATTCATAAAATTATGAAGGAAAAGTCGAGATACGCCTAAATTATGGGTTCCTTCATAATAATGTTACACACTTGATTTAGTCATTGATTTTGGGGAGGCGTCTAAGACTTGGTCTTGAGTCTTTGTTCAAGACTTTTCTTGGGGTCTTTTCTGACTTGGTCTTGATGTCCATGTCTTGGTCTTGAATCTTGGAAAATTTCGGTCATGGACATTTCTTCTGTTTGGCCTTAAGACTGACAAATAGAATTTAGATTTTGACAAAAAATAAAAAATAAATATCTAGTCATTTAATGTTTATGAGTTTTAATTTTTTATTTCAGAGCATAATTTATCACGTTAGATTAAATTTAAAATTTAATGTTTTTTGCTGTAGGATTAAAAAAGGGGATATATAATCAATTAATACACATTTTTGAGTATTTAATGAATATATTATTTTAACAAATTCCATTTTATAAATACCAATTAAATATTATTTTATTAAATATAAACACACTTAAAAGTACTTTCTGAATATTTTTTAAAATTTATCAGAGCATTAACAACGTATCGTATTCCCTCTCAAAAACAAAATTTAAAAGAATGAGACAATATTTTATTTGCAATAAATTTTATATTAATTTATTTTCTTCATTAATTTTAATAGCTTTACCTATTATTATAAGGGCCGATGTTTATTGTTATATGGGCCCTATTTCAATTGTCCACAGATTCTGCGGTCTGCGTTCTGTGCACAGACCACAGAACCACAGAAATTCTGTTTCAATTATTCCACAGATTCTGCGGAAAAAGAAGTCCGCAGATTCTGTGGAAACATGCACAGAATCTGTGGAAACATCCACAGATTCTGCAAAACATCCAAAAACATGCAAAAACCACAGAATTCTATTTCAATTATTTTTCTGTGCACAGAAAAAAATCCACAGATCTGTGGCTTTTTTAGTCGATTCTGTGCATTTCTGTTTCAATTATTTCTGTGGTCTGCGGAAAATACACAGAATTCTTTAAAAAATCCACCCTAAAATTTTTTCTGCGAACTTTCTGTGGAAAAACTTTAACAATTTTTTTCTAGGCCTAGGCTTAACCAAATTTCAAAATTTTTAAAGATTATTAAAGTTTGAATCATTCTCTATTTTTTGATATAAAAATTATAATTTTATTACCTAAAATTATTGCTTAAAATTAATTTTGAAAAAGGTACATCTTTTTTACGCAGTTTTTGTTATATTCAAGCAATAAAAAAATAAAAAACGTGAGAGATTCTGAAATTTAGAGCTATGATGTTCTAATCATCATGGATATCTCTAATGAGGGGATGTTTACCAGGATCTATAGAAGATATCTGTATAGCGTATACTGGGATATCTCCCATGATCTCTCATTGATATCCGTCATAATCTCTCCTCCTATTTAATGATAGATTTCCTCCTTAATCACTCCAATATATTAAACCTCAAAATCAATGGATATCCCACTTAATCACTCCTCTACGATTTTAAAAAAATCAGGTACCATTAATACTGCGGTAGTACCGAACTGTCCAAACCATTTTTCGTTTCAATAAAACTGTTATTTTCAAAAACGCGGAAATAAAAAATTTGAATTTAGAAGAAAAAATACACAGAACCACAGAAAAATAATTGAAATACAAATTCTGTGGATCAGTGGAAAAAATCCACAGATTTTTATATTTTCCACAGAAATTTTCATCCACAGAATCTGCGGAATGTTTCCACAGAATCATTGGATGTTTCCGCAGAATCTGCGGGCACCACAGATTCTGTGCACACAGAATTTAATTGAAACAGAATTTCCACAGAATCTGTGTTCTGTGCACAGAATGCAGAATCTGTGGACAATTGAAATAGGCCCCAGGTCATTTAACCCATACCGAGCGTTAATTTGGTACTACATATAAGAGGCATGGTACACTCTAAAGAATTTAAATTTTGTAATAAGTAAAATAAATTATTTACTTACGTTATTACAGTTATTTCAATGCTTAGCTTACAAATTGAATGTATTATTAAAATAAAACTAATAATATTATCTAAAGTCTCATTTGGTAATTTAAAGTAAGCTGTAAATACTGCTACAATATTTGCACACAAAATATTAATAAAATGGAAGAAAAATGAGGGTGCCAATTGTTTTCCGGTGTAAACATTTTCTAATTGCTTAAAAATTTATTTTATTGTATTTTTTTCTTAACCAACACCAACCTGATATCGTTCATTTAATTTATAAGTATGGGCATACCTAGATTTATTATTTAAAAATTGGTTATAAATTTTTTTATTGAATGTTGTCAGCCTAGAAAATGCCTAAAATATTTTTAAATTAATTTAAAAAAATTTTTAAAGACATACAATTAATTCTAATATGCTTAACAACAGCGAAATATTAATTAAAATAATACTGTATAAATTCAACACGGTGAAGGTACCAATAGGCGGTAGTAATCTATCAGTTATTGTTATGAATAACTGAAAAATATGAGTAAAATGTTAACGTTATATGGAAATTCTACAAAAAATAATCTCTCAAACAGTGCTTGGACGCTCGTTCCAAAATCCTTAAACGTACAATGTACGAAATAAAATGGGGGAGAAGAGGGGGGGGGGGGGGGTGGGGGATTTCCGATTGCATGGGCAAATTAGAAATTTCCAAGTACTGCTTAGAATTGAAACTCAAAAAATTTTTTTGGAAAAATCTTTTTGTTATTGTATTAAATTCGAGGAAAAATATTCCCTACCAAAATTGAAATACAACAAATTCCAAATTTGGGAACTTTAGTTTGTCCATATTTTTTAGCATATAAAGTAGCTATTGTTCTCTCCATTATTAACACATGCCCAATTAAATTACCAAAATTTATACACGCAAGCCAAATACTAGCAAATGAAAGTCTCATTGCTTCATATAAATCATTTTGTTTAATGATGAGTAGAAAAAGCCTCAAAATTTTAATTTAAATAATTTTATAAAAATATAACTAGAATTGATCGGGCGGCCCGGAATTCGGCCCGATCAATTCTGAGTGGGCCACCGGCTAAAGTACAGCCAAAATGTGAGATCCGGAACCCAGATCCGGTTTTACAAAGTTTCAACTCTAAATATAACTTACTCAAACCATCGTGTTGTTGAATAAATAAAAATAACAATGCTTTGTGAAATTAGAATAATTTTCGAATTATTGTGTAAAATACTACTTTTCCACAATAAAAATAAATTTAAAAGAGAACAGGGAATTAAAATTGTTAGAGGTAGAATTTCGATAGAACTAGCCCAGTATTTTATTGGAGTTATTTCCATATTTAATTTTATGAGAAATTTCTAAAAAATTAATAATTAATGGGGAAAAATAATTTAATTGACAGATAATAAAATTAATACATGGATATACGGATATCAAAGATGTGTTGTTTCGCCTCTTGTTTTTCGCCGAATTTTTGCTTTTTTTTGGGGCTTAGTCTTCCATTTTTCGTTTTTTAAAATCTGTTTCGGCACAACACTGGTATATATCCAACTCTATTCCTTATATCATCGCCTACCTTATTAATTTTAATTTCTAAGGGAACACTAAAATCAACGAAAATCGAATGAGAAATCCATTAAGCTTTTGAATTAGCCATTATAAAATTTGAATAGAAAAGCTTTTCCGTATAAAATAAAGGTAAAAATATTTCAAATTGAAAAGGTGTACTCTATCAGTTTATTAAAAAAAATTTTTTTTAAATGTTTCTAGGTATTTACGCAAACTAAAAATTTTTCTCATAAAAAAATTTTTTTACAACAAATTTAAATTAAATGTAAACAGAAATTAATTAAAAATTTCTCACACTTTTAATATTAATTTTTAAAAATTAAAAAATAATCTAAAGTTTGTCTAAAAAATTTTTTCTTATTTTTCAATCATTCCCAAAGTTTCCCAAGCATTTCAAAGTGTACTTGTTGTTCTCTTGTTGCGGTACTTGTTAAAATGTTCAAGTCATTTCCTCTATCCGCACATACTCTTGAGCTTCTTAAACATTTAAAATGGATAAATATTGAAGAGAAAAGTTTGTTTAGGTTGCGATTTAAGACTGGATGGAAGCTGAAAAAATTTGAAAAAATTTTTTTGGCAAAAAATAAATTTAAATTTACGTTATCACAGTCACTTCAATAGACAATTTACAAAATGCGTGGATCAGTAGGAAGAAATAAACTATATTAACAAATAATGCTGGGGGGATTATTATATAGCTTGAAATAATTATGAGAATATTTGAACACAAAATATTAATAAAATGGAAGAAGAATGAGGGTGCCAATTGTTTTCCTGTGTAAACATTTTCTAATTGCTTAAAAATTTAATTTTAATTAGTATTAAAAATTTTGAGGTATGGGGAAACTATTATGCAAGGGATAAAGAAGCATGGAGGTAATGTGGCTCTGTTTTCATTGTCAAAACAAAAGTCGATTGTGATGGGAACAAAAGAAAATTATGTCATTTGTAGGATTGACAAATCCAGGAAAAAATAAAAACACAAGGAGCCAAAATGCCATCGGTTCAAGACACTGAGCATAGATCATTACCCAACTCCTCTACTCTTGTAAGCCTTTTCCCTCTCAGATATCCAGAGATTTCCCAGGATTCGCTAGCCACAATATCAAGTTACCAGATTCACTGAACCTTCTAATGTCCTAAAATATTAATCTATAACACCGACCTGATATCGTTCATTTAATTTATAATTATGGGCAAGTTCAGATTTAT